ATGCTGCTTTGTCCATTCCATCACTGTGCTAGGTAACATTAAGACAAAAAAAGATTGTTTTGTTTATTTGTGATTGATAGCTGCACATGCAACAGAGAACAGAAACAGGCTAATTTAAAATTCTGGTGCAATTGTCTGGTTGTCCATGAAACATACAAATTTTACCTTACAACAATTATTGTAAAAGTTCTAACACTAGACATGAAAAGCTATTTTTCAGTTGAACGAGGACAAGAATAAACCCATAGCAACCATTTATGGCTAGATCATTTGCATATTTTTGTGTCGTAAGAATTAAAATTCAGCATTCCTGCATGCGTAATTAGCAATGAATTTTAGAAACTACAGCATCTCAGAATTTCGTTAGATTGAAAAATCTTTCAAACTTCTGAATGGAGAAAGTTCCAACAGATGCAGTAATATCGAATTCTTAATTCTTAATTTGACACAAATTCGCTGTTTATTACGCATGCATGAATACTGAATTTCGAAATCTGAATAACGAAAGCTAGAAAGTTTATACAAATAATCGATCCATTCATGGAGTCTTGGGCTGGTTCGACCGTAAAAAAAAAACATTTGTCATAAAAAGACAATTCAATATCCAGCTGTGTACTTTGGAAAGCTCCCTCAAATCATAAATGTCCGTTTAAAGAAAAGTTCAGTTTATTGGAGGCACTGATTTCTCAAGAAAATATAACTCGCTTTCCAAAGGTTTTTAAAAATGAACTTTTCACTGAATTGCATTAAAATAACATTCTCGTGAAATTAGCAAGACCAAGCAGTTGTAACATGTTTACATATTTATACTTATAGCTAAACCTTTCAGTATTAGTAGAGAAGTGAACTATCGCAATTCGCTGTAAACTACTGTTTTCCCGCTGAAAATAAATAGAAATGGTCAAAGAAATGAGTTCAAAGTACACCCTGGCTGAATATTTTTGTACAAATCTACAGACAGATTCAATTGTTATTCTCACTTACGATTTTGTGCTTGTTGAGTTGGCCAATTATATGCGTTTAGCTAGAAAGAAGAGTAACTCACAAGTAAGGACGAATTTAAGGCAAAAAAGAACGGTTAAATCGAGCTAAAAAGTCACCTGTATATTAACAATGAAATCAAAAGTAAGATTTCGAAAAATAGCATTTGTTAGAGGTCACAAAAATGACCAAAACAGAAAACTAACACTCACGTTTTCACCACAACGGCAAACACCCGCTCTTCACGTCGTCGACGTCCCTGCGACGGCTGGGAAGTTGGCTAAATCATGCGCAGTAATGCACGGGTCATGACTTAACTTCCGGTCTAAGTCGCCGTCGCCCCGAAAACGTCCATTGCTTAAGTTCCCTACTAAAAGTGTGACGGGGACGTGGGACTGGGACTCGGGGACGTGGGACTCGAGGACGTGGGACGCGGGGACTCGGGGACGCGTGGGGACTTGGGAACGTGATAAACAAACAACACCTGAATTTGTAAAGTACAATTTTCGGTGGTCTCGAGAAAGGTGTAATATGCTGGAGAGCTTGTCGGGTGACTTTACATCGAAGGCGTTCGTCGAAGGTAAGAGTACACGTTAACTTTGGTCGGCGGGGAAATTATGAAACCTGCGAATATTGCGAAAGCCCGTGAAAGGATGACATCTAAAAACTGACGTCAATTTTTGAACAAGACACTAGAATGCGTAATGATGGCGGCGACCAATCAATATTCTTGAAACAAATCGGAGATTGACTTCCTTGAGGAAAACTTTGAAAATTGTTCTGTTGAAAACCGGTATTTCGTGGGTTATTTCGATGGAAAGAGATGAGTTCGAGGATATGCTCGAGAGTTTTCTTCTTAGTAGTTCCACATACTTTGAAGGCCTTGCACTCAAAGGACTTAAATCACAAGAGGTTTTCGAAAAATGGTGGGCAGTTTCTCTTATTTTTAACTGAATTTTTGCTTTTATCAATGTGGGCCTCGTAGAGACTCGATCTTTTGAAGGTAATTTTGTAAAAACTTACGCAATGCACCGGGCGGAAAGGTGTTGAAATATTTAAAGGTATTTCATATAAAGGAAAGCACTTGGAAAACGCTCTGAGTGCGTAATCTAGTATACCGAAATACTTTTTCAAATTATGCATTTGCAGCGTCTCCCGTCTTTGAACGCAATGGTGGTAATGTACCGATCCAATTTTTCGGCAAACCGTTTACCATCTAAGCAATGAAACTCGGCATTGCCTCCACACACCAACAAAGATGAGAATTCCTTTTGAAAACAGAGTTTGAAATATAATAAAACGTACCAGTAGCATTCGATTTTTGCATAACCCGCGAAAATGTTTTAATATTTTTAGGTATTTTAGTGGAGGAATCCATCGAACTTTTCGCATACTGAGGAAACAAAATCGAGAAGGTCATTTACATCCATTTACTTCAGAATTCCCCATAAACGTAGGGTGTATACAATTCCTGAAATTCCCGTTCCGAACGGCGTTATTTTACGAATCATTTGACGTTTCAGTGTTAACAAATTTTTCGTATTACGTAAGTAAAAAACATTGAACTTCTCTCAACGGACTCAACGCTGCAAGGAGAATCTTTCTCATAATTTACTTTTTAAGAGACGAAAGTTGCCGTCGAAAATTCAAACGTTACTGTTAGACTTATTGGCGCATTGATAACCTAGTAAATAGCTCAAACATACTGAAAAAATTTTTATCTGTTTTTGTATATCTTTATCTGTGAGCCACGTGTGACTAAACAAAAACAGCGAAGTGTAGTTTGATGGCTTGTTTTCATGAATCTAGGCCGATTTCGGGAATCGCTATAAACTACACGATCACGCAGTAAGTAATATTTCTTCTTCTAATGATTGATACTGGAAGAAAATAGTAACGGTGTCACGCTATTTTATGTGTCCGTTATAAAAATATTTGTATTCACATTTAGCTCACGGGTAAAAATCCCGTGAAAATTGTTCGAAAGAAATAGATCACAGTAGTTACTTTATGACAACCAAAAAATACTCAAAACAAAATCAAGAAACTGCTGCAGGACCTCAAGGCTCCTTTGTTCAGGACGATCTTGTTCATCTCAGGTTTGAACTTTTCGTGGGAACAAGTGCTGAAGCTTACATAACCTATTTTGAATTTAATCGCTGTACTATAAACTTGTGTGTTCAAAACGTGGACGAACGCCTCCGATTTAGCGTCACCCGAGCTTGTCAGTAGTAGCCGATGATTTCCAGCGTCCATGGTTCGGCCGGATATGTTTTCTTGCCTGTTTGACCGTGAGAACTCTAGGTACAGAATAGTTTCAAGGCAGGGGGTTTTAAACATCGTGAGTAGCCATGGAGGACTTTCCTCGTAAGTAACTGTTTTCTTGCTTATTCTTTTTTAGCAAGGATAAGGCACGGATGTTTCAAGACCCCCTGCGTTGAAACTATTCTGTACCCAGAGTTCTCACGGTCAAATAAGCAAGCAAAAATGTCCGGCCGAACCATGGACGCTGAAAACCATCGGCTACTACTGACAAGCTCTCCAACATAAAATAGCTTTCTCGAGATCACCGAAAATTATACTCTACAAATTCAGCGCAAATGTTAGGTGTTGTTTGTTTGTCACGTCCCCGAGTCCCCGCGTGTCCCCGAGTCCCACGTCCCCGAGTCCCCGCGTATCCCCAAGTCCCACGTCCCCGAGTCCCACGTCCCAGTCCTACGTCCCCGTCCCACTTTTAGTCACAGCCAGTCCTTCTCGATGTGTGGCTCAGTGGCTCGATGTGCGGCGCTTGGTAACCACCCTATCTCACTTCGTTAACAAACCACCAGCTTGCTATTTGTATAGTACGTCAAGAGGATGGTTTCCAAATGACAAAGTACCGGCTGCATCCACGGAAAATGCCTTATGGCAACGATGCTACTGACTCTAGATCGTTACTACCAAAAAGGCAAAGTTAGCAGCCATGTAAAGCTTTTTTGGCCTTGTTAGGCCTGATAAATAAGGCGTTGCTCACACAAGGGGCTTGGGTAGCTTATGAAAAGATGTTTTGAATTACATATGGTACATTTGCAGAAAGAATTGGAGGTGTAGAGGCCCCATAGTCTGCGTCTGGAGTCTGAGTCGAGAGATTCCTATGTGGAGACCAGACAGGAACACTTCGACAAAGAGACTTAGGAAGTAATCAGCCCTCATCAAGAATTTCACTTTCCATTGGTTTTGATTTCAAAGTTCCACTGCCCAATCTTACTAACTTTTTCATCAATAAATAACCCCATCCCCATGCAAGTAACTTCTTTACGACATGATAATGATCACCCACGCGCTCTCCAGGCTTTGATTAGGCTTTCATGAGAAATTTTTGACTAGGGAGAAGGGGAGGATGCCCTGTGTGACAAAAATTAATGATATTTTCAACCCTCAAGTCCAATTAAAAAAAAATTAAACTTTCGTTTAAAATTTTTTCTTCAAGATGAAAGAGGAGTTTGTAGGAATGTGGGTATTAGGAATTGTGAGCCAGTACATTGTGAGACTTCACCGCGTCACTATGAACACTACTGAAACGAGTAGTTGAAAAAAGGACTTGTACGGGCCTGAATTTTTTTCAGGTCCTATTTTCAACTACTCGTTTCAGTAGTGTTCTTAGCAAATATATGAATTTTATACATCTAAAATCATCATTCACCGCGTCGTTTAAGATCTTTATCGAAGTTCGCTCTTCGATTCCACAAGAATGAGAGGTTACTTCCACTCAACCTTGGATGTTAAACGGCTACTGATGAAGAAGTAACGGGATTTTCTTTTTAGTATCCTGTGGCATGTTAGCAAATTAGTTTATCCAGAGAATTTTCCGTCTACGAAGTTCGGAACAAATGATGTTTATTTCTTTAAGACAACCGCTGATCAGACTCTAGTGATTGAGGCTCACGTGGGCCTTGATGACAAGTGGCGGGGGGGGGGGGGAAGAGAGGGGCGGGAACGGGAGGTGAGCAGCAGTTTTCGATTTTTCAATTATAAGGTACTGAAGCGTTTAGTGAAAAACTTTAATACGTTTCCTGTGAACAGCGAAATATCATGGATTTTGTTCTAATATCTAATAATATCTATTTCTACTCTTTTTTCAGCTAGTAAAACATTGTTTTTGTTAAATCGCTCGTTTTGGTGTTTGTTTTATAAAGGGCATGACAGTTTTCGAAAAATCGACCTCCAATGTTACCTTAAATTTGAGCCTCGACATGGGTCGCCACGAGTGTTCGCTGGGGTGATCAGAAAATCTCTCATAACTCGATAAATTTTAAAGATCAGATGAAGTGGATTGTGGTTCTAGAATAAGGACATGAAAGTCTTTCAATGTACAAGAAATCAGCGAAATCTATTTTTCAAGCTAGATCGGCCGGACCACTTTTATGGATACTCTCTCTTAATTATGAATATGAATAAAAATCATCAATTTAAAAGAGCACGATTCTGAAAAAGCAGCAATGATTAGCAACTTAAAAATTTCTTTACTTGGGTGCATATTCTGACTGTTGATTATCCGTCGAACTGCAACCTTTTGTAGCAACCTCAGAAATGAGAAAGTAATGAACTACTTGTTCAGAAATAAAAAAAAACCATATCAATTGTGCGAGTTTCCAGATCGGAATATTAAAAGCACAAATTATGCAAGATATTATGAAAAAATTAAAACGGTCTAAGTTCTCACGTGCAAAGAAAACACAACGAGTAAACCTAAATTAAAGACCAACAACGTCTATGAATCAGCACAGTTACTAAACTATTAACACGAGTCTCTTTTCTTCTTTTCCAAAACAGCTCCAAGGTCATCAACTCTCTTTCTTTTCTGTTTTAGCCGAGATAAGTTCCTGCTGACCTCTAGTGTCCTTACATGTTCTTGACCATACTTGGAGATATAAATTACCAGTGCACGCTTATAGCAGTCTTTTGCTTCATCTGTGTCGCCCAGATCACTGTGTAAATTACCCAGATTGTTGTAAGAGCTTGCAACATCAACATGCTCAGGTCCCAGCTTTTTCAGACGAATCTCCAGTGCACGCTTATAGCAGTCTTTTGCTTCATCTGTGTCGCCCAGATCACTGTGTAAATTACCCAGATTGTTGTAAGAGGTTGCAACATCAACATGCTCAGGTCCCAGCTGTTTCATCTGAATCTCCAGTGCACGCTTATAGCAGTCTTTTGCTTCATCTGTGTCGCCCAGAGCCTTGTGTAAATTACCCAGATTGTTGTAAGAGGTTGCAACATGAACATGCTCCAGTGCACGCTTATAGCAGTCTTTTGCTTCATCTGTGTCGCCCAGATCACTGTGTAAAGTACCCAGATTGTTGTAAGAGGTTGCAACATCAACATGCTCAGGTCCCAGCTGTTTCAGACGAATCTCCAGTGCACGCTTATAGCAGTCTTTTGCTTCATCTGTGTCGCCCAGATCACTGTGTAAAGTACCCAGATTGTTGTAAGAGGTTGCAACATCAACATGCTCAGGTCCCAGCTGTTTCATCTGAATCTCCAGTGCACGCTTATAGCAGTCTTTTGCTTCATCTGTGTCGCCCAGATCACTGTGTAAATTACCCAGATTGTTGTAAGAGGTTGCAACATGAACATGCTCAGGTCCCAGCTGTTTCATCTGAATCTCCAGTGCACGCTTATAGCAGTCTTTTGCTTCATCTGTGTCGCCCAGATCACTGTGTAAAGTACCCAGATTGTTGTAAGAGGTTGCAACATCAACATGCTCAGGTCCCAGCTGTTTCATCTGAATCTCCAGTGCACGCTTATAGCAGTCTTTTGCTTCATCTGTGTCGCCCAGAGCCTTGTGTAAAATACCCAGATTGTTGTAAGAGCTTGCAACATCAACATGCTCAGGTCCCAGCTGTTTCATCTGAATCTCCAGTGCACGCTTATAGCAGTCTTTTGCTTCATCTGTGTCGCCCAAATCACTGTGTGTAAATTACCCAGATTGTTGTAAGAGGTTGCAACATCAACATGCTCAGGTCCCAGCTGTTTCATCTGAATCTCCAGTGCACGCTTATAGCAGTCTTTTGCTTCATCTGTGTCGCCCAGATCACTGTGTAAAGTACCCAGATTGTTGTAAGAGCTTGCAACATCAACATGCTCAGGTCCCAGCTGTTTCATCTGAATCTCCAGTGCACGCTTATAGCAGTCTTTTGCTTCATCTGTGTCGCCCAGATCACTGTGTAAAGTACCCAGATTGTTGTAAGAGCTTGCAACATCAACATGCTCAGGTCCCAGCTGTTTCATCTGAATCTCCAGTGCACGCTTATAGCAGTCTTTTGCTTCATCTGTGTCGCCCAGATCACTGTGTAAATTACCCAGATTGTTGTAAGAGCTTGCAACATCAACATGCTCAGGTCCCAGCTGTTTCATGCGAATCTTCAGTGCACGCTCATAGCAGTCTTTTGCTTCATCTGTGTCGCCCAGATCACTGTGTAAAGTACCCAGATTGTTGTAAGAGCTTGCAACATCAACATGCTCAGGTCCCAGCTGTTTCATCTGAATCTCCAGTGCACGCTTATAGCAGTCTTTTGCTTCATCTGTGTCGCCCAGATCACTGTGTAAAGTACCCAGATTGTTGTAAGAGCTTGCAACATCAACATGCTCAGGTCCCAGCTGTTTCATGTTAATCTCCAGTGCACGCTTATAGTAGTCTTTTGCTTCATCTGTGTCGCCCAGATCACTGTGTAAATTACCCAGATTGTTGTAAGAGCTTGCAACATCAACATGCTCAGGTCCCAGCTGTTTCATCTGAATCTCCAGTGCACGCTTATAGCAGTCTTTTGCTTCATCTGTGTCGCCCAGATCACTGTGTAAAGTACCCAGATTGTTGTAAGAGGTTGCAACATCAACATGCTCAGGTCCCAGCTGTTTCATCTGAATCTCCAGTGCACGCTTATAGCAGTCTTTTGCTTCATCTGTGTCGCCCAGATCACTGTGTAAAGTACCCAGATTGTTGTAAGAGGTTGCAACATGAACATGCTCAGGTCCCAGCTGTTTCATCTGAATCTCCAGTGCACGCTTATAGCAGTCTTTTGCTTCATCTGTGTCGCCCAGAGCCTGGTGTAAAGTACCCAGATTGTTGTAAGAGCTTGCAACATCAACATGCTCAGGTCCCAGCTGTTTCATCTGAATCTCCAGTGCACGCTTATAGCAGTCTTTTGCTTCATCTGTGTCGCCCAGATCACTGTGTAAAGTACCCAGATTGTTGTAAGAGCTTGCAACATCAACATGCTCAGGTCCCAGCCTTTTCATTTGAATTTTTAACAGCCATTTACCATAGACTAGCGCCGCTCTAAACTCACTGTGGTTTAGGCACATGTTAGTAAGGCTCCAAAGGCCATCCGGAAAATTACACAAGGCTCTATTGCTCGCTTCTGGTATTCCTTTCCCGAGTGACATGTCTTCAATTTTTAAGCTCAACGTTGTAAGATGGGGAACTATTCTTGTTCCCACAACAATAGATTCCAGCTCTTCAAATTTTGAGAAAGACATTACCGCGCCATACACCACTTTGTAGCTTTGATCCTTTGCGAAACCTTTTGTCGCAGATTTAATAACATCAAGAACGACACCATGGACTCGAATATAAACACCAGTTGATTCTTCTTCAATTAGCAACAGTGAACATCGACTCATCCTTGTTCTTATCATATCTTCATCTTCAAAATCGTCATCAGTTGCTTTGATATACTCGGTAATAATGTCTTGCAGGATCGGCTGTGATGCACACATTGAGAGAAAAAGGAACGTGCGATGCCAAATTATGTCATCTGCCATCGCCTTTTCGACGGCGAGTGTTATTGCTTTGGTCATGGACTTTGAATAGCATGGATTTGTCTCAGCAAGAATGTTTTCAGTAGCACTTCGTTTCCCCATTTCCAATTTCTTCAAATAGTCGGTCCAGCCAAATTTCGAGGTTGCTTTATTCTGACGAACTTGTCTTACATACGTGGCTGCGCCTGCCAAGGCAAGTGGCTGGTAGTCGAGTACTTTCGCAGTTTCTTTTACAATCTTGACATCCGTGGTTCCAGTGAGGAGGTTCAGCAGAAAGCATGCATCATCAGGATGCATTCCAGCGCTGAGTGAGATATTTCGTATGGAAGAGCTTGACAACGGCATAGACGCAGTGTCTTGTGTTGTTATTAGCATCTGACCCCTTGCCCACAACTCGCTGTCTGCATCTGGCAAATAATCGCTTGTACGAGATTCGCTGGTCACATTATCAACTACTAACAGCCATGAAGCGTAATGCTCAATTTTTGTACTTATTAAGGTCTTGAAATATGAAATCTTCTCGTCTGTGTTCAAATCCTTGGAGCGGTAAGTGTTTGTTATTTCATACCCGGGACATTTGCAATGTTGAGCGAAAAGGACATACGATTTCAAAAGTGCTTCTGAGTTTTCAGCATTCAACGTCATGACAAATGAAGCTGCGGAAGGTATTTGTTCGACCTCGTCGTAAAATCGCCTGGCTGCTAAACGGGCCAGCTGAGATTTTCCACTTCCTGGATTTCCTGACAAATACAGTATGCTCAACCCATCATTGGCGTCTTTTAGTGTTTGGAGGTTTTGTAAAACTTCACCAACTTCAGATTCCCGAGGAGCGATGTCGTGGCTAGGTTTGGGAGGGAGAATGCAAAATGGAGAGACATCGGAATGTAATTGCTCTTCTAAGGCAAGCCTCTGTTCTTCTTTCACTTGAAGTTCCTCTTCCTTGTCCTTAACTTCTTGTTTCAAGTCGTCCACCTTCCTTAAAACCTCGTCTAACTCCTCTGTTAAGAAGTTTGTCTGATTTTGAACTTCATTGATTTTCAATGTCGGGAGACCGAGTGCGTGGAATGCAGTTTTAACCTTTGTAATGACAGTTTGGAAATCTCCGTTGGAGAGGTGGCCCCGAGGCATATGTGCAAATTCTTCATTTCGAAATTTCCTTAAGTCGTCCGCATTTGATCTAATTGATGGATTGAGAGAATATATGCAATCTGAATACAGGATAGCGTAAAACAGCATGGTACAATCCCACTCAGCTCTATCGCCATTCTTCATGGTTGTCAACAGCCCAGCGTTTCTTTTTCTGTTTCGAGTAGACTCGCCATTCCAGAAGTCCATTCCATTTTTGGGTTGATCTTTCCATTCTCCCAGTGTTGTCTTGTATCGATTGTCCCATTCTTGTTTGAAGATGGTTCGCAGACCCTCAGTTAGTATGTCAGTGACAACGTAACAAATCCTGTAGTAATTCAGTTGCTCTGTGGTGTACTTCAACCCAGTGGCCATTATCAGTTACATCCTATTAAAACCATAGTTATGTTAGTACCCAATTCGGTTATGTGAGTAGGTCGCTATACTTTTGCTGATCCTTTAACGGTTTTGTGGTACTTGGTGTGAATATTTATTTACCTACCAAGATATTTTCGCTGATACATGTCAATTATATTTTAGAGAGGAAGTAAGGGCAATTGAAAAACTCTCGCTTTCAAAACAATTTGCTCGATGGAGTCAAGGGCTAATAAAAGGGAGGAAAAGAGAGTGGTAAAGATCCACTGTCACTCATAACTTAAACGTCAGTATAATACAGAAAAGTGTTCAGAGCAACAAGGATACGGTTTATATGTGAAAGAAACCATCTTCTTGCTTCCTTATTTGTTAATTTGTTTCTTTCTTTCAGTGTTCACTTGGTTCCACGATAGGTATTTTTCGAGACACAGTCGACCTGAAATATGGAACTCGACAGATCTCACCTGATTTGGCCCCTTCGCATATTAGAGAGAAAAAACTAGGTTAAAATGTTGACACTGAATCACTCAGCCCAAGAACAAAATTACGCAGGGAACTCATGGTCGAAGTCAATGACAAGGGAGTTTTTAAGCTGTACGATTATCGTCTTCTGCTGAGCTGGTAGTTTTTTTCAGCTTGTGAGGTAATTGGTGATGGTACTCTTACAAAAGCTAAATTGCAAGTCTCCTAACATCAAGGATCACTTTTCCCTTAGTTCAAGCATGCTGATGGGATCAAGAACACTGCAAGGTAGTGAGAGGGTGGCGTACGTGGGAGATAAGGGAATGCAACAAGGAGGAGTCCCCATCATGATGAGTGTGAGGACAAAGAGAGCCTTAATGGAATGGATGCCAATCTGCATGAGGACCATTAAGGCAAGATTCTACTCAAAACACAAAAGCTAACGGTAATAAAAGCATATGCACCAACAGACGATGCGATGGACGAGGAAAAGGATGAATTTTACAATCAACTGCGAGACTCTGTTGCAAGCTGCAGTAGTCATGATATGATTTTGATGATGGGAGACCTGAACGCTTACGGGAGTAACAACATTAACAGAGAGGAGGTACTGAGGAAATTTAGTGTCGGAGTCATGAATGATAATGGGAAAGGTTATGTGACCTCTGTGGTACGAATGGCTTAGTTGTAACTGGAACAGTTTCCTACAGAAAGAGATCCATAAGCTGACCTGGAAGTCACCAGGTGGGAAGACTGTTAACCAGCTCGACCATGTCTTTGTGAATGGACGCATGAGAACATCGATTCTGGACACGAGAGTGATGGGAGGAGCAGACGTATATGGTGACTACTACCTGGTGAGAACCAGAATGAGACTAAAGTTGGCAAAGGCGCATGGGAAGAAGAAAACAAGTGTGAGATTTGACGTGTGTTAGTTGCAAAGTGAAGAGATCAGGAGGAGATATAACATTAAAGTGAAGAACAGGTTTGCAACGATATGAGATATAGAAGATTCAAAGGAAGCACGACAAGATCTTGGTGACGTACAGAGATGCCACATAGAAAGTTATTGGAAGGTAAAAAAGGAGAGCAAGCCATGGATAGGAGACACGACGTGGGAAAAAATTCAGGAGGGGTAAGACGCAAAACTTAATATAGAGGGTGCGAGATTGGAACGACTTGAACAGCGATAGAGAGAGGAGTATAGTGCGAAAGAAAAGGAAGTGAAAGAGAGTGCTAGGGAGGATAAGAGGAATTGGTTGGAGGAAAGGGCTACAGCAGCAGACAAGGCCGCTGAGAATGGTAGAAACGAGGAGCTAAACAGCATAACCAAGACAATAGCCGGGAACAGAGGAGGCGAGAATTGCGTGTGAAAGACAAACTGGGGGTGCATAAGACAGAATCACAAGAAAGATTGCAGAGCTGGGTAGAGAACTTGAGTAAAATTTTAAACAGAGATGACCCCACAAATCCGGTGGAAGAGAAAGAAGAAACAGAAGAACTGGAGTAGATTGAGGAAATCGATATAGGAAGATGGCGAATACAAGAGGTTAAGGATGCGTTCAGGAAAACAAAGCCAGTGCCCAGACCTACTAAGGGCTGACATGGAATACACCGCAAGTGGGCAGACTGATGATATAACAGGCTTTAGAAAAGAGAAAGGTGGCCAGAAGTGTGTAAGAAGGGACTTGTTGTCAATATATTTAAGAAAGGTGATTTGCGTGATTGTAACAATTGGAGAGGAGTGACTTTGCTACCCACCATCAATAGAATATTCCACAGGATGCTGCTAGAACGGATCAAGAAAGGTTTAGACAAGAAGCTTAAAAAAGAGCAGGCCGGCTTTAGACCAAATGGAAATACAACTGAACAGATCTTTACATTAAAGAAACATCTTAGAGCAGGCAAACGACTGGAGGGCGAGTCTGCACACGCACTTTGTGGACTTTGAAAAGAAGCCCTCGATTCGGTACACAGAGAAAGCTCGTGGAACACCACGGGGAGCTATGGAATTCCGCGCAAGATGGTGAGAGTGGTAGTGGGGATATACGGAGGGTTTGAATGCGCCGTAATCGACGGATGGGAGATATCAGACTGGTTCAAGATTTAGTCAAGAGTAAAGCAGGGATGCGTAATGTCAGGATTCTTATTCCTACTGGCTATGGATTGGATCATGAGGAAGACAACAGCAAGACACTGAGGATGGAGTTTGCAACGAACAGGGAGAGCATTGTGGTGAATGGTGAAGAAGTGAAAGATGTCGAGGAGTTTGCGTATCTTGGAGCTATTGTAGAAGAGAAAGGTGGAGGCAGTGAAGATATTAGGAACAGAATGCAGAAGGCACGAGGTGCATTCCAGAGGCTATGGAAGGTGTGGGTAGCCAGAAGAATAGGAAAGAGAGCCAAGATGTGCCAATTCAAGACTTTAGTCCGATCGGTCCTGCTACATGGTTGTGAAACATGGAAAATCACAAAGACCGATGAAAGAACACTGAAAAGTTTTCAGTACTAATGCCTAAGACGGATACTGAGGACAAGATGGCAGCAAAGAATGACAAACAGGAGAGTAGTTGAAATGGCAGACACCAATAAAATTGGTTGCGAGGTGGGAAGAAGAAGGTGGAACTGTTTAGGACATTTACTCAGGAGAGAGGGTGTGAACGACTTTTTTGCGGTATTGGGGTGGACACCAGAATGTCAAAGGGCGAGAGGGAGACCAAAGACCAGTTGGAGAGGGACTGTTGAAAGAGGAAAAAGGCAAGGCGATATGGAAGAGCTGGATTGTGGCTGGGGTGGCGGCACGCAACAGGGGGGTTGGGCGGACAATGTGACGGCCTTATGCACCTACTGGCCCAACGAGCGATGATGATGATAATGAGGATGATGATACACACCACACGTGACAGTTAACTTTAATTTACGTGCTATGGTAACCCGTGGTTTCTCGGCGAAAGGAAAGAAATAATTGCTGTGAAGCTAGAGATCGGAAACAAAAATAAATTTAGAGAAAAAGTGTACCGAACTTGTGGGGTACACTGTACTCTCAATCGTCAAATTCTTTCATTGTTTATCATCAACGTTCACCACGTCACAAACTTCCAACGCTCTCTCCTCAAACCTATCACTCTAATTATCACCTCTCCTATTTCAATCTTAACCTAACCGTGACTGCGTGAGTCTCATGTCACGCAACTTCCGTTTAAAAGGTTACTTGGAACTTACTTTCGAATCAGTGAGTTACATGATACATACCGTTCTAGAAGTTTGAGAAAACTTGGGAATACTTGAACTGTCTGCAATCAAAGGTTGAACAATTTAGAATCACGTGCTTTTAAAGCTGCTCAAGCAGCAAAATTATCTGTAGGTTCTTTTTTTATATCATAAGCAAAAAACACAGGCACTGTGTTTGGTTCTTACCTAAGATCTATTGGAGGACAAATGCATTTATTATACAAAACAAATAGAATCCATGCTGCCTGGGTTCTTTATGATAATAGATCACAGATGACGTCACAAATGTGGTAAAAACATCAGTGATACACTCAGCTGCGCTTCGTGTGCCTCTTTTTTGTTCTTACCACATTTTGACGCTATCTGTGATTTCTTACTGAACAAACGCTGGGCAACATGTAAGTTATTTTTTAAATTAACAAGTGTGACGATAGGTTTTCGCTCGCAAACTGGAAAACTGAATCTTCGCAGACGGCACAATAACAACTGTGGGAAATAACTCTGTAGAGACGACTTGCCAGCGAGAACGGAAACTCGTCACGATTTCCTGGTACACGGAGATCTACCTCGAGCGAGCTTATACGGACGTCAAGGATAAGACAATCTTTGGTTCCCCAGTACTTTTATTCTAGGTCAGGTCAACAAGCGACATGACCTCTAGCATACTCTAGTTTGTAATCATCAAAGCTGTACAAGGTACTTGCTTTTTTTAAGCTAACTGGTGTGAATTCTATGTTACACAGATCGTAATATTTGAATAAGGACACAAAAGAACGGAAAAAAGTCTCTTTGAAGTTAAATGAAAACTACTTAAATATTCCATCTGTTTCTACGACGGAACGAATCTCAAAATTAAAAAGACAGATGCAATAAACTCTAGGCCATTAAAGTAGGAAACCTAGGCGGGTTCAACTTGACACAAGTGCGAATTTACAACTCTGGTAACAGAACACGAAATAAAACCATCTTTAATTGCAGTAGCGCAGCTCAACAAATAGAAACGGAAAAGCAATTAAAATTTCTGCTTATCTTTGGTTTGGAAACCATCACATGAAAAGAAATTAAATTTAAGCGTATAAACACATTTATGCGCATGATCCGTTAAGTTAAGCAATTGCCCCAAAAAACCATGTAAGTAAAAAAAAAAAAGTGCCGAACGTTACAAAGGTACATATGATGAAAGCGAGTAACAACAAAAATCTATTCAAAAGCTACTGTGGTTTTTATGCATTTTTTGATTTATTAAAATGAAAGGACTTGAAATGGTTAAATGTGAAAGTTTACGAATAAATATGTACCGAATAACACACACGGGAAAATCAGTAAATTTTCGCGTAACACAAGTAAGGAATATCAAAACTTCTTATGTACGCTGTTAGACATTCTAGACTCCTTCTGGCGAAAGCAGCTATTCTGCGCCTTCTGCATCAAGCACTGCCACGATTACTAAGTTTCTATTCCTTATGGTTTCTTTTGCAAGTATTCCGAAAAATGTTTAAGCTTTTTGAACAGAGGTCAACCATATTCGCATGTCTTCTTCTAGAATGTTCTGCTCAAATTTTGTTTTTAAACCACATTGAAACAATTCTTGGAGCAAACTAGGAGAAAGGTCTAAATTAAGAGTTTTTCACGGATGGAAACACTTTCGAACGAACAATTCAGTTTAAAGTTCACAATCTTCAGCAATAAAACATAACAAATACACGCCCTCACATGGAATATTGACATTTGGAACATGATTTAAAAAGACACTTAACGAAAAGCATTTGTTTTTACTAAATCTTATTTGTTTTCTTTTTTTATGGACAACGGTTCTAATCCCACACAAAAGATCTCTCTTTAAAGTTTGCACCCTACATGTACTATGCATTAGTCAAGATTATTTTTCAAACTTCTTTCGCCCTACAAAAGTGTACAAAATTCGTGGCTCACTTGAGAGGGGGCTAATCCGGAAGATCATAATTTACAAGCAAAACACTTCGAGAAACTTTAAATGGAAAAGAAAATACTGCTAAGGCGTTTATCAAATGAATGTGATGTCATACCAACGGGCCATATCTCTTTATTCGCTAAAGTAATTACTTTACTGAGTAGGTTACTGGGTTGCGTCAATTGAGACAAGATAATTTATTTCCTCGTGGGTACGTTTGGTTGCACTCACCCGAAATAATTGATCGTTCAAGATAAGTCAAAATCAGGGGTAGACCAATGAATATAGCCTTAGTAAAAGACTTTCCCCAGATTAAGCCAAGAGATCCATTTGAAATAATTAGCGACCTTCTATGAAGTATATCATTTGTTTTACAGACTACCATTGAATTCGCTTTCGTTTCATCATTGGTCCATTTTTTTGCCCCCAGAAAAATAACACAACAATGTGCCTTGACCCGTTCATCTTAATTCTTTTTCAAACTTACTTCGCTCTACAAAAGTCGGTAAAAATTCCTCGCATTAAACACCATTTATTCAAGAAAGGCAGATGAAGAAGCAATCTTCAGACACCCGTGCCTGATATGATTACTACAACAATTGAACTTAAATTATGTTCAAGAATGTTTTGATCAAAGTCCTTTTCAGAAGAGTAACAAGGATAAAACATTCGATTTTAAGAAGCCTTTTTTAACAGACTGAAGATATCTTTTTCAAAGAATCTATGCAATAAGTACAACAGTGGGTTTGTCAAAATTTGAACCACGCAAGACAACAAACAAAAATTGCCCATGCACAACCAGCCTTCAACTCGTAAACAGGAACACGAAAGTAAAACCAGTGTGTTACGTATTGTGACCCTAACAAATAATAATAATCCGATGACATCGCGTGGTTTTTGAAGGCGTAGACAACCGCAAACGTCACATTTGTGCGTTGATCCCTTCTTCGGTCCTTAAAAAAATATTTTACGAAATTCTCGAATCGGCAGGAGTGGGTTGTAGAGAGAAGGGAAGGGGGGTTAACTTGCACACCATTCCACATTCCCTCACTGAATACAAAGCAGACAAAAGACAACATCAAGAAAATGCTAAATTTGGCGATTTTCTTACTGTAGTCGTGTCTGGTGTGATATTTTAAGTAATTGGAGTAAGCTCTTGGACAGAGGTCAAACATATTCCCGTGTCTTCTTCTAGAATGTTCTGATAAAATTTTTTTTTCGAACCGCATTGAGACAGTTCTTGGAGCAAACAAGGAAAATGTTCTAAATTGAGAGTCTTTCACCAGAGGTAAAACTTTTGAACGAACACAATTCAGTTTAAAGTTCACAATTTTCAACAATAAAACAAACCTTACACTTTCTTCATCAAAATGCTCAGCAAGCTAAGAGCGTGTAACTTTACAAAATTAGGGGAAAATGTTTGTGGACTGAACGGTGAATTCGAAATATTGGATCTCTAATCGACTGCGGAGTTGTTTTTGTCTGTTTGTTTCTCTCAGACAATCGACAGTCGCAAAACTTCCCCAACATCAAAACACACGCAATGACTAAATAGATAGAAAGATCACGATCGTTTTTCAATCTCGAAATCGAAGACTAGTACTGTATTTCTTGCTGTTGTCCAAAGGCAGGTGTATGTTTAGTTTCAGTTTCAAAGTTAGCAAGTCCTGGCCTGCTACAGAAACAACTAAATTACTCTATAACACAATGTACTTACCAGCGAGGCTAATTTTATTGCCTTGAGGAACAACTATGGCCGATAAGTGGTATCCTTTGTCTCTCGATATTTTCACTGCCGCTGTAGATCGTGATGGCCGAGCTCGCACGAAAAAGACTCCGAGTCGTTTTCTTCCAATCAAAACGTCTCGATCTACGTACATCGGAGGTGAAAACAAAGCGCAATATAAACGATTATACTTTAGCTGATATTGTATTTAACGACGATGAATAACCACAGTTTCTTCATACGAGATAAGATTTACCATTCAGCAAATCAAGAATCGTATTAATTCCGTCTAATTAAGAGAAACCATAGTTCTGAAAATGAATGAAGGACAAATTCCTAATTTGTTGTATTGAAAACGAAATCGACTTAGCATTTGATAAATGATTAAAATGAAGCAGGGTTAAACTCGTTCATAGAGCCGTTAAGCTTTGCAGTTTGAGTCTACGAGCAAGAATATTTAACAACACCCTTAATGGTCTTACACCGAGCTTTGGTCTCGTTGTAAACAAACGCTATTTGGAATTTTCTTCTCGAATCTTGATTACAAATGATCTATACTTACTTCGTTGAGGATTTCAGGAACTATCGCGGGAACAAGTCGACGTTTCAGCCAACAAAATGACAAAGTACTGCTCGGAAGCAACCACGCTCAAAAGTGAAACCAACTTGCAGAGCGCAGCATATCTGATGACATTTCGCGTGTTGACTTTCACAACTAAACGTCAGCAGCAGACAGATTTGCGCCTGATCTCATTAGAAAAGAATCCAGGTCATTCAAACAGCTGATGACTAAATTGTAGGTAGGGGTAGGGTTAGGAGGAGGGGATCATTAAGGAAGTTTTGTCGTTTCGGGCTTAATTTCTGGGTTAGCGGCGATACTAAAGAAAGAGTCATTTTTATAGCCTGGGGGGCTGGAGGAAATGTTTTTTTAAGGGAGAGGATGGGATCACATAGTTTTCAGGAGGAAAGGAGGGGGAGTCAGTCGTCTCAAACAGAGTTAAGGACTTTGGTAGAGCTGAAACGACAACTAGCATTGTATATGGTCCATTCTATATTGAAAAAAATAATTACACTGGAAAAACATAGTTTTCATCAGAATAAGAAGTATACTCACATTTAAGTCAACTGAAAACGTCAAGTTCTGCCTTTACAGGTAATTATGAAGCAATTCAAACAAAAACTTACCATCGCTATATCTAATATAAATTTCAAAAGCTTTTCAATACAAAGGAAATCAATTTTTTGGTTGGTACTTTTCAGAGGATTGGAGAGGAAATTTTTTTCCATAATGTCTGTTACCTTGAAAGTATGTAGAAAACTTTGCATATTTGAAACCCATTCATTCAGATTTAATAAAAATATTATTTTATAAGACGTAAAGAAATTCATTCACTCTTTAGTATAATGGTGATCTGTATGAAAACAACATAAAGTTGAAAATTCACCATGTTAAGTGTTTATTGAATGTTCTGGAGCCTTGATTCAAGGCTGGTAGCCTTCACAAAATTGGAAAATTTCTTTCTGTCATGAAATATTTGCTGATTAAATTTCAAGTAATTGCTGGATTTTTGCCACCATTTCCAGCCAATCTACAATGGTAATAGGACTGAGTGGAGTCTTATTCGGTCTGTTGTTATCATACACGTGATTAACAAAATTGGACGACTGCAAAGCAAGAGACCAATTTGTCAATCACGAGTATGATTACAGAAAGAAGTGGACGACAAAAAGTCCTGTTACCATTTAATCTTAATTGTTATTATTTCTGAAAACAAGAAATACATTTAGGTCAAATATCTCTGGTATAGACAATGTCTACAGTAAAAAAATATGTCTCCATTTTGGAAATTCTTAATTTTTTTTTTGAGACAAGTGGTTGTTGCTATGGTTATTGTGATTAACTCTGTGATTGGTGGATTTGGCTGACTGAACTTAGTATGATTCGTTGCTTCAACTGTCCAATTACAGGTATCCGATTAAAGCCAACTGTCCAATTATGCTGTCCAATTAAAGCTGTACAGAATGAGAAGTGAAAAAATGAAGCAGCTAATGCACCAATCACATTTGAAGAAATTGCAATGGTTATGATTAGTGCCTGAATAGCCTGTTCCAGGCATTCAGTCGGCAAAACAAAGTGTGATAGTAAACAGCACTATAGTAGCAGAGAAGTGAAAAAGCGAGGGAGGCTTGGGTTGAGTCACTCAATGAATCCCACCTAACCCAAGCCTCTCTTGCTGTTTCACTTTTCCGCTCCAGTCTCTGCTCCGTTTTACTAACTGAACACCTGGAGTGAGCCAATGCCTGAAACGACCTTGCATCGTTTTAAAAATTATTTTTGTATTATCCGTGTCAAATCAACATAATCTAATTTCATAAAGAAAATTAGAAATAAATTTTGGCCTCCCAAATTTACGGTGCCGTCTATTTTCTCTGTGCTCATTGATTAAGCAGATTTTTTCATGTCATTCAATAGTTTGGCCAAAATGGCGTAGGTATCTCTTCCATTCTTTAACCGCGATTCAGCGTACTGGATAAGACTGGCTTGCAGGCTCAACACCCTTTGCCTATTGTAACGGATCATCTATATTTAAATTAAAAAAAACAAAAATTAAAATCAATCGAGTAAGCAGATTGTCTACTGCAGTTAGAGCGAAATGACAATTTCTTTTTATGTGCCCTTAACAAATATTTAAATCATCTGCCATTTCTCCTCTGTTTATTACGCCGGCACAAAGGATTCATTGTAAACCAAGGAAAATGGTTGAAAATCAAATTGTTGATGAGCGATTTTGTCACTTTGGATTCTCAGAGGTTAATGGTACTTGCTCATCACTTTCAAGTTAGCCAATCAGTGTGTTCAAAAAATACTATTCACTTGTGTGGTGTAAACTAATTTTTTGATATTCAGGTTTTAACATGAAAATGGCACAAATATTCATATTATTGTTTGACATGTGTCTTACAAGTAAACCAACAACAGGGTGGTCTGCCTGTAAAACAAACCAAGAAATGCAACCAGGTAAGGGTGGCATGCAAAATTTTCTGGCAAAACAGTAAGCCAAAAGTCTAAGTAAAACAAAAGGCCTTTTTTATATCATTTTATTCACCTCTTTCTTTGCAGCTTCTGAAATTGAATTGTATGCTTCCTCTGCATCGTCTTTGGCTTTTTGAAGCTGAAAATAAAAAAATGTGTAAAACAATTTAGGATTCTTCAATTCTGGTGTTCACCATAATTATTCAGAAGCTCAACTTGAACTTCGAGTCTATTGCTAAGTGCAGCCTCATGTGAATCACGAGAAAAACAAAAAACAAAAAAAAAAACAACACTCAATCACATGTAAAAAATCAGAGAGAGGTGCAAAGCACATGTTTGTCAGAACCTTACCATTTCTTGGTTCTTGGGTTTGGCTTTTTCCAGTGCTTTTGTTGCGTTCTCATACTCAACTAGTTTACATGTACGACGGAAAAGCATCTCCTGCAGGGTAAGAGATGGACAAAACAAGTGCAGTAAACAGTTAAAATAATCATCTTGAGACAGCAAGAAGAAATAACCAATTAAAAAAAGGGGTTTTCAAAGTTAGGGCACTGGAATTGCAATCCAGAAGTCCCACATTCCAGCTCATCTGTACTTGATGGTTCCAAATTCAATTATACCACAAAGCATTGTAAATAAAAAAAAACTCCCCAAGTCAGTTCATGTTTCCGTTCCACCATTCCAGTCTTTGTTTGCAAGTTTTCCATCCCTCTTGCTTAGCAGTATGAAAATGAAATGTTAATTACTCCAAAGGGTGCTTTCTCTACAGATAACCTCTCTCTTGTGCTACATTCATGTAAATGCTCTAATACTCACCAATGAATTGAAAAAATTGAATGCAATAGAGATAGAGGGGGTAGAACCCAGTGTTCTCATTCAAGACACAACCCACAAAGCATTTGGGATATGAGAAATAGATTGGTCAACAGTCTGGCTGATGAATTCTTGTTGTTGTTTGGTTATTTTTGGTTTTTCTCCTCTTTCTTTTTTAGATGCGCAGTGATCCTGAGCTTTTCTCAGGCTGTGACAATGCTCTCATCCCACCCCACCCCAAAAGAAAATAGTCACCTCCTTTCCCCTTCCCTAACCCTGCCCACAAAAGGAAAGTTGGTATCCTTTGAAGAGTTCAATAAGATCCAAGTTTTCCAATACATATTTCACATACCTTGGCAGCATCCATGTATCTGGAATAAAGTTCTAAAGTAAAACCTAATGTGTTGTCATCATTAGTGGACATAACATCCAGTGATTCCTAAAGAAAGGAGAAGACACACACACACACACGAGTAAGCCAAAACAAATTAAACTCTTGGAATTGAAAATACTGCCAGCAACACTAGTTCCTGTCTAAAAAGCTACCATACCTTGACACCATTTAGTGCGCTTGAAAAAGTCACAAATTTCCTGTAAAAGTAAAGATACATTTTAAAATTAGCTTTTTGTTAAACACTGACATACTGTTATTGGTACAAATTCTATTATACTGACAAGGAGAAGTTGTTCAACAATCAAGAGCTTCTTTGTTTTTTTCTATCATTTCCTTTATTCTCATGACCTTAATGTACTATGCAGCAGTGATATGGTGAGGAGAATTTAGATGCTGATCACTTCAACAAGAGAGGAAGACATAACTATCATGCTAAGGTCTTGATAGGTCTTGATTGCCTCTTATTGCCAGTTCTCATGATGGTTACAGTGAGTAGAGCTAGCATGTAAGATGTGGTAAAACAGTGGTTATTCACATGGGAAAAAAAATCAGCCAAACTATATGTCTGGTCCATCATTGCTTGCATTGGAAGTTTGCCACCACAGGTTAATAATGGAAAGATATGAAATAAATATTATTTTAAGTAATTATTACAAAATCATATCATTTAGCAATTTCAGACAAAGAACAACAAACCCTTTCAATTCCTTGGTACTATTATCATCACCAGCCGATGCTGTCATGATGCCAGAACTAAAATCATTCACTGCTAATGCAACACCTAAAATTCACAAAGAAATTCAAAATTACCAAACTTACATATACATGTACAAATATGCCATTATGGTGAGATTGTCATAATCATACATTATCATAAATTATCAAAAACAATCATACATTTTGCAACATCCTAATACATTATAATACTTAATGAATAATACTTCAAGTATGTCTTTGCCACCCTCATGTTGTTTTCACATGGATGTTCTTTTGATATCAATGTTTTGGCCATACTTTCTGTCAAAATTCACTTGACTAGACCATTCACTAAAATCATGAGATTTAAAGGTGTCATTGGCTATTTCAGCCTAAACAACCTTAACGCAGATTACACATTCCCGCAAATAAAACATTGCTACATACGTTGCTGACTGTGTACCATTTTGGTGAAGTTCTACAAAAAACAAATAGAAAAACAACTATTTATTGTAGGAATTAATCTCAAAATTGTTCACTCTCACTTAAAACCTAAAACCAAATCTCACTTTCATCTAAAACCTTGCTCTTATCATGGGTGCTGTTTGGTGCAAAGCCAATTTACAAAAGCATATTTTAATTGTTTATTTTATTATTGACATTCAGAGATTGTGTCTTTTCAACCACAATTTCCTGCAGAGTTGGCATTGTTTAATTCCAGGTCTTTTTCCTCTATAAAAGACCCCCAAAGCAAACCAACAAGATACATGTAAATGTACTCTATCCTTAAACCACAAGTAACACAGGGTGCAGAATCCAAGCCTAGACTGATGTTGTTAGAGGCAAGTATTTACCCTATTAACCCTTAAACTCCAGTGTGTGACCAAAACATTATTTCTCCTCACCATATCAATACAACACCAAGCAGGCAAGTGATGCTCAGATTATTAGTTGATCCAAAACCAAATTCTCTGAACTAACATCATATGAAAGCTATGGCAAACAGTTAAGAGGATTACTGAATCATAATGCACCTCTGGAGTAAGATTCTGTTTGAAAAAATATTATAACTACTGACCCCATATGTCTCCTTGGTAAGTGGTGTGTACTCTTCCACAAAATCTCTTTTCTTCTGAAATTCTTCATCAAGATCCTAACCAAGAGGAATAACTTCAGGTTATTTGTATTTCTGGGAAGGCCAAGTTATTCTCTTAATGGTTAAATTCAAAAGAAAGTTAGGTCATCTGTCAGCAGGGCCTCGTTATTTGCTCTTTGGCAAGGGTATTTCTTCACCCAGCAGAAAGGATTGAAACCTAAAGCAACACAAGCTGCTGAGAGGCCTGCAAAGAGTTTAACACTGATAAGGAAGGACCAAGTATTCAGCAGTTTAACCCCTCAGAGTGACTGAGATCTAATTTCTCCTTACCATATCCCCACTGAACCAAACATTAAGGTCAGGAGAATAAAGGAGCTGATCACCAACTGGAGAAGCTCTTGATTGTTAGACAAATTCTCCATGTTGGCATCTTAGGAAATGTTTCAAGAACAGTATGAAGAATATGCATACTGATGTTTGTGTATACCACAGTTCAAACTACAATTATTAATATTTTACTTCCCTGAATGAGACATACACTGTATGTAATTAAAACTTACAATAATCCAGTGATATCACAATTTTACTAAATAAAGATTTCTTGGATAAAAGATCAAAACAAAACAAAACAAAAAACCATAAAATAAACCATGGAAAATTTTGTACCTTGTGACTATGATGCCTGAAATCATCCACAGCTCGTGATAAACTTGTCATAAGACCTTTTTTCACTTTGCTTCTGACTGGTGGCTATATGAGAATTTTTAAAAAAGAGTGTTTATATCTTACACTGTAAGTGAGCATGAGAGATGCCATGGAGTCTCTGAGTTGAAAAGCTAAGAAGATTAATTACTCAAAGCAGGGAGTTTAATAATGATTATCAAACTTTGTTTTGCTAAGTTGCAACAGACATGTTCTTACAAAAAAAAATCCCCCAGGTATGTACAAAAAAACAGCGAGAAAACTGTTGACACATTACCATTGAAATGGTAATATTCTGGAATAGCATACCAATAAAATTCCTAACTTTCGACTGTTCCTCTCGAGTAGCATATTGCTTTAATTGTTTTAAACCATTCTACAACATTGACTGGTGGAAGAGGTTATTGCAGTGAAATGCAATTCAATTTTTTACTCCATTTCTACATACCTCCTTAGAAGTGGCTCAGTGGATGTTGTGTCAACTGATTTTGTGTTAAAAACATATATGACCACTAACAATGAATAACGCAGTTGTTGATTTTATGAAAAATACACCTACTATGGAGTTTAAATCATGTGTTGTTCTGCCATATTATGTCAGTTTACAAATTTTGAGGAAACAGTCATCCATGCTTACAGGGATTGTGGCCAAACACCTGTAACTGTATCTTATTATTTGAAAAACTCACATTTTCCTCTTTCAAAAACTTTTGCAAATCTTCATCTTTTGAAAAGGCTGGGTGGGCAACAACAAGTTGAAGAAATCTGGAAGACATCAACCATTTTAATTCTTGAGATGGGCTTATGCAGTGTAAACATGTGAATCAACTGTCTAAAGAACTGAATCATTTCTCAGAAAGTTTCTCTAAGATTTGTTTTTTGTTTCCTGTTGGTTTGTTTTCTTGATTATTTTAGTTTCACTTAGCCAGTTTACAGAAAGAAAAAACCTAAATGGCAAATTAAACAACTTTCCCAACCCACTGTTCTTCTTTTCAAGACTCTGTTCTGCAGGAAATCCATATAATTACTGAACTGTTCTCTTTTCCTATTCCTCCATTCCTCTTTTCATTGGTTTTGCCCAATTTCTTTACTCCAACAAAGACTTTGTCTCAACATGTACAAATGCACCTCTTTTTCTCCATTATTCCATTTCTCAGAACATTCCTCTACAACCAAAATCTGCATCTCTGTGCTAGCTGCTTGCATACCTTCTTTATTCAATTGCTCTATTATTCACGAAGCTACCCAATCAATCTTTTCTTTCCCTACAATCTTGCTTTATTTAAACGATATCTGACAGATGCATGTAGTGTTCATACCAACATTGTACATGTACATACATACATTCATATACTTTATTTATGCTCAAAATACACATTGTAGCTGTAGAGCTAATATCTTCAAGAAACTAAGCTAAAATAAAACATGCTATATTACAATTCCAATATTATTTATAAACTATATATTCTATGTATATTCTGCCTTTTTTGTTTCGTTTGTTCATAAATTTAGAAATTTTTTCATCAGCCATCATCCCTTCAACAATTCCCTTCATATAAACATTTCAAAACTTACTTCTCTACATTGCGACAATCTCTTGAAAACTCATCAGCAACCATGTTTTTAGCATCTTTCCCTGGAAAATGAATATTAGTACCAACAGATGACAAAATATCATTATTGTAGAGTAGAGGCAACATTTATCATAAAAACTTATGGTTTCAATTGCGTAATTCCTTACAATACAACAAATGTGCAAGTACAAAAGACATGAAACAATTTAAACTAAATTATGCACAGTCCAGCTCATAATGTGCAGCATGTTACTAATAAAGTTCAGCACAGAGCATCCTTTATTTTAATTATGGTATATAATAATAATTTGAATATATAAATAGACTTTAATGGCCATCACAAAGTATGATTTAAAAAAGGAAATAGAATCTCTGCTTATCAAATTGATGCAATTCACAATAATCTCTGAGATTCTCTGGAGTGTTTCATTTCCCACTTACCAAGTTGCTTTTTAGATTTTGCTTCTGCAGCACTGACTGTGGTCATGGGCTTTGGAGGTAAAGGTGGTATCTGATGAAAGAAAATTATCTCAATTAACCCTTTAACTCCCAAGATCTGATTGTTAATTCTCCCCTGTAGCTGCTACACACTTCCCTGTAAATTAGTTATGAGAACTTGCTGCTAGATCAAGATAGCAGCTTCTACCTGATAAGTTTGTATATTCTCATTACCTGTTTGCTGAATAATGTATGGATATTGTAGGGAGAAGTTTTATTTTAATCACTTCTGGGAGTTAAAGGGTTAAGATATTGTCTTTTGGAGCCCACTTTCATGGCTGTACTTTAGAGCAAAATGAAAAATATAGAGAAATAGTTGACAAAGCAAATAAAATTAAAAAATGACAAATTTAACCCTTAAACTCCCAAGAATGACCAAGAAAGAATTTCATCTCACGATATTTACACAACATCAACCAGATAAGAGATGAGAAAAAAAGAAAAATATCAATTTGGGGATAATTGGTTGATCCAATACTAAATTCTCTGAAATTACATTATAAGAATTGTATGGTTGACAGTAAAGAGAATTACAGATTTGATCTGGGAGTTAAAGGTTAACAGACTTACAACAACTCCATCCACATTATTGTGAGCTATTAAACAGTGAGAGAGCCACTCTAGGTCTTCATACTGACGAAGAACTACAACTCCTTTCTCTTCATCACTGTCATCAACCTGTTGAAGCAAATAGCACAGATACATAGAACTGCTTCAAGTGATTCTCTTTACACCCTATAATCAATAGCTACATTCTCCATACTTTTTTCCTAATGTTTCTTATGGTAATGTTAAGGAGAATTTGTTTCTTATCAAGAGCTTTCTCAGTTAGCCATCATTTCCTATTTACCCATGCCCTTATGCCTGTCTCAACAATAACACCATTGGGAGAAATTAGGTGCTGGACAATCTTGTAATGGATAGAAGAGTTTTAAAAACCCTTTGCCATTTGCTTCAGTTCCCCTGAGATCTGGAAAATTGTAAAATATTATTGTTCTCACTCAATCCTAATTATAATCCCTGCAATAATGCATCAAGAAAAATTTTGTACCTCAGTGTTAAAAAAAAATTGTCTGATTTTTTTCTTTAGAAAAACTCTTGTTTTCAAACTCTCTGCCATTGCCAGATAATTTAGCAATAGAACTGCAAATTGAAGAGCTACAGGGTAAAGGTATTTAAAAAGCATCTTAAAAATTGCAGGTTGTGACTTGCAATACCATCAGGATTTGAAGATGCAGACAGCATACCACCATCATGAATTAAGAAGAGAACAAAACCACGCCCCCTTCTTTGCCCCTCGCCTTAATTCTCGGATGGGATCAAAACATATCTTCTCTTCACATTCTTAATGTTTAACTTGGCAAACTGGCAATTTTTGATAACCCAACCCCGGATTGCTTTAAAAAAATCTACACTATTAGCTGGCCTCAAAATAAAGACCTTTAAAAAGATTTACATGACCTCTCTCGAGGATATCACGAGGTTTATTAGCCAGCTGAAAAGTAACAAAAGCAACAAACCGAAACGGTCGGTTCGTAATGGATGATAATGAATATGGATGATCACAGAAATTTCAGTATTACAACAATCTTCTAGCTGCAGCAGAGAAGAGAAAGGTAAATGTTCGGCTGGATTCGTCACTCTCCCAAACTTCATGAAACTTGGATAGGTTATGGCAAAGCGAAATTCTAAAGCTATCTCATTTTTCAGAATCGTCTTGCAAGTCTGCGAACTATTTCAAGGAAATGCGGATGGATTAAGGTCGCAGTACCATTCTCCGAGGATAACAAGGGTAGATTTCAATAAAATCAGAGATAAGCGAAGTGGACTTACAATGTTGGTTTGTATGGTGAATTTTACGATTTCGCCGTCCTTGCTTGCATCAAGAACTTTCACCGGCCAGGACAAACCGTGTTCTCCGACGCCATTCACTTCACTTTCCGCCTGAAAGGAAAGCAAATTAGACACACCTGCAGGAATCTAAAGCAGCTCTACTTTTCTTTAAAACAGCTGTTACCATCTTGAGTCATCAGAACAGCCCACAATCTGTACTCCGGTGGTTTAATCTCTGTTGCAAGTCGATGATAAAACCAGCGCTTATGGGCGGTGATAGTTAAGTTACATTACACCACATTAAATCTCTTGCTTCAAACAACCGCGTAACAGCCGTCATTTTAACTGACAGCGCAAACTCATTCCCAGGGTCTCTCCTAAAAAGCGCGGCAGTTACGCAAAAATGTTCCAGGAATTAGCAAACGGAGGTGGCCTAGAGCCTTTTCCTGCTATTAAGGCGAAAAGCTGTTTGGCCGGTTGTCATAAAGAAAACTGAATCATTGCTAATATCATGGATGCCCAAAATTCCATTCCTAGCGGGTTTTATTATGATTTCTGTTTCCTTTGGTACAAGTTTACTCATCATGTCAAGATTTATCTTGGAAGAATTTAATTTAAGGATTTGATTAGGCATCTTATAAAATCTTGTAACATTTAGCCAGAATATCTCGAGTTTCTAACTTGCAATCCTGACTAATCCTCTTTTGTTTTTCTTTTTCCGACCTCGCCTAAGGGACGGACCATTATTTTTCTAGAGGGGGATGTGAGAAATATTGAAAAAAAACTGTGTGCAGGATCTGAAAAGACATAATAAATTGTTTGCAAATGTGATAAGGTAAAAAAAATATTTTTTTGCAGAGAAGTCAGGTAAGTTATTAAAAAACATTATTACCAAACTGAAATAAAAAAATAAAGTAACAAATTCAAGCATTAGTTTAAAAATTATCACAATTTGGTCACTAAAAAGTGGTTACTCTGCCAGCAAGTAACAAATCTGAAAATAGCAGAATATTTCTTGAAAAATGAGAATTTATTGTGGCAGTTAAATCTCAATGTTACTTGTCAACATTTCGTCCTACTACAAAACTTCATGGTTATATCAGGTATTTTTCTCAAAACAAAATAATATTCTTCGATCTTGGCTATATTTATCATTGCCACTTAATACATGTTTCATAGTTCAATAAGGCAATTGTAATATTTAGCACAAATAAAAAGAACACGGGAAAAAATGGAAAAAAAATTGTTTGCGCAAAGATGATGTTGGAAAAAAATGTTTGCAAAGACGTATATATTTAAAAAAATGTTTGCAGAAGAAAATGTCTCATACCCCCCTTAAGAAAAATAATGGTCCGTCCCTAATTATTTTGTGATTCCCGACCACACCCTTTCGACACGAACAGCTAAGGTCAGTTAAGGGCCCGTTTGAAGTGAGGATAAGCGTGTCAACTAAGGGTTGGCTCATGATTCATCCCCTGAGGGAAATAAGGCGGATTCTGTCGTGTGACAATAAAATTTAAGCGATCACTTCTCTAAGGTTCTGTAGAATTTTAATAATCCCCCTCGTTGGCAGTACCCCTATTTACTTTACGGAACCAAAAGCTACTTTCGTATTTTCGTATGAAGCGGTAACCTACATAATGCCTGATGAGTTTGACTTCAGATCGAGAGCTTCAAGCACGAATCCTTACCAGGAAAAAATTTTTTCGAGACACCGGGTAACTTTACAAGCTGAGTCTTAAGGGGGTGATGGCCTTTCTGGCCAATGAGTTAACCCTTTAACTCCCAAGATCTGATTGTCAATTCTCCCCTCTGGCTACTACACATTTCCTTGTAAATTGATTACGAGAATTAGGTGTCCAATCAAGGTAATAAATTGTACCTGATGAGTTTGATAATGTTTGGATACCATCATAAGAGGTTACATGGTAATCTCTTCTGGGAGTTAAATGGTTAAATTTTGGCTATTTTACGCTAATCGATTTGAAATAATAACTTTTTACAGTTAACTCTTTTTACGATTAATAGTTAAAAAAAAGTGTTTGTGAATTTTTACGCCTTACAGATAAATTTGTTTGCCTTTTTAAGGCTAACGGTTAGCCTTATTAATACCCCAAGCCTGGTACAATGTTTTGCGATCTAAACCTTGGAAATAGCAGCAAAGATAAATCCAGGATGGGGGAAGGGGTAAATCCTGTAATACCCTGAACCCTTCGGTGGAATGATTTTTTGTTTTAATCCAAGAGTATACAAATCTTATGGTTCAGGTCGAGAGAAAGCGCGTACACAGTGCGATTCCTCCCCCCTCCCCCCCCTTTTCTACAATCTTACCAACGCCCCTGAATGGAGCTGGTCTAAACTCCAAAACCAGCCCGCTCTTTATTCATTTCCTAATATCTACACCGTATGAATTTCAAACCATGAACATCACGATCTTCAATGCAAACACGGCAACCAAAGACAGGTTAAATTTTCAGGACAGGTTACTGTCAGAAATTTTCAAGAAAAAGAGGCAGTATCAGCAAGAGTACGCAGTATCAGTAAGAGTATGCAGTATTGTCACATGACCCGTGCGGCCCCGTGCGCGGTTTCACTGTGAAACGGGTATTGAAAAAAAATCCATACCATGTATGGAGGCCGTTGCGACTTTCGCGCGGGTAAGGTCAGAAAAAGGCGTACAGAAGAGAGAGAGAGAGAAAGAACTGTTTTTATATGATAAACGATTCAATGACTGAGTAGGCTTGAGTAAGGCTGGGCTAGGCAGGAAAATACTTTGCTTTCGCTCATAACGTGCAGGCTCGTCAAGCTGAAAGTTTTTTCGTCCAGCCCTCACCCCTCCAGTATAAGTAAATAATGTTTCTTGACCCTAAGAATTTTACGCTAGCCACAGAGAATGGGATAAGCTCTGACGACTGTTATGCCACTTGAAAACCAATCCTAGAATACAAAAAATTTTTCTTCAAACTCTGGGCACCATGAAAGACCAAGAGAAAAGAATCATTTTCTTTTAGAAAGACATATTCCAACCGAGAAAGAAATCCTAGGCAAAAAAAGGAGTTTGACATTTCAGCTTCTATATTAGATTTAAATTAAACTTACACGTTTATCCCGCGGCAATCCACGTGAAAATAAGCAATGTATAAATTTTCCGTTCCCCACCGAAAATAGTCCACTTTACGAAATATTGAATTTGGACCACTAAGTTGTACTGCACATGCGTAAATACTGAAGCGCGGCAGTCGCATGTGAAATTATATATTTTACAAACATGGTCGGATAAGTGATGTTGGTCTCTAAGGTTAATTTTTTTCCTCTTTTTTCAGTAGAAATTACCTAATTGAAAGCTTTCCTAATTTTAAGTCAAGCTAAAATGTAACTCTGGGAAAATTATCATATTTTTTGTGTCAATTTTTTTTCAGCCGCCTGACAAAATTTTTAACAATAAAAAAAATGGGTAAATATGCATCTACGACGTTTTCCTCCCTACAAATACCACAAATTAGATTTGTACCTATCCAGACCAATTTTTCGGTATCTTCTGACGGATTCTAAACAGCCGCAATTAAGGAAAGATCGATTAAAATGTTTCACTATTTTATTGAAAGAAACTCGTAACGAAGCAGAAAGTAATTTTAGTTTGACTAAATTATTCATGAGTAAAAATATAGAAAACGCTTCTCCTGTCCGCGAATTAGTAAAAATCGATATGCCGAAATGCCTGGGGACTTAAAAAAAAATCTAAAAGCTGGACTTTGTCTCCTGCAATTATTTATTTCATTTAGAAATGGGTCTCCAACATTCAGAATTGATCAAGAACTTGAACGAACCATGCAGAATGCGATTTTCTCAAAGAGCAGGTAACTATGCACTCTGAACATATTTTTATATCAAAGAGATACTCTGAGGAAGCTTTTTAAATAAGTTCACAAAAAACCTAACATTTTATTCATTAGTGATTATGCGGAAAAAAATCTTCCCTGAAAAATAACGCGAAAACTATTAAAGAAATGGGAATGCTTTCATCTTTGCATTTTCAACGATGGGGAAGTAAAAACTTGCTAAGTCGGAAACATCAGGTAAATTTAAATCAAAAAAACCTCCTTACAAGTTTCGTATAATCCATATGTTTTTCAATTTTATTTTGGTCGGGTTTCGAAATCAAATTCTGGATAAACCTCATTTCAGCGTGTTTTAAATAATGCGCAATTTAAAACATTTAAGTATTTTTCAGCGAGTTATGTGGAAAACAACTCTTGGGAAAAATCTTGGGAGATCTTTCTTCCTGGAGTTTTCGTTTTCTTCTTCATTTATATTTTTCCGGTGAGAAGCCTTAAAATTATCGTTTTTGGGCAAACACTTTAAGAAATATAACGCTTTATAAAATAGTATTACGATAAACGCTGAGTTTTTCATGATGGTTTTTCATTAGAACCGGTCCTAACGCAATTTTCACCAGGACAGGTGGTACACAGATAGGTATATTCTATCGACTACATCCATGTAGAGACACTAGCTGGTTTATCGTCCACCAAATGGTGTTCCATATTGCCTCCCATCCTCTGCTATGTTAACGAACAAGACAAGCTATTCGTATAATTTTTAATAGTATTTCAATGAGATCTATCGAAAAGTAAAAAAAAAAAACGGCGTTCGGCGCGCTATGGCAAGAATAATCCTACGAAATACACACCACCTATGAAGTGAAATATCGCAAATATGATAACTTGGTAAAAGGCCAGGACTGAGAGGATAAAACCAACTTTTCATGCCGTCTATATCACAAATAGATTTATGTATTATATTCGAAAACGTTCCATTAGAGAATTCGTATTTGACGATCGGTTTAAAGCAATCACTATCTGAAAAGTACTCTTCAGAATACGGCTAAATTGTCTTTTTAGAATTTAGACGAAAAACTCGAAAGTTTAAAAGCAGAATGGTTCTTTTAAGAAATCTTTAAGAGGAGAACTTACTAAAACTATCATAGCTTTGTTTTCTAAAGGAGTTTTTAGTTGCGTAGACAAAAAACAGGAGTTCCTCAAGAGATCACGAAACTTCGCCACAAGAGTGAAATGTTTCTGGAGGAGTTAAAAAAAACTTCAAAGCCATTCTTTTCACTGGGTGTTTAAGAAAACTGAAAACTGACTCGATCGAACGGGAAATAGAGCATTTATCTTCTACCGCAAAGAGGAGAGAAATGGAAGAAAAAGTTATTTCACATCTGCTATGGTTTAAAATGCGGCTAAGTTTGAGTAGCCACCTTTATTTCAACATGTTTTCAGAGCTATCCAAGAATAAAAAGGATATTTCTTTAGGCAAGTATATTAGAAGACTGTGAATAAACAGCGTTTTTCAAAGACAGAACACGTTTTTTTTTTTGAGAAATTTTAACAAGGCATATCTGCGGGACAGCCGTTTTACTACAAAGCTGAATTTACACGGCATGTTTCACAACGCAATAAGTTTGCAGGATCAAAGGAAAAACAACCGTGATGTTCCTCCCAGTTCTTGTTTCTTGACTAAAGACAACAGCTTGTTGTTAAATAACATTCCTGATGGTCAATAGGTGCTTTCATTTGATTGAAAAGTACTGTTCCTTTATTTCCACCGACAAGTGAGTTTTTTTGTTATCCCTAGAAAGTGTCAAGTGTGTTTTTTCAGTACAAAATTTCCAGTTGCGCTCGAGTCACCCGTGTTACATAAAAAATTGAACTTAAAAGGTCTTTTAGGGAAAGTGTGAACGCTATCATTGTACAAACAATTGATGAAATTAAAAAAACTTCCCTTGTTTACTATCAAACAATCGGCCACTCTATTCACCTTTTTCGGTGCGAAAGAAAATTTTTAAGCACTATGAAAACCGTTCGAAAGCTAATAACTGCCTGGTTCAATGTCAAAAGCTGAAAAACAATACAAACTCTTGGCACCGGTTCATGAAAAAAACAAAAAAGGGATTCTAAATATAGTATGGATTTCTAAACCATTTTCAAATCGTCTTCTTTCTTTCGAGGTCTGAGAACAATAGAGCGTCTTTTGGTACACGAGGTTTGGATGCACTCTTTTATCTTGATCCATGTGTCGCGCGCGCGCTGGATGTATTCACAAATCCTCGATAATTATTTTGGTGTGATGTATTTTTCAATTATATTTATTTTCTTTTTCCTCCACTGGAATTCACAGTAGAGCGAAATTGATGAATATAAGTATAGCATTTCTCTTAAAAGTTTCAATTATTAAATGGAAGAACTGAAAAATGTTCTTTCCATTTCATCGAAATTAAAAATGTTCTATGCCAGGATAATTAAGGGTTTCGTATAAAACGCCTCCCTTTTTTTAGACAAAAACATGTCTTAGAAATGGGCTGGAAATTGCATCTCACTTAGCCAACTGTTTTTTAACGGGGCAACAAATTTGCTTCTTTCAATTCATGCCAAGTTGGACTCGAAATCGCTATTACATTAAGCTAAGAAAAATTGTGAAATGATAAATTTATTGCTTTCAGCTCAGGGATTTTTATCCAACACTCTTGTTTTACTCAATAACAATTTCTTGTTCAAAAAAGGGAAAAGATATCGATCACTGCAAGATCGATAACTTGCTTGTAATTCTTGAATAAAAAAAAAAAGTCTTATGAAACTAGTTTCGAAGCACATGGTAAGACACAATTGCAAAATAACAAGCGCTTTGATAGAGTCAAGACTTTTTATTGCATTCGAAAAGTACCTAGTTCTTCCTTTCGTCAAAATAGCAGGTTTAAATTTGTAGTGGTGTTTAGTCAACTGGGCAAGTCTTAATGTTTATTAAAATGTTATTTTTCAACCCGTGAACAATCCCTTTTCACCTTTTATTTAGAGAGACAAACACTTCTATATTCCTCGTCACACCTCGGTTTCGCATTTAAAAAAATCGTAGGGAACATCAGACAAAATCAGGATAACTGCTTCTGGAATCTTTCAAAAACGCCCCTCTGTGAAAAATGGTTTCAGCATTTCTTTCATTCACATGTGATATTTAGCAAAAAATACAAATAGTTAATTTTCCTAGTTTCACGTCAAATTTTCATATCCAGAATTTTAAGAAATTAAATTATATTTTACGTTTTACTCAATGTGACAATAATTTTACCATGATTAAAATATTCTCTTAGCGCACGATTTCTGAAAGTTTGTCGAGTGCCCACAAAAACCCATGTGGTTTTAAGAATTGAATAATTGATAAGATCTTTAAACTAAATCGAAAGCCTTGAGTTCCTTTCGTTCCCAGGAACTTCGAGAAATTCGTCTATGAGTTTAGCAAAGAACAACTTGCAATTCTATCTTTCAGAATCATGTTTTTATCTCTCGTACTTCGAATTCATTTTCCGTCTGATCTTGTTCGAGGTATAATTTTGAACAGCACCTCAGCACGCGACCTAGAACATTTTAATAAATAAATAATATACCAAATTAAAACGCTTTTTCTCACTCTAACCGCAGAAGCAATATTCCTTAAGATTATGAATCGAAATTCTGTACACATTGTGATTTTTACAATTGCACTTAGAATTTAGCCCTTCCCTCACACAGAGTTGTTAGCAGGTAAGTTTACGACAACATCCTAAATTACTGTTAGCAATTGCTTTGACTTAAATATATAAGTATCATTTTGTAGAAGTTTCGTTATACTTGAAGAAAAACTTGCAGCAAATGAATTTGTCTACAATGGCCTACAGCTTTGAACGATTGCAACCGAACTGAAAAAATGTGAAAAGATCTCCTTATCAGACGTTTGTGATTTAAAATACTCGTGTGTTTTACGTACAAAACCATTGGCCAATGTTCTGGTTCAGTGTCGTGTCTAATGGTATAATTCAGATAATGCTGTGGAAGAATTGTTCTTGAAAGTTCGTATAAATATGTGGTCTTTCACCACGCTTATTATCCCCACTCACCTAACATGGGTTTTTTTAAAGCTATGGATGACTTAACTAGATCAAATTCCCTCACAGATTCGGAAAAGAAAGAAATTTAAAAGGAAAACAAAGCAAGGACTTTTAAATTTGCACAACCCACATTCGCAAAATGTGACCTCGTGTGCGTGTCAGTACATGTGTTATCTAAAAAATGTGTTTTGTGATGTCGTTTCAAGAGAAGTTGTGCTAACGGCCGCCAAAGTACCAAAAGATAAGATCAAAACTAGAATGAACGGATACAAGGCATTGAAAAACACGCGCCACTACACAGCCCTTCACTCGGGTAGAGCTGTGACAATGACGAAATTAAGTCTAAGTCTAAGTCTTTTTAATTCCAATGATACGGTACTTGAAATGAAATTTTTTTGTTAGAGTGTATAGTTATGTTTCGTGACGAGATTACCGGGAATCACTGACCGAAATTTGATGCTAGAAAAGTACCTTGGCCTCATCTTGTTTCCCTATACAAAGATCTGCCGCTTAATTAGTATGCGGGGTTGCCGTGTTGCCAAAATGAGTTTAAATAAACATTGAAGTAGGTTACTTATACGCGGTTCAAACTCTGTATCTTAAGAACAAATTTAAGGGTCTTAAACAAAGAGGAATCTTGCTGGTGGTGAGGAGAAATGAAATTGTTTTAACATGGAACCACAATGCTGATAGTTACACTGACTGTTTCTTTACTTTTTTTGCAGGAATTATGAATTGTCAAGCGAGGCTAGCTCAAGACAGTTCACACGCTTTTCACGTACATAACCAGTGAGCGCAGAAGAAATCCAATCTTATGTATTGAACGAAATAAAAATATATATATTTCCATGCTTGACTGATTGTGAGTTTAATTTTCATAATTACTTTCGAAATATTACAAACCAGCCTGACTACCGAGTCATGCACTTTTTTCGTATTAGGTCATACAGTTTTAACAACTTTAATTCTGCAAAAGAAAAGAGAAGCCCTTCTATTCCAATTCTCGGAGAACGATACCTGTTAAGTCGGTAAAAGTCGAAATCCTTCCAAGAGCATATAATCAGTTTAATTGGCATTGATGAATCAACTCCCACATTTGAAATTAAGGGGCTCCTATGCTAAATGAAATAGCTACTTGAAACAATTTACAACATCCAAAATTCACTTCATCTGCTATCACGATGCACGTGCCACGAACAATACGCGCACACGCGGCCTCTGAAAAACGACTTCCAAATACTGGCAATTAAGCTGGATTGATAAGATAAGTTAATTAGCTCGCTGAAATTAAGAAACGAACGAAGCATCGCTGCCAGGTATACTAATTTTTTAAATATCAGTATCTAGCAGTAAAGTTATGTTTTTATGATCAAAACAGTAGCACTGTGTCTGATCAAAGTTCCTTTGACTGTCTGTGTGATGTGAAGAGTTGACATTGATCACTGGGGAAAGTTTCAAGGTTGTACTTTATTAAACAAGTCCACTATTCGCGGGAAAATCCGCGTGGCTAGGTTGGATGTTTACACGGGCCTTTGTCAAACGCAATCTAATTACTCTATTACCCTACACGTCGAGAAATTAATCTATGTAAATATTTACCCTCCAAAGTGTTTTTATTCTGTGGTCCCATTGAAAACATGTAGTTCGACTCAACTGAAGACAATTTTTTTATACTTGAAAGGTGTCGTTGGTGATCTTTTGTTGCACGACCGAAAACAGCTCTTTAAACTTCACAGACGACTTAATTCCAACGATTTCGTACCTAGTTACGAAGTTCGCGAAAAAGGTTGTTATTTAAATGTTATCTTTTAATTTAGGCGCACTTCGCGGTGATTTGCCGTAAATAATCGCTCGTAATAAGATTAATTTTGCTTGTTATAACACACATACATCAGCTGCCTTAAAAATGCTTTTGTTTGCTTTTTCTAAATTTAAAATATCTTTTCTGTGATTCAAAACTCGTCCAAATTCACGCACGTTATTAAACACTGTCAGTACTTTTGTGATAGGGCCAATCGCAGAACAATGTACCTTTCAGGATGATATCAGTATTTTGGTAACTAAAAAAAAACGTATTTGCTTGTTCGCGCCCAACAGAGCCTCATTAAAACTGCATTGCTTCCCGCAATTAAAAATATATCGTATTCTTTTTCCTTTGATAAAGTATCGACTGAAATGAGGCGGACACGCGACCAGAAAAAATGCGCTTTGTCCCAATGTGCGAATCTGACTGAAATGTTTAATTAGCTATTGGAAATTCAATGGGGTTCCTGAAATTCACCTGTCAATCAACTATAAAGAGCATCTTGTTGAGAACCCATGCCACGCGCCAACCCACGCGCGACCTCTTCACCCCACCAGGTGTTTGTGGCCGCACTTATAATTGTACTAAACTTGTTTTTTCTTAGTTCTGCTAAATACGCACTTTCATAAGAGATTTTAATTGGATGAAAATGAACTTACCGAGGGCCAAATTCGATTTTCATTTCAAAGGCGCGTGCAGATTGATGCGCGTTTATCTAATCGAGTCGCCGTTTTATTAAACCTTTTCCTAAAGAGTGTTAAGCTTTCGGCCCAATTAGTCTTGTTCACTTGGACTAGACTCGAACAATAAAAAGACGTCTGATTTCCTATGTTCTGTGGAACTTCTTTGTTTGCAGTTTAAAATGATATTCTGAATGATTTCCTAGTGATTTTTCTTCTTTTCTTAAATCTTTCATTGCTTTGCTTCTATGTTCCACGTGGGCAAGACTTTCTAGGACAAACAAAAATTGCTCGACAATACTGCAATTTAACTCTAAATTCCTGGCTTTGTTTGATGGCGATTTGTTTGAATGAAATTTAAATTAGACAAAGACTTCGCAACAGAGTGGAAATCATACTTAGAAAAACCTCGGTCCCTAGACCTCGATCAAAAACGTGCGACTCGATTGTTTAGTTTTTGTGGAGTGATTCCGGATAAATTGAAGTGAAAAAACACTTTCAAAGATTACACCCCCACTGCATCAGAATAAAAGCGAAATTCAATGGTATTTAGCGTGATCGCAGCCTACAGGGAAATTGTTTGCTGGTAAACTAAGCTTTTTTAATTTTAAGCGCGTGCAAAGTTGTATAAAGCACAGTGGGTGATTTTTGATCGTAGTTATTTCGGCGCCATGTTTAGCATTAGACGAGAAATGATCTTCACGCGTGCCAAGACATTTTAAGGGTTTTCTGCTAATTTGCTGTTCCCTTTGTGCGCAGAATTTAAACGGTTCCGGGTACGAAAACGAAGACGTTCAGAAACGCTTGGCTATGTTTGAAGTGCGATGCAACACCATTGAAATACTCGAGTAAGCGTGGTATTTATTATCATTTCTTTGTCAAGTTGGACAATTTCATTTACATTACAAAGCCGTCAAAGTCCCGGCACACGCGGCCCAGCTTTTGTGTTTTGATGCACGCGGATTTATGTGACAATCTCTGTCAAACTCATAATGACCAGGATAACCTATTTACTTCAACAAGTTTATAAGAGTACGTTCGCACAAATGGAACAAAAAAATCTTTACTTCATCTCGCTAATGCAATTAAACTTTAAAAATGATTAAAAACTTATTAAATAACTTTCGAATGGCTACCTGCGTTGCAGAGCCTTTGCTATTGGCGCGCCGTACTGCGTTCGAACACTTTATAAACTTTAGAGATTTTGCATCGATAATGAACAAATTTGTGCAAAACTTGCTAAGGAAACTCAAATAACTGACACCTGGAATATCCATATATTACAATACTGTATTATGAAGTAACTAGTGATTATCCCGTACCAATTGAAAGGCGACATACACTCCTATTTCTGTTGTACAACACATAATACTCAATTAGTATTTTATTTTTCGGCCTTTCAACCAACGATAAAATATTTATGTCGGCCTGTGCCCGATATCGCAATTATACAGCTATTTTCAGACTAGCCGGCGACGCAAAAACACTTAGCTCGCATTGGGTACAACATTCTTTTTCACGGAGTTCTGAGGTGCTATGTTCGCCTACGACAACAAACTGTGAAGTTTAATATCCTGAGATCAAAGTATAGATATACCCTAGCACTGCTTACACATTTCCACAATCTCTGTATCTTTTTTTTCCTCTGTTGCTAAGCAATGTTGTATAAACATGGTTCCTTCGGTATGTTAATATCGTTTGCACAGCGTAAAGTAAACATCTGCTCTCCAAAGACGAGGACAAATTTCTTGATTTATTCAGCTTCAAATTAGCCAGCTCTGGATCCCTTTTTTTTTTGTTGTTTTCTTTCCTTTCTTATTGTCAGTTATTTTTCTTTAGAAATCCATCCCTGAATACTAGCTAAACAGTTGTGTCCCAAAACAATCGATCAAATGGAAATTGTAACTACGTAAACACAAATCTTCATAAGAATATACATCCCCATGAAAAGGTGTTGTACATTAAAAAAGATTAGACATTCTTTCTGTAAAACTCGATAAAATATTCATGCAGCTGCCGCTGAAGAGAAAGTTTTTATGCTCCAGTGAAGTTCCCCCGAGGGTGAAAGCTTTTTATAGTTTATTTTGTAAATATAAAATACGCTATTGCGATCTTCAATGGCACGAATGTTTTAAATGTACCGGAAGTGAGTACAAATATTTTAACAGGCATACTGTAACAACTTAGTTTTCGAAGCAGAGTAATGCCTCAGTTTATAAAGTACAACTCTAGAACGTGAAAATTAGAGTTCGCAATTAGGTGATAATGAACTAGTGGGGCGGGGGCAGTTTTCTTCAATTGTTCATACTTGTTATTAAGGGTGCCCTCATGCTTCATCCTGATTGGCTGAGCCGAGACCTCCCTTGAGAGAACAGCTAAGCTCTGTCCAATAGCAATGCGGCAGAGAGATCGCGGTTGGACGGCTCTCCTTGTGTTTTTGTTTGTATTTGCCTCTTTTCAGCTGACATAATGTGCATAAAAGAAAAAAGAGCACACGAACCCTTAAAATACGGCACGCGCCACACAAATTAGCCACAGTTGATACAGTGACAGTAGTCAAAGGCCTCGTGCACTTTTAAGATTCGCGTGCGACTTTAAAACGCAGAAAGTCTTCCAGAACGTTTCATCGGAGTGGTTTAGAAATCAAGGGAATTCTCCTAAATAGTCCGTTCCGAAGCTTTGGCAATCCTGACAGTGCGATTAACAAGATTCTAATATAACTGTATTGAAGGTCATCTCGAAAATGCCTCGATCATTTCTTGTTAAACTGAAAAAGAGTAGTCCAAGCGGTTTTTGCTGGGATGAAGGTGAGTCTAAATTTTGCAAAGGTGATTTCAAGCGCACTAAGAGGGAATTTGAATGCAGCGATTTTTTTTCTCAGTTCTGAAGAGATTTCCTTCCAAACCGAACCTTGAAACGTTTAGGTTTCTCTGATTCAAAATTGCCACACCTCATTAAATATTCATCACCAGGCAAATAGAGACAGCAAAATCTAAAACTGCTCTTTCGCTCCGATTACTCAGCAGGTTGTGATGTGCCGACGGCTCCGCCTAACGTTTGGGAACCAATCCGCGTTGAAATCGAGCCAGCACAGATTTTTCAGCCGATCAAGTTGGACCTCGCTACTCTCGACCCAGAAATTTTAACTGAAAAAGGGCAGCTGAAACCCAAGGCAAGATTTTTCAGTCCATTCACTTTAAGTTCCTTTCATCTTAATGCTGAACATCGTGGTATCGGAGTTGGCAAGCCGTTGTACACAAAGGATGAACCGTGCTCTTTCGACTCAAGAAACACAAGTCCTCTAAGCCTAGACGGTGCCCTTGTACCATCGCCGACTCGAAGCGACGATGGCTACCCAAGCGCGGGAATCTTTATTCCCGGAAGTGGTTTTCTAGGAATAGAGAACACCAAACCTCCTTCTCTTCCTGCGGTCAGCTCTACCTCTAATGCTGTTGGCCGAAAACGTCGTAATGGCACTCCGAAGACCTTTACCTGCGAAGTTTGCGGCAAAGTTTTCAACGCACATTACAATTTGACCCGACACATGCCAGTGCATACCGGCGCCCGTCCATTTAAGTGTAAAATCTGCGGGAAGGGATTCAGACAAGCGAGTACTTTATGCCGCCATAAGATCATCCACACAAAGGAGAAGCCACACAAGTGCAACATCTGTGGCAAGGCATTTAACAGATCTTCCACGTTAAACACTCACATCCGCATCCACGCTGGTTACAAGCCGTTTGTGTGCGATATTTGCGGCAAGGGTTTTCATCAAAAGGGCAATTATAAAAATCACAGACTCACTCACACTGGGGAGAAGCCCTTCAAGTGCCACATCTGCGGCAAGGCTTTCCATCAAGTGTACAATCTCACTTTCCACATGCACACGCATAATGACAAGAAGCCATTTACATGCAAGGAATGCGGCAAGGGATTCTGCCGGAATTTTGACCTTAAAAAACATATCCGCAAATTACACGAGAACAAAGAGCAACGTGACAGAGTTGAACAATAAACCACGCGTCCTCTGTTGTGTTGTTGAAATCGCGAAGAAAAGAAGCGGGTACTTCATAACGCGTGTAATTCATTGACTTGCGTTATGTACAAAGTCTCAAAGAGTTTTATTAAAAGACTGGAACACAGTGACTTTTAACAATAATAGACTGTAAACCAAGATAGTTAAAGGCCATGTGAATGATAACCGGTGTTATGCATAACGGCGCACACGTGGAAGAACAATAGAAAGTTGTAAGCTTTAAGTGAGAATATGTACATTAGTGAACAATACCTGTGAATATATAAATATGTTAAAATATTGGTTTATATACGAATTCAAGGCAACATCGCTATAAAAACGTTAACCTAATCGTGTGTAAATAATATGATACAATCAAGTTTGACTAAGCAATAAAATTGTACAGATTTATCTTACCCAAAAGCGGATGCTATGTTTTTTTCAATGGGGTTGTTTTTGAAGAAAAGAGGCCAACTTCTGAGCTTAAATATATGTAATATATTCATTTAAAAACGATCACTTCGCAGTTTGAAACACATTTTAATTGAAAGTATTCAATACAGTAAGGTTGTTTTACAAATTGCCTTTGTCGGAATTGTCCAAGACAAATAGATATCATTTGAAAACCTGCTAGCCTTCGCCGTTGTTTGTTTAAAACGAAGAAGTTAAATCGTTGCAGAGTGCAACTAGCGCGAGTTTTTCACCTGTTCACTTAAGTTTAACATTTTCCTATTCGAGTTAACGAGGTATCAAAGAAGATTATTTTTGAGATTGACAAGGAAAGCTTTTACGAGGTTCGACAAGATCTATGGCCATCCATTATACAAACTCAATCCAAAACGACTAAGACATTTCCTGGTGTCTGCAGCTCTTCTCAAATTAAAATACATGGTAAGAACCGTTTAAGGAAAAACACATATACTCTATCTCGTTGACTTACGGATAAAACTCCCAGCCTCAGTCTACGCTTTGCGTATTTTACGTTTGTGTAGGTTACTTATGTATCGCAGAAGTTGTCTTTATATTACAATAGTTATTATTTCTCTTTTTTAATACAAAATAACCTAATAGTTCATCTCAATTTTACCACCTGTCCTTCGTGGAAGAGAGTGAATCTTCCTTCTTGGGAAAAAACGACAAGCGTGCGGATTTCACCGCAATTTGTGAAACTTCCTGAAGAGAAAATAACTTTTATTTTCCACATAAAAATTAACCCATCAGTTTGTAATGAACTGTGCTTTAAACACTAAAGTTGGACAAAAAATTCGGTATGCAGGACACTGCTCGACTCTCATATTCCCGCTACATTAGTTAGAATTAAGGTTAGCTCGTACTTATCAAAGCTTAAACTTCGCCGCACACGCTCGCTCCCCTAAATCGCATATCTCTCGCTTTCAGTGATGTGTCGAGAATCAAATGGTACTGCACTGAGAGTTTCCCTTCGAGGTCACGTCGCTATGTGATTGGTCAAGAAAACCATGCGCCATAATCTCGCCCAATCAGATACAAAGCTGGAACCAAACGCGACTTGGTCAACCGCGTTTTCCCGCGCAAACTACCGTTTCGATCTCTCATTGGTTCCTTAGGACGGTTACTGTTTTACGATACTCACTCGAGAAGCGCTGTAAACAGAAAATAAACTACTCGCAATTTGACTAGAGCGAACCAAGTTGTAAAATAAGCTTTATTGTCAAGTCCAGCTGACTGGTGATACAAACAAGAGTACAGCTATTGATTTTTTTTTTCGTGCAAACACCACTTCTCAGGCATTACTCAACTTGTTTCACATGCAATGATTTACGTAGTCCACTCGATTATCACAGTATACTTATCCAGTCAATTCTCTCCATTAAATACATGCACTTTTGTTTTAATCCTGAGTTGCATTCACACATTTTTTGGCCAGGCACAGAAAAATGATTTCCATTTAAGCAGCTTGCTGCTTCAAAAGTCGTTTCTTCTTCAAGCTCTCGGGCTCCTCAGGTGGTGGGGGACGCGGAAGACGGAAGAACACTTTCACTGAATCGTAGATGAACCACTGCAGAGCCGTCAGAGTACCGATCATGATGATACGTGGGCCGAGACCCTTCCACAGACCTGTGGCAACAAAAATTACATCAACATTCTTTTGCATAAGGAAATTAAGTCGCGACTTCATTGGTTCTGCTACACACCACTCCATGATTGGTCGAGAAAACTCTCGTCCTCCTCCTCTTGACCAATCACAAGCCAAACCAAAACTTGTTCAATCACGCTTTCCCGCGCTTAAGCTATTTACTCTCAGTCTCGGAGTTCTTATTGGCTGCTTGAGATATTTTTCTATGTTCTGATTGGCTTTTTCGATTATTTTGGTTTTGGCTTCACATTAGAAAAAGGAAATCGTACCTTTCATTCCCAGCTCACGCGCAGCTTGGATGGGTGTGCTTCCGACGTCATTGTTCAACTTGGACACCACAGTATCAGCAGGGTGAGACACGACCGCGCAGAATACACCAGCTAACGAAATAACAAGCCAGCATTATAAATACAAAACAAAAACAGCAAGGAACACACAATTACAAGTGCCTAGCAGTAACACTAAGTGAAAAGACAGAGGAACAAAGTTTAATGTCACGGCTTAGCAGGCATTTCTTGTCAGCAGCAAGTCTTACAGGAGCATTTTCATGTGGAACTATGCAAAAGCTGGGTTTTTAGAGTTCAAGAAGAGTTTTGGAAGTGTGTGCTTTTCAGTCCAAAGTGATTTGCAGTGGTTTCAATCCCTCTGATCCCTGGGGTTAAATTCTTTCACCATTATCTCAGATGGACTCTAAATTCAGGGCATTGAAAAATGCCAGCCAAACATGTCCTCCCTCTACACAAGGAGAAGTATTTTGGCCATCGCAATTCACCTTTGCTACATGCTGCTGATTAATTAGTGGAAAACTTACCGATGTACCCAGCTGCAAAGGTAACAACCAGTTGTTCAGGTTTGGAGCACTCACTCCTAAACAGACAAAAAAAAGATTCTTGTTCAGTGGGAAGAACCTGATGCTGCATTTCCTCAAACTGGCAACTGGGCATATATTTACACTTTCTGCTAAAAAGAGGGGCACTTATTGGAAAGAGGGTGTTGAATCAAGAAGGGTGCTTATTTTTCACCTTTACTGATCCCACTATAGTTGAAGCTTAAAAGTAATAAATAAAATAACAAAAGAAACAAGTTTCCCTTTCATCACAACTATTTAAGAAAGTAAGGGGGGGTGCTCGTTTGACATTAAGGACTAGGGGTCGAGCACTTATTTGTGGGAGGGCCCTTATTAGTGCATGGGTGCTTCTTCAAAGAAACACAGAATTCTTTCCCAATGTTTATCAAATCTGTTTAGAAAAGTGGTGGCCTTTATGTTACCACACCATAGTATGGTTCAAGAAGTTTGGGCACCAGGCCCTAGCTGGGTCATTGTGCTGTTCTTGAGCAATTCACTCACACAATGCCTTTTTTCAATCAAGAACAAAAATAGATCCCAGTAGACTGTCAGGGAAGCTCAGTGAATACCATCCAAAGCATAAAATCTGGAGGGGGGAAAGAGAGACACCCTTGTCTACAACAGAGATTGGTTAGCTCATGTCGTAGAGCACCAGACTGCTGTATGGGAGGTCAAGGGTTCAAGCCCCAAACAAGACCAACACTCAGGGTCTTAAAATAACTGAGGAGAATGTGCTGCCTTTGCCACAACACCTGCAAATTGTTAGATATTCTAGTCTTCTAGGATAAGGACGACAAACTGTAGGCTCCATCTCCTGCATCCTCTTTGTAATGGTTAGCAGGTGATGTTAAAGAACCCACATACTTATCACAAAGAGCAAGGAATGTAGCTCTTGGTGTTGGGGTCTGGCCTTGTTATTTTTAATAAAGGCCGCCATTTAAACCAGCTTTGTAAATGAATTGGGCCAGCCTGTCTGAATGTCACAAATAAATAACCAATAATGCTTCAAAACTAGCCTCAGCAGTGCTATAAACCTGGCCTGGACAATTTAATCATGGAATGTCTGCGTAATGTTTATCCAAGAGTGCTGGTTACAAATCAAATTTTCAGCAAGGCTTACCTTGGCTTGGGTACAACATTTTTGTACAAAAATTCCACAGTGCGCTCAAAACAAGCGAACTTCATCATGGTGTATGGAATCTGCCTCATCCACAAAGGGGGGAGGCCTTTGTAAAAGCTAATGAAAAAAAAAATCAACATTGTAAGAACACTGTTTGTAATAACCTTCAACATTATTACTAAATCTGGCATTGTGGTACATTTTGTAGGCTACAATGGAGGATTTGGGCTATATCTATTTAACCCACTTGCAGTCTTGCATGATTGGTAGGACTATGTTGATGGCATTTTCTCAGTCTTTATTTTGTTACTGCCCTTCAAAGTGATATTAAAAGTAATACAGTTAAAGTTCTAATGCATAAATATGTTTCACATCCTTTTCAGAGCCATTCTGACCCTTGCTTGCACTAAAATGACTCAGAGTCTGGGCCCAAAACATAGATATGCGACCAAGCATATACTCTGAAAGCAGTCTTGGCTTAGGTCTAATACTAAATTGAAAATTGCTCTATCATTACCATAAAACTTGCACATGACAAAGTTCCCCATCTAAAACATCCCTCAGTAACATGCCATTACATGAATCTACCTACCCCCTGATTCCCTCCTCAGCCATCAGTTTAGGTGCTCCCTCTCGCAGGGTGTTGGCCCAGCCTGGCTGTGTCTGGATACGAACCTTCACAGCTTCCATTGGAGCCAAAGCAATGTCTGCAAAGAACTCTGCGCTGGCTGATGCAGCAAGGTACAGAGAGGTTCGGAAGAGGTATGAATTTTCCTGAGGCAGAAGGAATAAATTAAAAATGACTTTTGCACTATTTCTGGGAAACTCCTTCTTTTTTTTTTAGATATTTTTAAATATAAGGCAGCATCCTGACTTGATTTGCTCCCCCTAACAAGAAGTAAATGTTTTGATACCTTTCTTTTTGCAGTGAACATTACTAATCTTGCAACATAAGATTTAGATTAGAACTGTAGTTAGGAAGTAAGTTGTAACATGCAGCATACATCACACACTATCGAGTCTGTTTGGACAATTCTGGGATCCTGCACAAAAAATCTTTCAGAGTGCATGGAGTTACTTCTTGAGCTTTGATTTAGATACAATAATTTTCTTAGATTCAACACCCCAAGAGAAGACAGCCTAGAATCTCAATATTTTCTAACCAAAAATTGGTGTACCATATTTCCTTAAACAAGCCCCAGGTGCTTATTCAATTATACTGCTAAAGGAGGAGCATACATCGGGAGAAGGGTGTTTATTAACCAACTATTTACCTGTACTGATTCACCCATGGTTGAAGCTCAAAAACTTATATACCACATATATCAAGTGGAAATAGAAACAGGTTTTCCTTGAACCCAATTTTTTAAAGAAAGAGGGGGAGGAAGGAGAAGGAGAAGGGGAACTGTTTGATTTAATGGCCCAGGGGGCTGGGCCAATATTTGGGGGAGGGTAATTCTTGGAGGGAATATCGTAACTTGCATGGAAATTTCATGTCTGTACATATCTCTCCAATCATGTTACTATAAAGAATCTTAAAAACTTTGAAAAAAGCCCAACTCAGAGGAAATACTAAACTTGGGGGAAAGCTCTTTCTTAGAGGAAATACAGTAACTCCCATGGAAATTGAAATTCTATACATACCTCTCCAATCATGTTACTGTAGAGAATCTTAAACACTTCATAAAAGCCGAACTTGCACAGCCCCTGCATAGAATATCCAATGGCTGTTGGAGCCCATCCCTTGGCCAGTCCTCGAGCGCCATCTTCCTTTATTGTTAGTTTGAAGCCATTTACAATGTTTTTATACTTAGCTGGGTCAACCTAATAAAAACATTAAAAATAAAAATATATATATTTAAGAAGACAAAAGACACATGATTAGGCCTTGAGCACCATGCTACGTCTCTATCTTCCACAACATGTCAAGTTTCATCAGGTTCTGTCTGGAGGAAGATGCCAACATTTTGCAGTTTCCATTGAGCTTTATCTCAACTAAATTCTTCATCATTCAAATGAAGTAGAATATAGGATATGTTTTATATGCTGCGTGCTTCAATTTGCGTCAAACAATCAGATCCTTTTTTCCAAACAATAATTGTTGAAGCTGTAAAGCTTTTGGGGTCATTTCTTTAAAGATCCAATGCGTTAATACATTTACAAAAGCTTACAATTTGTCTAAAACCCAATATGTAAGGCCATCTTGAGAATGGTAAAATTAACTAAATTTCATGCAAATTACAGTATTTCAAGAGTTTAACTTTAAAATTGTTTTAGGTACAGAGTGAACTTGTTCATGTGACATGGTCCTGGCTAAGTCACCCATCTTCTAAACCCTTTAACTCCCAGAAGTGATTAACATTAAAATTCTCCCTAATATATCCATATGCTATCTAACAAATGGGTAATGAGAATATTCAAACTTATCAGGTAGAAGTTGTCATCTTGATCTAACACCAAATTCTTATTACTAATTTAAAGAAAAATGTGTAGCAGCTGGAGGGGAGAATTAACAATCTGATCTTGGGAATTAGGGGGGTTAACCAATGCCTGAAAAGTTACCTGAATTCTGCATTTGACCAAATCAAGAGGCACAACAGCTGTATGTGTGATACCGCAACTAAGAATGCCACCAAATCCGCAATATGCATAGTATGTTGCACTTCCAAACTCGCAACTGTATGACTCACCTAGATGGATCAAGCAGAGAACATACAACTTATTTATGCATCTGATTTCTCCTTTCAATGTCACCCCTGAATCTAGCATTAAGGTTGCGAGAATAAAGGAAATGATCATCCACTAAAGAAGCTCTTAATTATCAAAAAAAATTCATCCTTGGTAGCAGCTTAAGAACTGTATAGAGAACAGTATACAGGGCGTGAAATTGCGCCTTATACAGGTGCCAATGCGACTAAATTTTTCATTTTGCCAAATTGGCGACTAGAATGCTTCATGATGACCACACCTAGAGAAATAGTGAATTAAAAAGATTTGCAAAGATAAATCCGTGGCAAACTTCCTCATTAAGTTTGTTTCCACAATGCGGCACATGCATCTCGATCTATGACTAGACGCCATCTTGGATTTAGTTGAGCTTTAATGTTGTATATCATCCATCCTAGTGTCCACTTTGTAGAACTTAATTTTGGAGGGTCTATCTAGAATAATGACAGTGTAAAAAAATAGGGTTTCATTTATCTTTAAACTATTTTTGAATTGGCTGCCACTTTGAAAAATTTAGGAGTCAAGTGGCTATCAGAAAAAAAAAATCAATTTCACGCCCTGGTATACAGGAAGAATATACATTAAGATGTTCAGGTGTAAAGGATTAATGTATACAAGATAATAACTAATCAGCCCAGATGAACAGATCTGAAAAAATATACACTTCACTTGGCAGTATTTTCTCAATCAGAAGGAATGTGTTTTTGTCTGAGAGTCTCAGGAGTTTTTGTAGAGGACTTAGTCAAACATTTTTATAGAGATGCTCAAAACCTCTGAAGGCATTCCTGAGAATTCCAGTACAACCTTTCCTAAAATATTCTGCTTTTTAAAATCTACAGTTTGGAGAAGGTACAGTTTTTCTCATAATATTTGCTTAATCTACTTTAAATATCAGAAAAGTGTCAGTTAAAGTTTTCATAATGCAAGTTTTTTGGTTCAGTTAAAGAAACTGGACAACTGGCATCAGACCTGGAAGTAAGGAAGATATTTTCAAACAACAGGTGTAAGAACTGGTGAGTATTAAATAATACACAAGGTTCCACAATAATTGATCGATCTCTTAGTTTTTTTTGTCTAGTTTTGTTCCCCCTTAATATCAACCAGAGAAACATCTTGCATGTTTTTACACCTAATTCAAACAATACCATAGAAAAGGGCCAAAAGGTTGCATGTGAATAAATCACAATTTGGAGATAATAGAGCTGACGATATATGAAAAAAAAAATCACAAATTGGAATTTCGCAAGGAGAAATTGTAAGTTAACAAGTTAACTTTAACGCACACAAAGTTGCACAAAGTAAGGCGTAATTTGCAGTTATCCAGGCCACATACAAACGCCATGCTGAAGGTAAAGTCTATGTGTAATATCACATAACTGGCAAATGAACTCAAGTAGATGAACTACGTCAAACCTGTTCGGACGTAACCTTTCCTATTGCTTGCGTAATGTTGTAATGTACAAATATAATTCAATTTAAACATACATACACTCACGAGCAGAAGTTCGTCATTTTTTGGTAGAACATTTTGAAGTTGATTTTTAACTGGACTGTTGCCCAAGACTGGCCAGAATATTATCACAATATTCAGAACAATGGGTTAAATATTAAAATACTACATCAATGAACTTCATATATATTCACTGAGAGCTGTGATCGCTCAAGCTTAATATCTAACCGAGTGATTTAAAAACTCCTAAAACACACAGACATTTACACGCTCAGTTACTACTCAGTTTCTGCAAAGTATATCAAACAGGTAAGAAATGGTATAAAATCTAAAGTGAAAGAAGTGCAAGAGAAATCGTGAACCACACACAAGATCTTAAATCAGAAAAGCCGGCTTCGAACGTACCGGTATTAGGCGCCGCCATGATTCTGCTTCGCCTAGTCACCGGAGTTGTTTCTGATGAGCATTGTGCTATGCTGAACGGGTTCGACAATGGACTGTTCTTTGCTGTTTCAGAAAATCTGGAGAACATTTTGTCCTTTTCTGGCAATAACTGCACAAGTCAGTTAGTATTCCGCTTCGTGTATCACGAGGTTCTTCACCCTCGTTCGAATTCCACGTTAAAGAGGAAGCCGAAGGGAACTATGGGAGATACGTAACATACGCTAATGTGTTGAGTGCACGCATAAATCAAGTTGGGGGTAGCCGCAAAGGTTTAAGTCTGCAGGCTTAGGTAGTGATGCGCGGAGGTCACCATACATCTGCTTGAACCAGTAGAAGTTGGATGTGGAGAGCTTTTCAAAATTTTTTTCCCATTCTTGCCGATGTACCAAATATTTGCACTTTCAACGGAGGGCTTAGAACAGGTTGAATTTTTGTAACCGAAAAAGCCGAGACTGCTGACCAAACGAAGCATTCAGCAAGAAAGTTCTTATTTTCAAAAGAATATAATCGTTCGTCTCATGATGTGGATCGCGACGTTTCCCCTGCATGCTGCGAGTCTTTTTTCAGGCGATGCGGTTCACTGAATACGCGTCATCTATATGCTATCAGTAAAGCTCAGCTGTGATTGGATCGTATTCCACGGCTGTGACTGGTGCATTTTCGGATCAGGTTCAGCTGCAGTCCGTTGCCACACGGCTCTCCTGATGATTGGGTTTTTGATCGTCGGCATCCAGGCTTCTGATATTTCAAATTCACTGTTCCTGTTAATATTTTTAGGGCGAAGTCTTACGTGAATTGCCTCTTTCACCCTGCGTGTGTTGAAATGGGGGTCACGATCAATATACTTTACTCCGCTCCAGAGCGGGCAATGTCCGGTTCTCATTATTATTATCGTATGCTCTTCGGCGGGAGCGTTTTTTTGCCTGCGGTGAAGTCTGAGGCCTAAAGCAACAAGAGCAAGGTCTGAGCGCCAGACCCCCAGCAGCCTTTCTCCGTCTCGTCTCAAATCTTTCCGCGGGTAAAACTGCGCTAATAATGATAATGAAGGTCTATTCGCATAATATTCAACGTGAAATAAAATCGTTACCAGGTTGAATCGTAACAAGAAGCCTTCTCCAATGAAGAGGAGCATTTAACGGCAAGGGCGTGAGTAGCAAGTGGGTCATCATTGTAGTCTTACAGCGAGTTTACCCATGCTGTTTTGCAGTTAACTGCTGAACAGGCGGTGATAGGCGAGGATAAATTGGCACGAAGAGCGAGTCACGTGCTCTCCTGCTGCGCTTCCCGCCGCTCGCCTGAAAAAAGCCTGAAATGACATTCATTCTGTACAATAACCTTACGAAGTATGAATTTCATTAGATTGAACGAGAATGTTAATTTACTACTTTGCGTGGTGTAGGAAAAGAAAACGCCGAAGGGTGTGCAAGGTCTCGGGTAAAAAACAAAAATAAAACGAACACAAATCTCAAACGATCTTAAACCAATATTTTTCGGAGTCGGAGATATTGATACGATTTTTCGGTTTACAAGCACTTTTATTTAATTAAAATGTTGGCTGAAGTCAAATTTCGAGGGGATGGCAGGTGTGAAAACTTTTTGCAATCATTTATTGTGTTTGTTTAAGGAGAGGCATTAATCGACCTCAAGTCCGACAATTTAAAAATATTGCATGTCACATAAAAGTGGGAATGAAAAAGACACGAAAGAAAAAGAAGACTTTGAATTGGACTGAAGCACATGAATAGAGGCTCTGTGTGCCGATCATGCGTTTACTGCATATTCAATTCTATACACCAAAACGTAGTGTCATTTCCAGAACAGCATAAATTTCCATCAGATCGAGAAATGCATATGCATGTACTTCCAACACATTAAGATGACTGACAGCTTTAGAATGTCATGAAACCTTTGTAATTGGTTTATTTTTAGACGTAGAAATAAAAACGACGAATTGCATATGCACAATAAAATTAACGCGAGAAGTATTGGACCACGGCTTTGGACGTTAAGTTCAAAGAGCTTTGTACCTTCCTGCAAAATTTCTAAGAACATAAATTTACTGACAGGGTGAGAGCGTCATTCTAAACCCTCTGGCAATTAGCGGAAAGTGTCAAAAATTGCGTAAACGGAAACGGTAAAGTAGTCAAGGACTGAATAACAGGTGTTTGTGGTACAGAAGTAATGAGAGAAAACAGCCACTTACAAACAAGCGAACTGTAGTTGGCTGCAAAGTTAATGTACATTTTGGGCTTAAAGACGTCCCCTAAAGACGACCAAAATTTGAGCGCCGTAGACTTTTCGCAACGAAGATTGAGGATTCCATCTCAAGTATAGCCCAAGTCAAATTCAGACATGTGTGAGTAAATTTTAAGTTAAATTTGTTCAAAGATCGTCCTCTTTGAGTCAACTTGTAGCGGGTGGTAGAACATGGTTTAGAAGCCATCTGGAGAGAAAACAGTTACAAATCTCGATTACGTCGCAAAAAAATTGGAATCTTGCTTCTTACTTTAGAGACAAATTCACAATTCGGAGCAAGTTGTTTCTCCTACAAGAATTTAAACAAAAACAAGCCATTTTGTTTAAAGAGCCTGCGATACGCCATTTTGGAAAACATGATGTCAACTGGTTGCCAGTGAGTGATCTTCAATAATAGCGGCAAAAGCAACTACGTTTAGCTGTACTAAAATGTTATATAAAATGAAGAAGAAAAATATAAATTTTGGAATACTGCGCAATTATTAGATGAGGTTGAGCAGGATATCATGAAATATCAATGTCAGGGTCTGAGTTATCAACTGTAGCCGAAGACTGAGGCTGATAACACAGATAAGAGGTATGATAATTTACGATATCATGCCACAACCGAATTTAATAGTTGTTTTATTATACAATTTTTAACAATCTGCAAAACTGAAGAGCCTTCTATCTGAGTTTGCAAAAGTTTGAGAAATCTTAAGTGTAAGGGGCTTGAAGACTAGGTAGACTTTGAACCCAGTATCGGCAATACCTGCTGCAGATATTGGGTTATCATGTCAACTTCACGCGCTATGTATATTGACTAAATGCTCGACCAATCAGAATTTTCATGGTAAGTGTAATGTAAAATAAAGAAATTTACTGGTTACCCGAAAAAACTCCCCGAGGGTCAAACTGGCAGGTGACCACATTGAATTAAGAGGGTCTAAATGGAATTACTCGATAGCCGTTAAACGGTCAAACATTAAGCCGATAGGCGTAAAAATTGACAAATTTTAACCGTTCGTCGTAAAAAGAATGTAACAGTTAAAAAAATGTCTGGTGATCACAATGGAGATATATCAACCGTTAGCCGTAAATAAGCCGTCACCTCTTTCAATTTAAATATTTACGGTTAATGGTAATGTTATGGTTAATTAACCATTTCGACGAACTACCCTACAGCGATGTCAAGTGTAGACCAGTTCATATGATTGCGCCGTATAAAAAGAAGGTGAAAGCTGATTTACTTTTTGCAATTGCATTTCATTTTTCCTTGACATTTGAACTGCTCACAGGTTGTACGAGGGCAAGTGTGATCCAGAAGAGAGGCCCTAAACACCCTAAACACCCTAACGTGAATATGCATATTCTCCATACTGTTCTCTATACATTTTGCAAGGTGCTGACAAGGAGAATTTGCCTAACAATCAAGAGCTTCTTTAGTTGGTGATCAGTTCCTTTATTCTCATGACCTTAATGTGTGATTCAGCAGCGACGCTGTGAGGAGAACTTGGACGGTAGTTTCTTTCGGGGATTAAAGGGCGTTTTCGTATAAAGGGTGGAATAGATTCATTAATACTGTATTTATTTCATTCGCAACCATTTTTGATAACTCTTTAATTTGAGCTGTGTTTAATTTGCTGCTTCTAGGTCATGATAAATGTCATTTCTTTGTAGCTGCCTTCGTCTGCACCATTTACATAACGTTTATTGATCATGGTGAGTCATATTAGAGCTTAACTCTCGAACCCAGATCCTACTGAGTAACCGCAACTGAAATGTAGTATTTTACCACCGCTCAGCTGTGGAAGGTCTGGGTACAACACTGATAAGAACTACAAGCCGCTTTTCAACCATTCAAGTTGTCCGAACCAAATAGAGCATAGTAATTTCGATGGCTAATCAGACCAAACGTTAACACACCACTCGGGAGCCGGTAGTGAGAACTGAATCAATTGAAGTAATGCCGAGGGCACTATAAAACGCGAGTAACCCGGATGAACAAAGTGCCTGAAACGCGGGAAAACGCGTGGGATCAATGCACGATTGGTTTAAATTTTTTGTCAGGAGGATGGTGCAAGTTCTCTGGTCCAATCATAGAGCTAGAAGCGGAGGAAACAGATAAAATTCCCGGATTACTTTCGGCGCTCGTTGAAAACTGCTCTTTGGGGGAAGTTACATAGTAAATGATAGAAGGCGGACGCGAAGGCAGAACAAGTTTAGAAGCTGATTTAAAAATATTACAACTCTGCCTTTGTTCAGCTTTTTCTCGTCTATTTCAGGTGTGGAAGGCGATTGCGAACGTTCGGATGAATACATCGAACCCCAAAATTGCACGGGAATTGAGATCGCAACGCGTTCAGTATGGACGGGAACGCAGTGCTTGGACGAGTGTATCCGCCTTCCACACTGCGACAAATTCATTTTTAATGGGACAGGAAAGGAAAACTGTAGACTTTTGAGCACTGATGGCATATCCTCTGCTCCTGGTGTTCGAAACTTACGGAATATATCCGGCGCATGCTTACCAACAAGTATGAACGTGAGTAGATACTAATTAGCATCAGGAGCTGCTGTTAGCATCAATTATACTTACAATTGTACAGTTTTAGCTTGTCGAATCAAAGGCTAGGGGAAACGAGGAAGAGCATTCTGATAAGGCGGGGTGTTAGAGTACACTTCCATCAAGCGCCATGATTCCGAGTTTAGTGTTTTTCCACTCAATATTTTAAAGAGGAGAGCCAAGCACTGCTAAAAACGCCAAAAAAAAAACGAAAAAAAAAAAAGATTGCAAAGATAGACAAAAAACAAGACTTCTTCCAAACTCTTTAAAGCGCTTTGAGGAGGAGAGAACCTGAGAGCATGAGGTTGAAAATGTGTGCAGGCAAACCTTCAAGTAAGCTAAACGAAAATGTTGGCGGTGGAGAGGGAGAGGGGGGAGAGGTAAGCCGGGATAGACGTAGTCTCGTACTCAGACCTTTCACGGTCAAGCGGATTCAGTTACAATCACACGGTAGGATCTGGGTACGAGAATAGGATGGATCAACATCCATCCATGGAGTAGCAGCACTCCTTGTCGTTTAATGACAAAAAAACTGGGATAGGCTGCGTTAGGATGGGCTTTAATTGTATTTCTTGGATTTCAGAGCGTGAAAGATTTTCTTTTGGGAACCAAGTACTGCCCCTATCCACTATCTTGGAAGTCAAACGATCCAAGCTTAGGAAGTTCCTTGTCGATAAATTAACGTTTTAAATAACAAACAAAAAACAAAACAAAACAAATTTAATCTTAAACAGTGCAACCGAGTATAGAATGAAACTCAAACATCTCATCAAGCTTCTTGCTTACGAGAGGTGCTCACTGATCGTAATGACTAAACACCACTTTTTCCAAACTGACAACCAAAAAGCAGTGCTCTTTATAGTGTTTTCGTTGTTTAAGCTGTTTTTCAGCTGCGGCGGCGAAAAAAAACCTACTTAAAACGCCAGCCATTGTTTCACTCGCAAATTTTCAAATTTGCAAACTTTGTCGCGACATCCAAGGCTCGCATTTGATTGGTTATCTGTGAGTTTCTTTGATTATTGACCAATCACAATGTCTGATTTGTTTCTGTCTTTGCACTGAATTAACCCTCTTCTGCACTGAATTAACTCTCTTCTGCACTGAATTACCTGAAAACTGCATTTATCTTAACCAATCAGAACTGAGTAATTTTTCCATGTATATTATTAGGGCTGAAATCATACGCGTGATTTCAAAATTGAACGAGCGCGCAGCGCGAGTTCAATTTGAAATCACAAGTATCATTTCAGACCAAAACTGCACAACACGAGGTTCACTTACCACTTTATTGCATCCATTTTGAAATCGCTCAAATACAGGACTTGGTCATTTCAAATATTTTATTACTACAATACTGAGCCAGTTTGAAATTAAATTCATCCATTTTTTGAGAGGAAAAAATAAGAGTTTTGGAAACAAAAGTTGCAAAATTTGCTACATGATACTTCATGTCTTTCAACTTCCTGCAATTTGATCGGTTACTTTAAACAAGCCTTGAGGTCTGATTGGTTGTTTTGTTTTTAGTGTAGCCCCCTCATTGGCTAGAAAAAAGATGCAATTTAAAGCAAAAAATGGTGCAATTCGTGAATAAATCGCACCAATTAGAGCCAATCAGATTACAGGGACCACCAGTGATTTCAAAACGGGTGTAATAAAGTATGTAAATATCTCCGTTAGGGTAGACTATCACTCGCTGGAACAGATAAAAAATGTCATGATATATAAAGATTAAAGGTTCATTAGAACAAATTGGAAAAGTGTCGATGTTGAAATTTTCCTCCGTGTACCTTTTTAGGATATGACTCAAATGGTTGCCGCTCAACAGTATTTATTGTTTTTGCTGCTCATAGCTGTCCTGAAAGGGATGATGCCAATCTCGTACTCGTACCCAGATTCCACCTTGTAACCAAAACGTAACCGCTTGGTAGTGGAAAGTCTGGGTACGAGACTAGGATAACGCAGATTATGGCAGCAAAAATGAAACGTCATATGGCTTCTTTGACCCTTTACCGACCCCCACGATTTGATTGTTAATTCTCCCCTCTAACTGCTGCACGTTTCCTTATAAATTGGTTACAAGAATTTGGTGTTAGATCAAACTAACAACTTCTGCCTGATAAGTTTGAGTATTCTCGTCATTAAGGGGTTAATGGTGGAGATAAAATTCTTGTTTTCAGAAATATGCCTCTCCTTTGAAATGCCTTGCGAAGTTAATGGTGGAGCCGAAAGATCACCATCCGGATTTAGATCGACTATTTCATCTCCTTGCCCTTTGCGCCGGGCGCGCAAAAACATGTGCAAAAATGAAGCGTTCTTACAAAAAGTCATCGCTGAGTGATGAGCGGCAGCTAACATTAAATTTACTGATGTGCTATTCCTTAAATTTCTGTTAGTGCAATTATTTTCTGAGACCACCGTGAGAGGAAAAAAAATTTTAATAACCTTGAGACAACATATGCTCTTTTGATGTGCACCTATGTTCTCTGAGCAAATACGAAGAATTTCTTTTCCAAACAGGAATGACATTTCCAATGATTATTTGCCAAATTGTTCTTAACTTTTAACACGTGCATCACACTATAGATCTTTTTTCGGAGTTTTCTGCGCTATAAAAGCAATTACTTAACTCGATATTTACACAAAGGTGAACGCTTTTATGGCTCGTTGTATTAGCAGCTGCTGAAGACCACTCTCAGCCAATCACCAAAAAGCTGATAGTAACAAGCTTATCATCTTTTGAAAGAGTAAACGTCAGCTCTCTAAACAAACCTGAAAGAAAAATCTCCTTTCAACAAATACTGCATATCAAGCCCATATTTTGCCAAAACTAACGAGTTTGGAAAAATTCTCAACAGACTGGAATTTTATGCTGCGATGCATTCAGGTGAGTTTGTTCTGATTTGCCCGTGTTACTAAAGGGCCAGAGAGCTTGAATACTGAATTTTTAAAATAAAATTTATCTTCTTGGAATTATGCCATAACATGCATAACCCCCAAAATAACGCAAGATAATGGAAGCCTTAACGATTGAATGTAAAAACCTGACTAAGATTAATAAATACAGTCATGTGCCACCGGAATCTCGGAGAAACAGGCTTGAAAGCTTAGATGAAAAGGTCTTCATGAGTTTCTTCCTTGACTGATCTTAAAATCTGATAGACTCGAGATAGAGACTCGAAAAGTAATACAGCGGCCACAAAAATTAATTACAAATTTATGACTATTTTCAGAGTCGAACCTAAAACATATTTATGCCCGCGAGCATAAATTCCCTATTGTTTTATTGTAGATTGTAGTCTTCTGCTTGACTGCCACTACTTGAAAACGCAAATCATCCTCGTCTGCCTTCTTCTGACTCTGAAACAAATCACGGCCATTGGTAAGCTACTCATCTTTGTCCAGATTTATCGCGGCCTGAACACAATGCCGAAGTAACTTATGAAATAGCGAATTTATGAGGGAGTTTAGACTTTGTCGGAAATATCAGCATTAAGCATTGATATCTTTTTCTGACGGGAAATTGTAGTTATCTCGCTCATTTGATCCGTAATCGTTTTCTGCCCAAGATAACCACGTCCTAGATTTCGCACCAATTTTCGCCTGCAGAGAGACACCGATGTGGTTCGTAAGAAGAAGCAACATGGCTTCACGGATTTTACCGCGATATAGCTGGTTGAGTTTCCTTACTCAAGGTTTTTCACAAATATCTTGTTGCAGACTGTTCGTACTCTGCAGTCCTGAAAGGCGATTTCTGTTTCGAGCCCGGTGACCATGTGACAGAAGAGGGATGCAGACGACTTAGCGAAGAGTGTTGCGTTCATATAAAAAACAAAGTAAAATTTAAATGCTTTAGAACCAAAGAAAAACAGCCCCATAAAGGTAACTATGGAACATGCTAGTTGAAAAGGCCATTACCCTGCCATCAACTGAAGGAAAATGAGTATTGATTAAAGATTCCCCCGCGAATCATCTACCCGTGGTAGATGATTTAAATTCTATGTCAGTATTGAACTCTGGACAATCGGTTCTAAAGGACTGACAACAAGTAATAGATGATTTTAATTTGCAATGATAGTAGTCTAGTCACTGTGGTCTACCCTCTTCCACGCTTTGTTGTGGGAATGAACCCGCCCGGGGTCAGCGGTTCAGCCCGTACATGGGAAACGAAAGGGAGAATTTAGGAACTGGGCAAAATTAAATATAGGAAGCGCCCTTATCCCATATGACTTTGGAAACCTTGCATTTAAACAGGCAAGAAGCAATCGAACTAAATTAAAAAATGCTGAATTTGGAATTTCGCGTGCGATTTAAAAGGGCAAATATACGAAATAGAGCATATGCCTGACCAATCACCAAATCGTTTTGAAAAAAATACCTTCGCTCCTTTAATATTTCTTCCTTTCTTCAGGAGGCTGCAGCAAAGTTTCATTAGTAGAAAGAAGACCACTTATGAACCAGTTTTTGGAAGGTGACGTTCTTCTGGAGTTCAGGGTTGTCTCTGAACTCCATTGCTGGGACCACTGCATACGGTATAACTATTGCAAAGCATACAATTATCATCAGACCAGTGACCCGTCGTTAGAAAACTGTCAGTTGTTAAAAAGTGATATTGGTCTGTTAAAAGCCAGAGAGGGTCACACATATTACGTTATACCCGAGCAAAACAAGGATTCACAGGTGAGGGAGTAGTCATTATTTGTTACGGGGGGGAGGGGTCGGAAGATCTTTTGGTTTTCAGGGGGAACAGAGTGGGGATCAGTCGTCGCTAACAGAGCATATAGGGAGACCAGGCCAATTTTCATTGCTACGGAGCCTTAGGGGGGATAGGGTTAATTTTAGTTTGATACGAACCAAATCCTCCTCTCTCCCCCCCCCCCCCCCCCAGGCAATGAATAACAACGTACCGTTCCCTAAGTTTACTTTTCAACCTTTTCACTGTTTCAGGATCGTAAAATAATCATGATTATGATTTTTCATCATATAAATCCTATAAGTTATATCTTATTTCTCAGAATTTGCTGGGAAGTACGTGTCGCTAAAGAATGCACCGAAATCCTCTCGAGATTCATACTGACAATGGACTTGACTGACGGATTGACAACATAAAGAGGACTTTAAGAAGTTAACGATGTGAAAACGCAACGCCTCTTTAAAGGGAAAGTTACGTGACATACATAGAAACGGCTGCGAAGGAGACTTCGATAAAGCGTGGAGCCTCAGGAACAAGCAAAAGATAACATGATTCGAGGAAGCTCGCCCAGACACGCATAAAGTCTTTCTCTCAGAATAATTATCAAAAGACCAACTTAAATCCAAACATCCATATTTTCCTCTACAGGTGATAAAGAGATTTTCTAGGATCAGTATCAGTGTCTGGGTAACGGCCCACCTACCCCTCCCTTAACCCAACATTCACCCTAGCTTGTTATCAGTTGACTGTTGTTGGGTTAGGGGAAGGGTAGGTGGGCAGTTGCCCAGATACTGATATTAATCCATTTTCTATACCACAATTAATAAAGAAATTGATTTTCATTTTCGTGCTTTAAAAAAGCTTTTTCTTCATATTGCATGACAACATGGTTAGTCGATCAAACAGACTGTCACGCTTTCTCAGGACGTGATTGAAGTAAATTTTCCGATTGCAAAAAAAAAATGCTATGATCTTCGAAGATAGCCTTGTTAAAGTAACTAATTAACCTTTTTGAGAGTCGTTTTCAGTATTCAGATTTAATATTAACTGGTTGCTCATTTGTTTATTTGATATAACCAGCTGTTCGTGATTAGCATATTACGTACAATTAAATATTCAAAACAACAATCAATTACACCACTGAAAAACCGAAACGTTTTATTCGTCAGACGTGTCTACATTAACTAAAGCAGTTTTCATTTTTCATCATTTTTAAATGATACAAAATGCCCGAAAGATCGCTGAAGAATTGGTTTAAGCTCGCCTTTCACTTGTTTGTGAGTGACCAGTGGGAGAAAGTCGAAGAAATCGTGCAGGATAATGATTCCACGTACAGATGGCTGAAGGAGCAGATCCTACGCGAGGTATGCAAAATTGAGGAAAACTCTTTCCGGAGTTTTCTCGGCTCCGCAGCGCTGAATATCCGCGACAGGTTGATCACCATAAAACACGTGAATCCAGGCGAAGAAATTTTCAGCAAGGTCAAATTTTGGCTGAACCAGCAGACGGGAAAATTTGTCTTAGAAGACAGTGACAACGCGACGGAAGACAGAGTGATAGGATGCAAGATCGCTTTGCTCGAGGCTTCGTTCATCTACCTCGATGAGAGCGAGATGGTCGCGAATTTCTTTCGCCATTTGCTGAATAAGCTGCGAGGTATCGCCGGGGTTAATTCAGCCATTGAAGAGAAAAACAACCCTACAATTTTGGCCCAGGTCAAAGTCATTGACGATGCAGCGAAGGAGTACGTAAGAAGTATTGGGCAAGAACTTGGGGATTGGCCCGAATTTGATATCTCCGCCGAGGCCCTGCCGAGCGAGAAACCCGATTACGAGCCCCCAGCGATTTGGTGCTTCGGTGATTATGGCATGGCTGATGGTCAGATGTGCTACCCAGAGAAAGTAGCCATTGATAAAGAGGGGCAGTTCCTTGTGTTGGAAGAGCACACGATCGGAATGGGAGGCGTAGTGACCATCCAACGTATCCAGCTCTTTAGCGCTAAAGGAAAATTTTTGAAATGCCTATTGAAGCGAGGCGAAGGAAAGGTCAATGGTATGACAGATTTCTGTCTCACCAAAGACGGAAACATTCTTGTCGCAGACGAAGACGAAAACGGCCACGGAAGGATTCAGATATTCGATTACGAAGGCAACAGGCTTGTGCAAATCATTCCGGAGGTCCATGACCCAGAAGTTTATCCCCACTTCGCGAGCGTTGCTATTGATTCCAATGGTAACATTATTGCTGGTGATTCCTCAAGCTATAGGATCTACATCCTGAGCGCTACTGAAGGAAAGACCCTCTGCAAGTTTGGAAAGTTTGGTCGTGAAGAAGGCGAATTTCAGGCCATCAATCATGTCAGCTGTGACGATTCCGGTAAGATCTACGTGTCCGATTCAGCGCTGCACAGAATCCAAGTTTTCAGTGGTGCCGGTGACTACCTGAGTTTATTTGGTCCAAAGGGTACTCACTTGCGCTTCTTGCTGTTTGATGCTGCGAGGGGCGAGGTGTATGGCTCGGATTACAGAAATCACAAGGTGAAAGTATTCTCCATGGCTGGGGAGCCGCAGAGAGAGCATGGGAAATATGGCACCGCCCTGCACGAGTGTTGGTTCCCGTTAGGACTGGCCCTGATGCCTGATGGGAGGATCGCGATAGCCGAGAGAGAGAACCACAGGATCACAGTGTTAAAAATTTAAGGTGAGCCAAAAGCTAAACGAATTCTCGATACAGATCCCATCCTCGATTAATATCATATTTGTACTTCAAGAGAAACGGATTGATGGTATAAAACCTACCTAGTCATAAATCTTTTTGCAGCTTAAATATAGCCGAGTATTTTGTAGGAATTTTTAGCGGGTAACTAGTTTGATTCCCAAGGAAAGTGATGTTTTAAACGTCCTGCGCTTGCGCCGACTAAAGACGTTTGCTGTTTCGTCGTACTCAACAGTATTTAAGTGAATATATATCATGCGTGTCATCTGCTACATGAAAAGCTGCGAGTTTGATCTCTATTTCATATAGAGGAATGGATCAAAAGTTTTGCATTCAGAAAGCAACGTCATCATTGATCGGTTTGACAATCTCAAACAGTCCAAATCGAAGCGTTTTTTCTTTTTCTTCATCTCTGTAATTGCAACTTTAAATTGAAACAGTTTTTATCGAGAAAATTCCTAATACAGTGACAATTTTTTTTTACAAATTTGTTGCTTTATCATATAATCTTATTTTCTTTGCAGATGACGGTTGAAAAGTTGATGGTGGGATGATTAAGGAAGAAGAGGGAGGATTATTGAAAATCTGTGAAAAATTTCATTCAATAAAAAAAATGATTCGAATCATTCTCATTTTTACTAGGTCTTTCTCAAAGACAGGTTAAATAGTTAGCAAAATATATTGAGGAATTGAGTAGTCTAATTTCTCGTTTGTGCAGGTTTAAAAAATACACTCATCTGATTAAACTGGTGTTAAATTGGTGGAACTGTTGTCTTTGCTTTCTTATTTTTTTTGGTCATTTTCCCCAGTTCTTATAACTATGAAACAGATCAATGAAAAAATTGAAATTGAAAATTGAAACCAAGCGCTAATTACTCGACAGAGCCTACGGTTTGTCTACGAAGGGTGGGGGAGGAGGTGGGGGGGGGGGGGGGTGATCAGAGCTGGCAATCCACCTTACCACAGGATGTCGATGGATGTTATCAGAGCGTAGTCTACGAACAGTTCTTCCTTTTAGGCGAAGACGTGCGTACTATTAAAAAAAAGTTAGAGAAAATGACAGTTGATGTTAGCGTGTCGCGCTGAATTATCGTGTCCCTCACTCCCATGGTAAAGCGCGACGTACTAACATCAATTATTTTTGGTGACTGACCTTTTTTCATTAGCACGACGGACTTGGCCAAAAGAAGGGACTACTCATAGTCTTATTTGAGAGTACCGGGATAGTTTCATACAACCGTTGTAAGAGGAACACGACGGAAAAGATTTAAATTCAGTTTTACTCGTCGAAGTGCATCATGGGGGAATATTACATACGCAGGAGCCTATTACTTGACATACGCCCCATAAAGGACTAAGTTGACTCAGGTATTAGTTTTAAATTCATTTTTTTATCTTTCTGTAATTCAGAGTGGAACTTGATTTACAACATTTCTGAAAGTTTTTCAATGGACAAAAATTCTCAGAAAAGCAACCATACGACGAAAATCAAATAGACGCCGTGATCCGGTACCAGGATAATTGTTCACAGAATTTGTACCTTGATATCAACAGCTCAAAGACAAAAACCAATTATGAAATAGATTGCATCAAACTAACCTGTAGCGTTTTTTTTCTTTCTTTTTTTTTGTTCTATGGCTCCTCATTTCAAAGCGGTTTTATATCTGTATAAAAAAAATGCACGACCAGGAACCAATCAGAAAGTACATTCATTATCATTACTGAACAAAAGAGGGCGGGTGGCTTGTCTAATAACAGGAAGTCTATTGATTGTTTACTTATGACGAGAGGGCGTTGTCCCAATTTTCGAATAGCAATTAAAAAGTTAAGAGCCTGAGAAAACATTTGAACTCAAAGCCAAATCACGTTTTATATGCAAAGTCCCATAAACCTGCAAAAAAATGTATTCTTTCGAGCGAACTTAGTTGACAACCCGGGAAATCGACCCACGCTGGTTTTAAGCAATACAAATGGAGCGTGTTACGTGACGGTAAATTCGCTTTCTTTGTAAAGAGCTTACTTATCATTCAAGCAGATCTAAGTGTTTCCGGAAAAATGATGAGGTTCATTTGTTACGCAATGCTCTTTGTAAAAATAGAATTCTGCTCACGTCGAGTGCGGTACTTCAAGCGTGAATCACATTTTCCGTCATACGTTGAAGAGTTTGAATACAATTCATAAAGGCAAAGCCCATTGCGGAAAAAAGGCTTCAGGTAAACTGTTCTTTCTTAGCATCGGTGCGCCTCTCCGAATTCCTAGTTTTAATTTTACTGTCGCTCGCTTATTCCTGGCTAAAATGATATGATGTCTTGAAATCAATATTTGCCTCACTGCAACGAACCGGAAGTGAAACACCACAAAAACACTCCACAGCACGAAAAGTCAATCAAACGATCCCAACTTAAAATCTAGGCGTTGTTCCAGATTTTGCCATGGATATTCGATCACGAGGTCCGCTTTATTTGTTAAGCCACTAAAAGGGAAGAAGAGTACGAAATATATCAAGGCTTGAATTCTCTCACTAAGGCGAGTAATCTCCTCAAATATCTCATCATTTTAAACTTCTGTTTACTGTGTTTGAGTAGCGTGACAAAAAGCACAGCAAGTCGTCTCGTAAACCTCTCTTTTGATTGGTCTTTTGAAAGGGCTTTGGGCTATATTCCCTCCGCCTATACTGGTCTTTACTAAGACTTTAGCCATTGAGAAGGCGCTCGTGCGCCCGGTGTGAGCCGCGAAGCTCACATGATACGAGACTGTGAGCGAAGCGTGCACTTGATAGGAGCGTGTGGTGTGTGATTAGCAAGCGGTCTGCTCGCATCTACAAATTTCACCGTTCGTGCTGCAGCTCTGGTGAAAACGTTCTCGTAGGCTCGACGCATTTGCAGCTCGACAACTCTTGTGAGTTTACGCGCTAGCTGGAAGGAGTAGGCGACGAATTAATCCTCGTAAGTGAAATGCATGCTATTAAAGGAATTGTAGAAATGGAAAATGGACCGAGATGCTTAGATCATTCCTTAACTCAGCATGGAAACCGAACTGGTAAGCTAAAAAGGGAACTGAACTGGTGCCTTTTACTCAGTGGGTGGCCGCGCTGTTATCTACGAAAATACGATGCCACAATTTAATGAATGAAGAAAAGGTTTGCGTGGGTTTTTTGTTTCATGAAAAGGAATTCAAAATTGATATTTGCATTTGTGGATTAGTTAACCTCGACGAAACGATCTTCGTTAGATAAGTACAGGAAAAGTAACTGTAGTGGAAGAAGTCGGAAAAAATCAGGCTTGGACAAAACACAACGTATTCCTCCCCAATGATAAGCGCCATTACCCAACTGAGCCACGAGGCCACACAATGGGGGCGAGGAAAGTTTAACGTGGGCTCTCCGTTACCCGTTGGGGAATTTGATCTCAAATGACTTGTGACCGATAAATGACAAGCGATTATTAGCCTTTCAACTCAAAGCGTTTCTTTGCCCGAAAGAGAGAGTATGATCATGAGGCCCTTAGCAACGCAAGCCTGCTAGAGGTCTGCAAACCTCTCCTCCACTGGTATCAAATCTTCGTTTACGCCGCATTAAAAACGCGCGTCCTGCAGTCTTGTAATGAGGACCTACTCTAAGCTAAGCTATGAATTTATACTCAAATTGCGTAAATCAACTGGAAAGTGCAGAATGACAGGGTTAGTAATATTATGTATTTCTAAAGGTTGCGATTACGAACTGTCGTTCGCGATCCGCTTCTTGGAAAATAGAACAACGAATATCAGTTTTTCACCTCATAGAAACACAAATTGAAAACTTGTAGACCGTTTCGCTGTCGAACTTTTCTCCGCAGTTTGACTGATATCTAATCTAATTAGTATAGTTGAAATTTTTCATGTCTAAGACTTCCTCTCTGCGAAAAAAAAAACATTTAAGTGATTACTTTTTGTGGTTTGAAACTAGAATTTAATTATCATAGGAAACATAGTTTGGATATGACCTCATCCTTTATTCAAGTTCAACTTTCATTTTTAGTGTGAAATTTGCCGCCATTGTAGAGAAAGAAAATGGAAAGGAAAGTACCACAGAAGCTGCCATCACATACGAGAATAAAAAGAAAAAACCTGACCAGCATAAATACGGAAAGTGACAAACTTTTGAATCTCGTAACAGAACTGCGTTGGAGTGTGTTGATCAACGAGATTAGCTCAGAATTCGTGAGGTAACCATGCGCAATTTGAGGGGAAAGATCGAAACCGCGTCGTTTGATGGCGTTAATAACTTTTTTTTTAACATATGTATACAAAACTATGACAAATTTGGCATCTGGGAAGGCCAAACGTTCTTGAGATATAAGAGGAAAAACATATCCTTCACAATACAACTATTGCGCCAGAAATGAAAAAAAAAAGGTTTTAAATTCCGGTATCTTAATTGTTCCACGCCGGGATCTGGATTTTCAACGTATGCAAACATCACGTACTGTTACATCCCACGTTGCATTTTAAGTCATGATTTCATTTTTTGCGGTAAAGTTTGTTACATGTATAGATTTCATAGTCGTGCTTCGGAAATAAACAATTACATGACATTGTTTAGTCATCGAGTGAAGAAATCCTACCAGAGCTTTTTCCTTTTCGGTACCTGTTTTTCTTTTATATTAGCTCCTATTGCAAAGTTTAAGAATGTAAATTTAAGCCTTTGTTCGCTTTTGAAGGAATAGGCCTAACGCTGGCAGTCTTAATTTGAACTCTGTCCGTAAATTTCACCGCGCTTGCGTAGAGCAGAAGCATGGCCAATAAATTCTTGGGAGGTGGAGGAACTTTTAAATTTTATTTCACTTCCTGACGTTAATTGCAGATTAACTGAAAAAAATCTCGTAGAGCTTTTCATGTTTGAGGGAAATTTGACGTAAAGGTATTCTTAACATCTAATTTAGTTACTTGAGGATATCAATGGGATATCGCTTAGGGAAAAGCAAGATTTTCAAAGAATTGCGTGGTTCCTAGCACAAAAGACCGGGAAATTGCAATTTTCTCAAGGGAGGTAGAGATCGTTTCTGTGCTACTTTGTAAAAATATTTGTTAAGTAAATAGAGACGACACGTCTATAAAGGCAACACGAAAAAGACAATTTGAAACTATATACTTAAGTATAAAAAAAAATCTTGCTGCAACACGCAGTTCGAAAAAGAAAAATTGTATGTTTATAGATGACTTTTGCACTTTCTGGTGAGGAAATGCGAAAGAACGGAACTAGCGAATGCAAACTTTATTATGAGTTCTTGTTTAAGAGATCAGTAATTGTTGGGTCTGTGTAAAGTTTCTTCCTTACATTTTCATGTCTATTGCAATATCGCTCGCTACGTTTAAGATTTTGTTAATTACAGAGAATCTTGCATATCGGACTATCTCAAAACTCTGTTGAAGACTGTAGCCAAATACTCAACAAGTTTCCTTCCTCATAGAAATGTTAATTTTGAAACTAAATATTCCGTTTGTCAGTTTTTGCTTGGGTTTGTCCATTCTTGTGGAGAAGAGAAAAACCGCAAATACAACCTTAAAGAAAACAAAGCGAACACCTTTACGTGCGTTTCTATGGCGTGAAAAATTACAGTGTAGACTTAATATAAACAACAATAGCCTTGAATTTACTTTTCAAAGTATTTGAATTGATTTACATGCCTTAATAGGTTATGCTAATGTTAATACAATAAAGTTTGCTGTGTGAGATCAGAAGATCTATTGTCTTCGGGTATTTGAGAGAGATCTTTTGTTCCATGCACGTGAGCATTCATGTTAGCACCTCTGTTTCAAATATGTTTCTCACCATCTGATTGGTCCGGATGCAAATTTCCTACATCGTGATTGGTCATCAGTTAATAGGACACATGAGACGTAAAGGGTATTTAAATATTCGCGGTTGATGAAAGTCAGATTTAGTGACAGTGAAATTTCTTCGAGGAGCGAGTTGTCGGCGTTGTTTCGACCGTTTCTTGTCTTCAGGAATAACTTTCCGAACGTGTCTCCTTATTGAAGATCAAGAGAAGCAACTGGTAAGTTTTTATAACCGCTTATCGACTAGTTTTGGAAGTTAACGGGGCGAGCTGTTTAACCTAAGGGATCAGAGCCGAGAATTATTTGCCTGTATTGTAACACCAAAAATGGCTCATTCCTTCTGGGAAAAAAATCTTCAACAAACAGCGATCTAACAGGAAAAGGGTTCTGTTTTTATTTCAAGAAGAAATTTTCCTACATGCCTAGCATCTGATCGCTTGAAAAAACCTCATGGAATATTATAAATATAGCAGTGTACAGTTTCCGCTAAGTAATTCGTGGAGCCATGGATTACCTTAGTGAGGTTAATGTTGCTCGAATTTAGCTCATCTGATATTTGTGTTGATGGTTTCGCAACTTCGATGAAACACGCTTTAAGCTCTATGACCGAGAACGAGTTTTACTTTATAATCAAAGAAAAATCCGAGTAATTCTCCGTTATGGTTTTGAGTTCTTTGTGGGCGATCTAATGCATATTTACATGTTCTACAACAAAGCTGGAAATTTATTGGCAAGTTTGCTCGATTTTTAGATGTTTTGTTGGTAAAAATATAGTGATAAATCTCCCTCTTACTCTAAAGTGGAAGAATATAAGTCAAGAAGGGCAAAAAATACAAGAGAGAACCGGCTTTTGCTTGCAGAAATTTCCCGAGCGTTCATTGTTATTGTAAGAAAATCTTCGAGGCGTTGAGGTGAGATGGAAAGCGTTGATGTCGAAACAACTGCAAATCCAAATCGCTGTATTTTTTTTAACGTATATATAAAGAGCGTAATCACTAGCATTTACTTTGCAAGTTTTTTTTAATTAATTGCGCTTAGTTTCTATATCAGTGAAGACGAGCAAAAGTTCGATTCGTTTTGTTCATGCATAATTCTTAAATGCCACATGTCATAGCAATTTGGTATCAATTTTTAATCTAACATGTAAAATGCAAGGCATTGATAATTCCGTCAAAATCGGCAAAGGAAAACTCGACAAGCCCGTTGTCTAACTTTCATTTACAAAGCTGAAAACTGATAACATTTTGGACAACTAGGACAGCGCGTTTTACGAGAGAAATTGAAAGTTCCGAAGCCGCGGAAATATTCTTTAGCTTCATGAGCCGGCAGATTTTTCAGTAGTTAGTAAATTGTGAATCTCCGATTGCCTTAGAGAATATATTACCCGAACTGAAGATCAGAAATTTCTCCATCTTCCATGTAAAAAGGGTCGATAGTTTCCTGCATGGATATTTTACAAGCTCAGAGTGAATGTAGGTCGCCCTCTTGAAATTTTCGTGAGTATCGGGTATCTTTCGAGATCAAAACAAATTTCCTTTCTGCAGGGTTCTTACAAAAAAAAAATAACCCATGAATTTTAAAATATCACCTCTAAATTGGCCAAGCCCTTCCTGGAGTTTACCGCATTATCATATCAATAAGAATATACACTCAGATTTTAAACAAACAATTTTTGTTCAACACTGGGCAAATGTAAAGATCGAACTACTGTCTTCAGCGAGGACTCAATCTAGTCGTGTGTTGCAGAAGTGCTCAGATAAATAAACTCCCCGGCGAAAGAAACGGTCTGATTTATCTACAGCTTTGCTTAAGAGCTCACTTTGGCTGTGCCTGGATAACTATTTTCAAAATGTTTTCCTTTCTCTGCTTTCAATAAATTGCGGTGGGTCAAACAGTCTGCTTACTCTATCCTGTGGCATGTTTGGAATGGGATTCCCCTGGTAAAACTTATTAGTCGTGCATACTCGAACCTGTCTCAAATAACGTGATTTTGCCTTGAAACCACACTTGAACAAAATGAGAACTGTTGACTCCACAGATCAAATGTCAAAAGGCAATCACATGCTTACAAAAAAAATGCGAAAATTCAAATTACAGCACTGTGGTTTTGTAACTAGTAGTGGTGAGTTCAACAAGGCGAAGTCACCTTAACCTCTTGTTTCATCAAGGTATGTTATTTATTATGTTCAAAAGCTTTCTTGAAATTTGATTTGAATACCTGGATTGTTATCATAGGATTAAAGGACTCTTATTCTTACAGGTTTGTTTTGGTAATAATTTATCAGATTAAGCATTCAAAACTCATGAAGGCTTTTGTTGGAAAATACTTAACCCTTTAACTCCCAAGATCTCATTAGTAATGCTCCTAACTGTCTGCCATACAGTTCTTGTGATGGTAGTTCGGAGAATTTGGTATTGGATCAACTTATAGTCCCTTGACTAATATTTTCTTCATTCTCATCCCTTGTCTGCTTGATATTGTACGGAGAAATTTTTTCTTGATCACTCATGGGAATTAAAGGGTTAACTTGAATCTACCTTTCAATCCACAGTGCTTCCAGTCTAGATCCTAGGAAAAAAATGCCTCCAGGGACAAAGAAACGAAAGACAGAGGATTGTTGTTTTACAAGTTGTGTTGGTGGTAGTCCAAGATATATCACTAGACTTTTTCTTCGTGAGCGAAGAGCAAGTGGAATTGAAAGCATAGGACAGTATTTTGGATGCTTACCTCCTGAGATGCTGAATCTCTTATTCTCTTACCTAGATGCTCCAGCACTGTCCTCAATAGGGGCAACTTGTCGTGTTATGAATTCACATGCCAAACGTTTATGGAAACCATTGTGTATGAGGCTGGCACTTGTTCACAAACCCACTGTTTTGTGTGTGGCAAATCCTTTGAGTGAGGAATCAATATTTTCATATGATAAAGCTGTTGAACTTTGCACAGGTGAAAAGCGCTGGGAAGTAATGGCAGCAAGGAGCTGGTTATACTCAAAATGGCGCTGTGTGGTGTGTTATCGGAACTGTTCTCATCGGGTAGATGTTCATTTTGATGTGACGCTCTGTGACAGCTGTCACCCTTTGTTTTACAGACGTAAATGCCATGCCAAGGTATGTCGAGCATCAGGTGTTTGAAAGCCCCAATCTTCAACAGGGTAATAGTAACACTTATAACACCCCTCCCCTACTGAGGTCCTCTGTGCCTTGGGAGGGGTTTATAATTGTTACTTTTTCTCTCTGTCGTAGATTGCTGCTCTGACACTTTAAAACTTTTAAGAAGTGTATTTATTGCTGAAAGAAACAGTGGAGGGAAGAGCCTGGTGCTCTGCATTCCTGTCTATTTCCTGCTCAGTTTTTGACATAAAGGAACTTATTCATTTGCAGCTGATACTCTCCCTCAAATAGCCTTATGCAAGGTTAAGGTGACAGTTTGCTGGTACCCTTTAAAACTCTTGGGTGGAGCTGAGAGGATTATCCAATCACCTGGTTGGTGGTGGGTGGGGGGGGGGGAGAGGGAGTGCATGTTAATATAGGCTCCATTTCTGTTTTTGTGTATTTCTGACTGACGTGCATGGTCCTCTTGTGAAGAGAGGGGCATAAGCTTGTTTCTTGATTGTTGACCATAGTTGAATGTAAGAGAAGTTGGCAGAGACCAGAGAAAAGTTCTACATCCTGTCATGGGAATGGAATAATCTTAATGCTTTTGACATTTCCAATCCTTGCAGTATGCAAGCTAAGACCTCAGTCTTATTTGAACCTGCCTGTAGTAACAACTAAGCTCACTACCTTTTTATCTGTAGCTTAGTAAGTATCAGAGAATACAAGGAATTAGGATGCAACTCTGCATGCTTTAGATTTTTTACCCTTGCCTCATGCTTGTGACATTTGAGGCAAATATCATCTTTATTTCCTTACCATGCTCAAAATTGACCATATTTCTTAATATATTATCAGTGAAAATTTTTCCTTCTCATCTTTAAGCTGATACTTACATTTTTACAAGCAAAAACTCCTTTTTTTTTCTCCAATAGGAGCAATTTAGTCTCACTGAGAGAGATCTTAGGACCATTGACAATGACTCTTATGAGTTCCTAGTATCAGATCTTGTTACTCTTGCGAGAAGGAAATATGGAAGTAGAGAAGCACTGCAAGACAGACTTAATCACAAACAACGGCAGAAGAACATGAGGGAAGCAGAGAAACAATGTGCTTTGGTTCAGCGAGAGAGGGAGGTTTTACGAGCCCTTGAAAGTATGAACAGCTCCTATAGTGATATAGAAACTGTTGATGCAAGGTGCATGCCATATGTTAGTACTCCTGCAAGTTACCAGTATGCTCCACAACAATCAGCGGAGGATGCCGCAAAGTGGTTGATTGGATGGAAGAATAGACAGGAGACAAGGCAGAAGCTGCTAATGGCAGAAATCGAGGCACGGTCAACTCGGTGTAAGGGGTGTAGAGCTCGCTACGATTACAGGTAAGGTGTTTGAATTACTTATCAGTTGAAATGGTAAAGGTAAACTCTACTTTCAAGCCAAGTGGCTTACAACCAGGCAGATCTTCTAGTGGTCTCCAAAGTATGAGGTAATCATGAATATTAAGCATGCATCAATCAAATTGGGGTTGGCAAGAGGTCTGCCAATGATCTTACCAGAAAGAACTTTCCAGTGTAAAAATGCTTGTGCCAAAGGACTAATAATACGGCCCTGTGTACAAACTAAGGACTACGTGCATCTCATATATTGGTAATCTCTACCAAAATCTTTGGTTATTTATAAGGAACCTTTATGCTATATTGATGAAATTTTAGCCAGACATTACATGTTTAGAGATAAAACTTACAGATCAATATCAGTATCTGGGCAACTGCCCGCCTACCCTTCCCCTAACCCAACAACAGTCAATTGATAACAAGTTAGGGTGAATGTTGGGTTAGGGGAGGGGTAGGTGGGCAGTTGCCCAGATACTGATATTTATCCAAAATTACTATTATACTTATTTTAATAGATAGTAATTGGTGTTGAAACTACAGATCTCTCTCCAGGTTACCATCAGCCATCAAGTGCACTCATGTCCTGGAAGAAAATGCCACAAAGTTGATGGAAACTATTAAGGAACATTTCAACCATGACATACTTCACTACACACGACATGGACAACTGAATATGGAGACTGGAGTCTATGATATGGAGCACCGATCAGCACAGGAACTGTTCTTGCGAAATGAAAGGAGAACAAAGCTGATGGAGGAATTAGAGATCAGGAAAACAGAGTGGCCTTCCATTTTGAATGGTATGAGTTAACCTATATTTTGGGACACAGCAAAGATTAATTTACAGTGGTGAATACCAAAGGAGGGGGGTCTGTAACCAGCCCAATCCCCCTCCCCTTCCCCATCTGACCTGCAGACCTGTATCAAAGTTTTGATCTGCTGTCAAAATAAAAAACTGGATCTACCTTTGAAATACTGTGACAAGTCTGTCTAACAAAATTATCCTTAAGCATTGTTTCCAAATAAACAAATTAAATCAATGTGACCTAGTTTGTAGAAGGAAATTTTGTCAGATGGAACAAAGAATTTCAGGAATATTCTCCATATTGCCTGACACCCTTTCTACTCTTATTTCTAATTCAAACAGGACAAAAAAATGCCATGAGCTGCACCTATGCCCAGGACTTCATTTACAAAGGTGTGGCCATACTTGACAACGATGGGAACAAGTGTCGTCTGCGTAATGCTAAGGATGTGGCCAGGGTGATATTAGCGAAGGCATGTGGTTGGAATTCAAGAAATAAAGAAGTAATGAGTGAATTGGAAAAGAAAGGATTTTTTCCACCATTTGATAGCCTCAAACTGGAGAGCCATCTTTTGATGGATGATTTTGTTGAGAGCAGTGTTGTGGTAAGAAAAACCTTTTCATTGCAAGCACATAACAGTGTCATAGAGGTATTCTTCTCGTATGAAAATAGACTTGCACAATTATCTAGGCTTTTCCTGATTTTGAAGCCTTCATGTAGGAATAAGGAGTTTTGCTAATATTCTTTTGTGGGATGCTCTGTGTATAGTGGAGGATTCCCTGGTGTTTTATTAGGCTAGCTAGTACTCAATATCAGACTGAAAAAAATAAAGGAAAAGATTTTTGGGCAAGAAAATAAAACACAATAACCCTGACCAGGACTTGAAGTAGGACCTAAAATCATATGGAATCCAGCTCCCTGTTACACTAGTGATGGTGTACTCTGATCCTCTCTACAAGGGTAGTTCTCAGAAGATAATTGTGGTATTATTAACTGAGTTGATAATGTAAATTGGCCACTGTAAAAAGTTTCAAAGCTGCTGTTTTGAGTGTTAGCCCTTTGTCAGAGCTGTGGCCAATTTACATTATCAGCTCAGTTGATAATGCCAAAATTATATTGCTATAATTCCTCACCAACACAGCACCACAATTTTTAAAAACACAGTCTAATTCCATTTTGATCCAAGAAGGACTGTTGTCAGCAATAATGATTGACATCCTTGGCAGAAGTCATCATCAGTTTAGCCGCTCAATTATTAGACCATGTGATCAAATACCCCCCTCCTCCCCCTCCCCCACATTCAAAGCATTAACTGTATTGTATACTGTCAAACCTTTAACTCCAATGAGTGACCAAAAGAGAATTTCTCCTGACGTTATCAATACAATATCAAGCAGACTAGCAATGAGAATAAAGAACAAGATCAATTAGGGGATTATTAGTTGATCCAATACCAAATTCTCTGAACTAACATCAAGAATTATATGGCCGGTAGTAAGGAGAATTGCTGGTGAGATCTTGGGAGTTAAAGGTTGATACATCTCTTCCTTTGAAAACTTAATAATTCTCAATGTTGTGTTTATTTCAGGTTCATGGCGACAATATCATTGCTTGTTCTTCAACTGAGGTAGCAGATAGAATAGCTGTGATCGAGGGCTTGGAAGAAGAACAGAAATCATCTGCTGCGCAGAGATGTGCAAGGATTTACGCTGAATGCAACAGGAAACCAGGTGAAACTTAACCCTTTAACACTCAAGATCTCATGTAGTAATTCTCCCTACTGTCTGCTATGTAGTTCTTGAGATGTTGGTTTGGAGAATTTAACAGTCTTAATAGGTCATGTAGAGAGTTAGTAGGTCTTCTTAAGCTCTGTTTAAATTTGAATAAAATGAAACGCATATCAAATTGATATCATACCAGCAACAAGAAAAATAAAAATATAGTTTAGTTTGCTGATGGATAAAACACCCTTCATTAACACTGCATATGTGCAGCTCATGAATTAGAAAATAGCTTATAAAATTAATTTTAATTGTTATTATTAAGGAGAGATTTTTAATCAAGGGTAATGGAAATTTAAACCAGAAATCTTTATTAGGCATGAATTCAAATACTCTGAGGAGGTCTGACCTTGTTCACTTGATATCCAAGCTGCAAATAGTGCATTTCAAGTAGCCAATTGTCATTATCATTTTTATGCATACTTTTAAGTAATGATAGACTAATTTAAAAATTTCAAGACTCTTAGTAGACATATAATAATGTACTTGAAAAAATGATTTGTATCTGATTGGCAGAAAACAAGTGCATTTTTTGATTAACTCAAGTGAAAAGTTGAATACAAGTGCAAATTGCAAATAGCACATATGCAGTAAGATGTCTGACTTGCCTGAACGAAACTTGACCTGGAATTCCATTACCTAGATGGCCATAAATTTATCATCTCTATTAACCAATTTTCATCATTACTTTTATTCAGACATCACTGCTCTGAGACAATTGCGGAAAAACAGTCTTGTCAAAAGCTTGAATGTAAAGTCTTTTTCTGAATGTGGGCCCAGCTCTGATCGCCGGTGGTCTCCTGCCCATGAGTTCATCAACTGGTAGGTTAACCTTCTTGTCTTAGTCCTTTATAACTGTTTTTCTACCTTACTTGCCTGTTAATCAATACAAAAATATTCACAAAGCGTGAGTTGCAGAGCTCTGAAGTCTTGCCCATTAAGTGCGAGACTCTTACCAACAAATTTAATCTTGCACTCTCCAACTAAAACTACTGTTTCTCACCCATGTAAAGTTTCTGGTTTAAATTGTTGATTTTGAGAGGGCAAACTTTTGCTTTAGTTAAGTACCTACCTTTAAAATAATTTACTCCTTGCTCGCCATCAAAAGAAATTGTTGGTCAGAAAAAAGGAACACATGTCTAAGCTACCTTAAATTTTTTCACAATTTCCCAGAAGAGTATGCTTCCACTCTCCCTCAGGAGAGTGATGCATCACAATCAAAGCCATAGGGGTTCAAAACCTCACAGGCTGTCAGCAAATCCACATGATTGCTCTGTTGGTGAAAAATTGTCTCAGTATAATTTCTTACTAAGAAGATTATCAATGACAAAGAATTAAGAGTACTTCTAAATTTATTCTTGATATATTTATTCATAAATTTTTGTCTGTTGCAGTGGAACAACTACGTCACTTTTTGGGTACAAGGTGACCACGCCTGAGGCAGTTTCATCTTTGATAAGGCTCAAACAAGAAATCCACTCTCAAACGAAGATGCTTTAGAATCTATAGTAATGTAATGTTAATAGTGATTTTTGTATAAAATGGTCAGTATGCTATTTTGTTGGTGAAAGGTGAAAGTGAGTTAATTTTCCAGCCTTAGGGTGATATCCAAATTATGGATGTGTTATAACCAAGCATCATTGTTCCTACAAGTAGTTTCAGAATAGTAAAATTTACAACTACTTCCTTTGGTGTAAACAACAATGCATCAAATATTAAAACTTGAGCTTAGATTGTAATAATATAAGGTAAAAAATTTAGCTCCGTTATGTCAATCTGCAGTAAATTCAAGTATTAACATATCTTAAATCTAAAAATGTCAGCAGTGTTCTGGCAGAGAAAAAATCTTCTATTGATTGTGTCCTGATTCCAATTTTCAAATTGTGCGAACTACAGTTATTATCACACTATTAGAAATATACATGGTTCACGTTTAGGTTAATGAGAGGGTGCGATCCTCTTTTATTAATAATAATTATTATCTATTAGTTTACTTGGGGCATGATGGTCATGTAATATTTTATGAAGGCTATTTGCATTTGTGCAATTGAAGTGCTGATAAAATTTATTATGCAAGACTTTTTTTGGCCTCTTTTTTCTCAGATCTTCCAAACCAAAATTTACATGCGACTTTCTAGAGGTAATCTTCTGTCCTGCATCAAAAAAACAAAATTAATCTTACCAAGAAGTACATGTAACAATGATCAACTGGAAAAAACTTATTACAAAATTTATCCAATTTTGGAAAGAACTGAACTTCCATGTTATGCTGTTGTTTTGCATTTAATAATTATGCAATTGAATATATAATTGTTTTGGATTTTTTAACGACTTTTGCCTTTTAGCAAAGAGATAAATCGTCATTATTGTGCCATACACAAAATTAGTAAGCTTACTTCTTTCAAATGCTTCACACCATCAGCCATTTCTCATGATTTTAGCTCAGTGAGTTTGATGTGAAATCTTAGAACATCTCCCCTAGGTGTTGGGAGAAAATCCTATTAGGTCACTCCTGAGAGTACCAGGGTTAAAAAAAATAAATGAAGTTCCATTTTCTTTCTTTTCTTTTCTGAAATACCATTTGAGGCAGACCCTAGCTTAAATGTTCACTAACTTTCTATATACTTTTTGCATCTTGTTGTCTCTTCAATGGTTTGATGTCATTGTTAAAAATTACGGCAATCTCTTTCCCATGAAAACTCTCTTTAACTCAAATCCAACACTACATGAAGACTTGCATTTTCATAACTGTACAGAGAAACTCAAGAATTTTTTGCACAAGAACCTTTTTATACCAAATGCTATACAAGGAGTGAATGCTTTAATTGATAAATATACTTGTGGTGGTAGTGAAAACCCCACTAAGCAATAGTTTTCTCAACAGAAACATTAGGACTGCTGTTAAATTGTAGATTCTAAAAGTTCACGAGAGTGATTTAAAAACTAAGCAGCAATTGAGCTAGCTGAGAAATCTAAGCTGATACTAGTGCTCAAGAGGTTACAGTTGTAATAGAATAATATTATTAGAGTAAAAATTTAGAAATTAGTGGAGTTCAAGATTGACTGTGCAAACATTGTCAAGGATCTACTCTTTCCGGTCTTGTTACAATTCAAACAGAAGGTTATTCAGATATTCAAGAAATAAACTCCATTCATAAACCCTTGTCACATGTCATTATTTAATTTAAATTTATTATAATAGTTACTATTATTTTGACCAGACACTACATGTGCTGTGATTAGGGATTATAAACTCTTTAACTCCCCGATCAAATTTGGAATTCTCCTTACTGTCAACCATACAATTCTTATAATTTTAGTTCAGAGAATTTAGTATTAGATCAGCTAATTATCCCCAATATTTTTCTTTAATCTCATCACTTATCTGGTTGATATTGTATTGATATTGTAAGGAGAAATTCTGTCTTGATCACTCATGGGAGTTATAAGGTTTGGAATGCTATGTTCTGTACCAGATGAATTGAGTTTATCTACTGAGTTGATAATGTTCTTTGGCCAAAGCTCTTTCAAGTATAAATCATTTTTCAGAGAGAGTCAAAGAGGTCATTTGGCTGATCATGCATTACATCCCCTCCCATCCCCTCACTAAAACAACAACAAAGGCCAAATACAAACAAACTAACAACAATCTATTACAAAACACAGACATGCGCTTATTTTTAACAAGTTGAAAAATACACCTCCTTCATTTCATTTTAACATTCAAATTTATTTTGCATTCTTCTGGAAACTCCTTTGGAGATTTCTTTGCCTATTTTATGAACAATTTTGAGACAGTGCAAACTGACTCTTCCCAAAGAAGTTAACCTAGGTCTTCATCATTTATTATTTCACAATGTTCTCATTCTACTGTCCTGCTTCATGTGTAGCCAATCATCACTATTTTCTCATTCTGATCTAGCAGTCCTCATTTAAAAAACCTAACAAAATTCTCCCTAAGTAATACAAACTTATGTAAAGCAACTTCATAGGGGAATCTTGGATTTGATCAATTAGAGTGTTCAAGGGTTTTTTCAGAATAAAAAATTTGGATCAATATCAGTATCTGGGCAACTGCCCACCTACCCCTCCCTTAACCCAACATTTTAACCCTAACTTGTTATCAATTGACTGTTGTTGAGTTAGGGGAGGGGTGGGTGGGCAGTTGCCCAGATACTGATATTGATCCAAAAATTTTTTTATAATCATTAAGAATTTTGTTTCAGGTAAAAATATATGACACTTAAAATTCAAGATTATTTCATTTCCTACAATATAACACATGTGTAAGCTTGTAAAAAACATTTGCTAAAAATTCAAATATTACTGCTATTAATATTAGCTTAAAACACTCAAGATTACTCTTCTGAAATAACCCTGACTAGAAAGTGTTCATATGCTGCCATGAATCCATCTGGATCTTCCCAGTGTGGGTAATGTCCAATATTCTTCGACATTGTTGAAAATGTCCCTTTAACAACAAGTTCCCTGAAAAAAAAAAACTTTAAATGAAATTGCTTTGAGTAGAAAGATTGGTTCTTTACTTCACTAAAGAGCTGAACATTCACCATCCTTCTTATTTGATGTTCTAAAATTATTCAAAAAGGAGACTAGACTTTAAAAAAAAAAACAAATCACAGGTTAATGGAAGCAACACCCTAGACAAACAACCCTCGAAACAGTAAATAGAGTGATTAACATGTTTTTTCTCCTTACAATATCACCCTGAATCCTTTGCTTCCCAAGACTGACTTACATCTAATTTCTCCTTACAATATCCCCCCTGAATCAAACATTAAGGTCACAAGAGTAAAGGAAATGATCTTGATTGTTAAACAAATTCTCCTTGTCAGCACCTGAGGAAATCTGTAGAGAACAGTATGGAGAATATGCATACTGATGTTAGGGTGTAGAGAGTTAAATCAAACACTGACTTTCATGAGAATACACAAATTGATCACCAACATAAGCAGCTCTTGACTGTCAAACTCTCCTTGTCAGTATTATAGGAAATGTATAGAGAACAGTGTGGAGAATATACATACTGATGTTTGGGTGTGAAGGGTTAATGCAACTAAAACCAAAATGTAGCTTTAGCAGTTTAAGCATTTACTCTCACAAGACAATTATTAATAGAATATTTAATTTACTGATGTAATACAAATATTAAAATTATTTACCTGTATTTGACAAGTGTTTGAGGAGGATTGATTGGATCTGCAGGTCCATAAATAAAATGCACTAAAAAATAGATAAGAGAAAATATTATACAGGTAATACAAATTTTTTCTTGTATAACAAATGCATTTTAAAGTACTAAAAATTAAACACTATTCCAAAGTGAAGAAAGCTATGTTCTGGAAGACCAAATAACTGTGTCTTTATGGCAGAAATGCCCATCCAATCAATATATAAATTGATGATCAACACTTTCACTATCTAAGTATGTCATTTTTTAAAATTAGTTTTAAATTCATAATTTTCTAAATTAGCTTAGGGTCCCATCGATTCACTCATTCAATTCACACTACATATGAAAGTACCCCAAAGAACTGTGGTTTTATCCAGATATCAATTAACATCCTATGGCTGCACAGTCATTTTCATTCCACACATCAATTGAGAATTCAGAGTCATGTAATAATGCCATCTGTGATGGTTGGATCTGAACTAGTTGAATTCCACATGACTCTATTTCAGTCCTGCCCTCTCATTGGTTTTCATTGTTTTGTGGCCCTGTTCTCCACAGATGCATTGTAAGTTGAAAACAAGGTACAGTTTTCTGTTACCTGGCACTGTTGTGGTTTGCATGATACCAACCCATCTTGCTCTGTTTTCCTTCCTCTGATTTATGTACTGAAGAATGCTGAAAATAATATTGGAGAGCAAAAGATAAAGAAAGCTGTATGCAAATGTAAACTTTACTCCTCTAAATCCAGCGAGTAGTTTCTTTTGCCCCATGCGCTAACTGTTTGCCCTAAAAATATTTGATGAACATTTCAGACATCAGTATTAAATACTCTGTTCTGATCTGAATAATACTATTTTAAAGCCAGCAAATATTTTAAAACAAATCTTTACTACAATCCTGGTCTAAACTTGTTAGGACACCTTCAATATGAATCCTTTAATAATACTGTGGCTATTCAATATGTTCTTTATCTGTTGAAAAACTCACTCGTATTTGAGTGTTCTTGCCCCTCCCCACGTGCACATACCACCCTCCAAGCAATACTGAAACCAACTGCAGCTTTTCTTAGTGTTTCCAGGATTCTAATAAATATTGGAAAGGGGTAGGGGTGCTGTTGCCTACACCATTTTAAAACACCTTCATTTCTAATCGTTTTGCATTAGGTGTTCCAAGAATTCTATTTGAGATTGTAAGTCAGTTGGAATGAAGGTATGTTAATGCACTTTTGGTCGGGCAATTAGCCAGATTTCACCTAGAGTTCTCATTTGCTTCTTGCAGTAGGGTATACGTAATAGAAAGAATAACTGATCAGAAGACAGTCTCCACAAAATACAGCTTGGGTTTGAAGACTTTCTGGTTGAAATATTCTCTTGAGTATTTGGATCCATTTACAATTTATGTTGATGGGACAGATGTCTCTAAAGAGACTGAAAGTTCCAGGTGAGCTTACCTGGGTACTACAAGGTAACCATCTTTGTGTCTCATGATGGTCCAGAAATCTTCTAGCTCTTCTCTAGGAGGCCGTGTGCCCGGACCAAACACTGAGGCAAGACTGGAAAAAATTATTTGATGGTTTTATCGATTGAGTTGATAAATTGTAAATTGGCCACCGTGGAAAGATTCTCAAGCTGACATTCCAAGCACTAGCCCTTTGCCTGCTCGAAATGTCAGCTACAGAATCTCTATGGTGGTGAGTGAAAACCTCCTTACATCCAATGGGTACCAGTTTGATTCCATTAAGTTTAGGTTAAGAAAACTTAAATTATATTGAATTGGAAGTAGAAGCTAACTTGTAGCAGTGTGTACCTTCTTGCAAAGATTGGGTAGCTTGTTAGTCTTGAAATGAGAGGTCCAAACCATGGATTTGACCCCAACTGCAATGATACATTCAAATCATGAACAAGTATCTTATACCACTAAAAGTACTTCAATTGTAATGATACTTAGTTTAATAACAAAAAATTCAAGCAAAACAGTACCTTCTGAATTACTTTAGGGAAGTTTGTGTCAGGAAATATACCTTAAAATTGATTAAAAAAACCAATAAGAGATTTAATAAATAGTTAAGCATTGATAATAAAATTAACTTTTTCTATTAGAAAAGTAAAAGTTATCATCATTGTGCTGATACTCGTACAAATATGAGTAACATTTTCTCAATGAAAAATTTACATTTGGAACCTAGTACCGGTAACAACATGTGTAATAACTTCTTTGCATCGAATCAATAAAACTCCTCACAATCCATTGACTTTTAACCATGAAATTATAATTTCTCATCACCTCATCCATAGGTATTCCTGAACCTAAAATTTTAAATATTGGAGTTTCCCAGGGGTTCCTGGCTTGTTTAACTGTATTCTGTTTTTAAAATCTTCATACTTCATATGTTTTTCAAAGCACATTTCTAGATTTCAATATGAGACATCAAGTGACAATCAGAAGCTGTTTACCTCCATTAGTTAAACAAAGGGATTCTATTTTGACATACTCTGTTGGATCCAACCCTTTCTTTTTCCTTTCCTCATATCTGTATAACAAAAGAGAACAAGATTTTCAAAGAATCCAGGATATAATCATTGAAACAAAATTTCAAGAACAATTTTTCTTATATATAGAACTTGAAAAAGAAAATTTTTAGTTTGTTCATGGTTGCACAAGTAGAGCAAGTGACCAAGACAAAATTTCTCCTTACAATATCAATAAAATATCATGCAGACAAGTAATGAGAATATGGAAAAGTATCAATTAGGAGATTATTAGATGATCCAATATCAAATTCTCCATACACACACATCATAAAAATTGAATGGCAGATGTAAGGAGAATTACTGATGAGATCTTGGGAGCAATAAGGTTGATGACGTGGTCCTACTAAGTACCATCACTAAGAATCTTGGGAAAATTATTCTTAGTGGCCCTTTTAAGTTCAGAGTTTATATTCTCCATACTGTTCTCCAAATATTTGTGAGGTGCTGACAAGGAGAATTAGTTTAACAATCAAGAGCCTTCTTAGTTGATGATGATTTCCTTTACTCTGGTCACTGTAATGTTTGATTCAAGGATAACAATGTGAGGAAAAATTGGAAGCCAATCACTCTTTGGATTGGAAGGGTCAATACACTTTGTACCATTTTCAAAGCTTTAGCTTCCAGACTGTCTTATTAAGTAAACTCCAGAATAGTGCAGTCTCATGCAAGTTATATGCAAGTTAGGAATTAAATACATGAAAAGGTTATAGAGTGCAATCTAAAGTAAAAACTCATAATACAACTATCCATACCTTGCTAACATCTCAAGAGCCACTGTATCTCCCAAGTCATGGGCTAAAATGTGAACTTTGGCAATTCCAAGATATTCTAGAAATGCCTCTTGTAATGTGGCTTGCTCCATTACAGTGTATTCTCTGTCGCGCTTGGTAATTAAGTGAATATGAGTACACAGTCAGCTTATTAACTGGGGTGTGGCAATAATCACTACTGACAACTAGTTATTACTTGATATCATACTGCTGCAACTATTTGGGTGTGTTTCATATGAAGACTTCACTTAACCCTTTAACTCCCATGATCTTTTTAGTAATTCTCCTTACTGTCCACTATAAAATTTATGTGATGTTACTTCTGAGAATTTGGTTTTGGATCAACTAATAATCCCCTAATTGATACTTTTCTAGGTTCTCATTACTTATCTTCTTTATTTTGTATAGATATTGTAAGGAGAAATTCTGTCTTGGTCATTCAAGGGAGTTAAAGGTTGAACATGGAGGAAGAGAGTGCAGAAGGAGATAAGGAGCAAAGGCAGGAGAACTGATGTGCAAACACTCACGTGGAAGATTTACTCACTAGCTGTGTTAAACATGTTTAAAAATGACAGCCTTCCTTTTTATACTTACAGGTTTATCACTGAATCCTAAACCAAGCATATCTGCTGCAATGACTCTTCCAAAATTTCTTTTCAGTTTTTCCCAAACCTGAAACATTTCATAATTAGAGCAAAATTTTTCTGAATTAGAGAATCACAAAGATGTCATCAGTTCTTGTTGAAAAACCTTTATTTCAGAACTACTAGATGCAAAAATAACAGCCCTAATGCTAAAATTTTCAGTTGAGTGAGGTGCAATGGAATTACGGCAACCATGTTTTGATATCAAAATATGACTCAGTTTTCAGTGGCAATATGTTGCTATAACTAATTATCCCTGATGGAACATTGAGTGATTGCTAGGCAAATGAGATTAGCTGCCTAAAGCTGGTTACATACCTGGTGATTTCATTTGCTGATTGCTGCAAATTTAATCACAGGCAAAAATAAATGCTCCCTTACCTGTCAGATATCAGCAATTTTATGTCGCAATTGCTGCGATTAGTGAAAATTGCAATTGCTGCATCGTTGAACACCTGGCAAATTTCACTGATTGCTGTGATCAGCATTTAAAATCACCAAGTATGTTGCCAGCTTTATGTAGGATCTTTTTTCAAAAGATAAAACTAATTATCAAATAAGAACAGGCAAAAAGAGATACTTGACTGAGGAAAGGTAATATTTTTTACCCTCTTCTGTCTTAAATATAGATCAAGCTTACCTTTGACCAGTCATAATTACTGGTAGGAAATCCATGAATGCAGAGAACCACAATATCGTCATCTTTCTTATAACCTCTAAAATCTGCAAATAATTTTGTTATTCACAAGTTTTTATCAACAAGGGTAAAGTCATATGGACTGATATCACTGCTGTCTCCTGACCTGACCTCCAAAGCATGAAGTGACTTTGAGCATTGCTCCCACCTCCCCCCCTGGGATATCATTCCATCGTAGTGTTAACCACCCCCCCTACTCTCAAAGTTTCTCACCGGGTTTCCAAGGAAGTTGTTAGTACCCATGTACTCTTCGGTGATTAAAGAGGGGGATTTAGAGTCTTGACCAAGAAGACAACACAAGAGCCTTGGTCATAGCTTAAACCTAAACCCAACAATCAAAATGTTCCATAGCACCAAACCATTAGGTCGTGAATAAAGTCCAATACCGTCTTTCATCCTAACAAACCCTCTTCACGTCTGTGACGATGAAATCGAACTCGTTTGGAATGTCCAGTAAAAATATAAAAGTTATCAAGCTTGCTTTTCTTCGGCATGAATTCCATGTATTTTACCCTCAAGTTTGGTCTTGATTTTTCCAGACATGATGGGGATTGCCACGCTAGCAGTGACTTGTATACAAAGCTTCTTTCATTCAATTTGAAAGAGGTCTTTGAAAAATATCCCCTTCTAACGCACGACTTACGACGAAACTTATTTCAGCTCAAGGAATTGCAGTCGATTTTTCATTCCAAGCACTCAAACAAAAATCGAGAACCTAACTGAAAAATTATACTCATTTTTCTAATTCCAGCATAAAAATCAGGGTAAATTTTCAACTGACATGCAAAAGACTGTGCGCATAAAAACATGATATGATCCGAGATCAAAGAACGCTCGCGCGCCACATCTAACCTTGATAAAATATCGCGTTCCCCTCATAATTAAAGTACTGTCCCATTTTCCGCCATTCCTTTAGCCTCTGCGAGAAATTTGGAGCAGGTAAATTGATGAAAGAAGCAATTGCAACCACAGCTACGGCGCAAACTATTTGAAAATTGGAGATCGCCATGTCATGCAGTCTTGGATATGAAATCTTTCGCGCGCGGCCTGGAACAAAATAAATAACTCTCCCCTCCCCCGCCTTTTTTCAAACGACTTAGTAACCGCGGACTTGACGACGCTAGAAATTCGAGCGAACAAAAATGTCAGCAACGAGTCGATCCGTGAAAAAACCTCCAAATGTAGGATGATTTCTCATCATATTAACACAGATTCGAATTCAGCTGTTGTTTTTTTCTACCTGAAGCCAGATTTAATGTATTGTATTCGTTTTTTTGCGTAGATTCTGGAGAAGAAAATCCACAAGAATCCAAAGTATGATCATATTGGCGCAACCGTTGACACGGGTAGGTTTTTTGAATGAAGATTATTGTTACAAATTCAGATGATCTGATTTTAAATCTGTTAGATGTGTTGCCCTCCGATGACAATATATTTGTAATTTCTTCGTCTCAGGAGCCAGCATTTCAAGATATGAACAAAAGATCGAAGAAATGCGGAAAAGTAGGTGACCTTCTAGTTTGCATGTCGTACTTGTAGCCAATGAATTTAATTAAATAATTTAAACTTAATTTATTCTCAAGTTTGATCTGATCACTGGCTTCGATCGAAAATGAATTACATCTAACTTGTTTTGCGAGCTATGGGTAAAATAGCTGTTTTATCAGCTGTCAATCTCCAGCCTTCATCTATTATAAAATATTTAGCATTCATTGGCTATATTTTATTTATATATGTCTGTAAACATAATTGTCTAAATCTTCTTGAGAATGGGGCAATTAAAGCTCTGCATTGAGATTTCTATGGAGGGTACAATATTTAACAAGTCGAAAGGCTAGGAAAAACATTCACCTTACAAAAAAAGTTATGGAAGACATTGTGAAATCCATTACTAATTCTGAAATTTAGTTTTACTGATCCTTGACTGTGACAAACTTCTAACATTTCTCCTCATTAAACTATTCAGATTACAAATACAGGAAGGATGAAATTTTCAAGAGAATGAAGGTTTCAACCTTAGCACAGCTGGTATGTTATACGTTTTGTCTATTGTGATTGTAAGCTTGAAGCAGAACAAACAGCTTACCTATTTAATCCTTTAACCCTTTAACCCCCACAAGTGATTGACATGTAACTTCTCCCTATAAAATCCATTCATCATCTAGCAAAGAGGTAACAAGAATACTTATACTAATCAGGTAGAGGTTGTTTTCTTGATTTAACACCAAATTCATGTAACTTATTTAAAAGGAAATGTGTAGCAGCTAGAAGGGAGAATTAACAATCAGATCTTGGGAGTGAAAGGCTTAACTCCCAGAAGTGATTAACACGTAACTTCTCCCTATAATATTCTTATGCTATCCAGCAAACAGGTATTGAGAATACTTAAATTTATCAAAGTGTTACTTCCTTATTCTATTGCATTATGTCCTGTGCCTTTTATTCAGATAATTTTGTGTTTTATTATTTATTTCTGTAAGATTTGCATATATCAATGTTTTGGGTTTTCATCTAGATCCTTCAAGTTGCAGAAGCAGTAAGCTTGGAACAGGAAAGAAACAGTATATCAACAGCTGGAGGTTTGTTACTTGTTTTATTTTATTATGTAATTATTCAACTGTGCCTTCATGAGCCAGCAAACAGATTGACAGATGGACAAGCAGAAATACAAAGAGATAGACAATCAGACTGATTATAATCACATTTTGGATGAAACAGATTTCATCTAAAGCCTGCAGATGCGATTCAAGTAGAGCTATGATCTTAGCAGGTGTGCTGCATTGCAATTGCAGAAAGGGGGCTGAAAATTCAGGCTTTGAAAGGATTTGAACCTGTGCTTCTTAGATGAGCTGCAAAGCTGCATGAGGCAACTTTTTTAGGGTTCTCTTTTCCCATAAAGGAATTTGATCAATTTTTTAATAAAATACATATTTGACCTGCAGAGCCCATGTGCAAAGATCATTGCTCTACTAGACTGATAGTAAGTAAATCAAGACAGATAGGCAGATAGACATTAACATACATAGACAGATACTCAGGCATGAGGTTGGACAGGCACGCACTGAGAAACACAGATGCACCAACAAACACACAGTTTTTTAATGGAAAGACAAGTGGGTTGAGACACTGACATGTTTTTTTGTTCTTTAACTATTTTTTGTCAAAATCCAGTTAAAAATTTTTTTAAAAAAATGAAGGATTTGATGTTGTGCATTTTTTATGAAAGGTGAAAGTGTGATGTCCGATGAAACTATCACAGCTGAAGATAAAGAGACACCAAGAGAGGGTGAAGGTATCCCTCCCTTAAATCTAGAAGATGACGAGGCCAGACCAGACTCCACAGCAAGAAGTAGTGCACGCTCAACTCTACAAAGGTTAGATACAAGCCTTGTGTATAATGTTCAACTGATTGTCAATATGTGTACTTTGAATGTCTTGTCAGACTGCACACCTTAAGAATTCCAGTCTTTATGCTTGTGTGGAAAAATGACTGGAAAAATGAATTCACAAGCTAACTTAATAAATTTTCAGCCAAACCTCAAGTTTGAAAAAAATTCCCCTGTTGTTTTCGTAATAGTTTTTGTTTTGTTTTGTTTTGTTTTTTCCTTGTCAAAAAAAATTCACCATCTTCATAATAATAATATCTTGGGTTTATTCACCAAGTCTCATACATGGTGTTGGAGAAGTTGACATACGAGACAAGGATGAAAAAGAAGACAACAGCTTTGATGAAGAACAGTTATCAGTTCCTGAAGTTGAATCTCTGCCTTATCTTTTGCTGGATGTTAGAGATGAAGATGCCTATAAGCAATGTCATATCATAGGAGGTGTGTACTCATAAGGGTCATGTTAGTATTTTAGATGTCTCTTTGGATCAATGTTGATATCTGAGCAGTGGTGCACCTTACCCTCCCCTAATGCAACAACAGTTAACTAATAACAAGTTAAGGTTGATTTTGGTTTAGGGGAGGGATAGGTGCACAGTTTCTCAGATACTAACATTGATTTGTCTCTTTGAAAAAAGAAAGCTTTCAATTATACATCCTATGGCTGTGTTTTTGGGAGGAGAGTGCTCTGTATGTCATAGCTCGCAAGCAGGCTCTCACATAAGTGCTTTGGCACAAGCTGGTTTGTGTTAAAATGACAGGTCCTGTTGCTTTTCACAAATCATAATGAGGCCTTGATCATCTCTATAACGCACCAGTTTTTGTCAAAATGACAGGTCCTATCACCTCTTACCAATCAGGCTCCGGTTGTTCAGAGAATGGATAAATCTGGATATATCTCTATCCTTTGGATAATGCAATACTTTTTTTTAATACTTATCCTCTGGATAGTGAGTTATCCTCTGGATAATGTTATCTTCCCTCTGAACTACTGGGTCCAGAATGCTAAGTTCGTGGACCATGGCAAACCTCTCCTTGGCTCATCTCCAATCTTCCTGCAGACGCTTCCTGCAGACGCTTCCTGCAGACGCTTCCTGCAACACTAATTAATGAGGACCTGTATTTTGTTTTAAAATTTTTAACCAGCATCTTTGATTTGCAAATCATCAGACGGCCAGAGGATAAAAGATATATAGCAGGCGAATGATGCTTAGCAGGTGGTGGTGTGGGGGGGGAAACAGTAGTTCCTGAGTCATTATGTTTTTTCAACCACAGCACCATTCAGTAGTACAGACTGATGCTTAATGTATTTTTAATATTGAACAAAAGTTTGTCAGAATTAACCGTTTTATTTATTTTCAGCTCTTAGTTATCCTTCTTCAATGCTATCAAGATCATACAACTATTTCACCAAAGAAATTCTTACATTTGTATCCTTTGTTACTAGAGAGGGGGTTATTCTGGATTTTTTTTTCAAATATTGTGAATTTGTAAAATTGCAACATATACCAAACTTAAGGGTTGCTAAGTGAAATCACTGCATGTATCTTATGGCAAAAACGCGCGATATTATTCATAAAATCATAAACCTTTTGAAGACCTGGAATGCCAAAATAGAAATAACTGATTTTCATAGAAGCTGAATTTTTCACCAGACACCAGTAAACGCAATTTTTTTGTTAGTAGTCCGCCATTAGTGTAGTACACGAGCGGTCCTTCTTTTTTAAGACGAAAGGCCGTCGTGCGAGTTTAAAAAGATCAACAGAAAAAATTGACATTTGCACGCCACGCAGAATTATCGTTTTTATCGTGCGCCTCACTTCCAGAGTTCCATGTGGTGCACGAACATCATTTTTCTCTTCGCTGATTTTTTTACTCGCGCGACGCACTTCGCCATAAAGGAACGACTGCTTGTAGTGTGCCATTTGCGTTAGAGGAATTTTTGTATAAATTACATGGAGTAGATAAAATTACTGGGTTTACAATTTGTTTTTAAGGTCAATTTTGATAATGATATGCTGTCTTTGATGATTTATCACTTTTTTGGTGTTCGCTTGCGATTCTTAACTTTAAAAATTTGACAGAAAAATAAGCTGGGAAAGATAATAATACTGTACGATGAAGATGAAAGATTAGCTCCCGCAGCAGCAACGACTTTTGTACAGAGAGAGGTTGACAACGTTTTCATGTTGTCAGGAGGTGAGCAATGTCAGAAAAGCTTCGGCTTTCAATGTTACGGGTTTCAGATAACGAACCGACACTTTCCGAAAATTGCCGAAGATTTTCCGACGACATACGGAAGTTGCTGACAAGTCAATAAGAATTTGCGCAAGTTGAAACATAATTTTCAGAAATTTATCACGATTAAGAAATTTTGCCATAACATACCATAGCATGATTTAAGTATTAATGAGCTCCAAGACCACTAAAGTGAACGGCAGTGATTCATTTTGCAGGTCTCAAAGTGTTGTATAAGAAGTTTCCTGAAGGCTTAGTCGCTGGTCAAGTACCACAGTCCTGCTGGCCCACCCCTCCACCTTCACGAAAGTCATCCGGGAAAGCGACTAGCGCGACTAGACCCAGTCCATGCGCTTCTGCTGACCAGAAATGGTTTTATCCGGAGGGTATCTTTTGCAATGAAAATAAGACTTAACCAAGAATTCTCTTTATAGTAATATTCGATAAAAATACTACGATGATTTCGCTGATTATTTTTACTGATTATAGAGGCAAATCTTTTGAAGAAAAAATTCTAAAATTAAGTTGTAGACTGAGAAAACGTTAAGTTGTTTGAAAGCGTGTGAAAAAGACTCTTTACCTTTTGATTTCGAGTAGCGATTTACATTTAAATTCTCCTTACAGTAATAATACATTTTGCTGCAAAAAGGTGAAGAGAAATGACACAGTTGTCAGCTGAATGTTGCCTTCTTGATTTTACACCTAATTTACTGGTTATGACAAATTTACTTAACAAATAGATTCAATGTTGCCATACTCCTGTTGAGTAAATAGATTACAGATAACATCAAAATGTGGTAAGAACAAAAAAGTGGTACACGAGGCGCAGCTGAGTGTGTCACTTACGTCTTTACCCTGTTTTGACGTCTTCTTTAATTTTTTATTGTACAGACCCACGTTAAATTGGAATCTATTTGTTTTATATGATTAAAAAAAGCAAATACTGGTAATGATGACGTCATCTATGATCTGTCCTCTAATAAATCATAATTAAGAACCAATCAAACTGTGTGTATGATTAAGCTTATAAAAAATAAGGTAGATCTGCAATTCTCGTCAATCTTGTTGATGAGTTCAAATTCCTGTTTGGTATATACGTTAGATTTCTCCTTGACATGAAGGCAGATCTGGTGAAACTCCAAGATAAACTGGATGATGAACTTTTGAGTCAAGACAAGAGCAGTAAGTTGTAGTGAAATAAGATCATGTATAGAACTCCATGGATAATTAACGTTAGAAGGAGCTTGTAAATGTAATTAGTAAAATGAAGAAGAAGAAGAAACACAGGTTGATAGATAATTGATTGATTGATATATTAGTTAATAATTGATTCATTGACTTTATCACGTGACCCGTCCGTCCGCGCGCTCTATTACTGGAAAACATTAGACAAAAATTTCCTTGTGAGGGCCGTTGGCGATGGTGTGAGCTGAACCGGAAAAAGCCGCACTGCCGCGAGCCTAGCTGGGGGTAAGAAAAGAACATAGTATGAAAAAATAGAACGATGGTCATGAAAACAATACATATTGACACCCTGAAGTCGGGCTGGACGGGAAAATATTTGGCTTTCGGTCATGAAGCACGGACAGAGTGCAGCGAGAAATACTGAGCGCTCTTTCGTTAAGATGACGCCTGTTCTACAGGTTAATTAATTAATTGCTGCTTTCATGAATGAAAGTGAATGAATGAATAGTTGAATAAAAGAAGGAATGAAGAAAGAGAGAAAAAAAAGATTGAGACAACACGATTGCTATTTGACAGATGTACTCTCGCTTTATTACTTCACAGGCCGTCAAAATTCTCGTTTGTCCAGTCGATCAGCAGCGTCATCGGCAAGCAGAGCGTCAACTGCCGCCAGCTCTGCCACCAGTCGCAGCTCGAAACCTGTCTGGAAATAATCCAATAGATTTCAAGACATTTCTCTTTTCAGGACCTCATCCAAGGAAGCGCGTGAAGGCTTGGAAGAAGCCTCAATTTGCGAAGGGCCATGTTAACCAGCCTCCATAGAAGGCCACGTGGTAAAAAAGTTTGCAGAGGTATTGCGTGGTTTTGACGATGAAATGGATATTTTGGACAAAGATCAATGGACGAAGAGAGCCGTTAAAGAATTCTCTAGACTGCAGCATACGTTGGGAAGAAGCTTTACTTGCTTTAGTTTGTGTCACTCATTTCACAATCGGGCACTGGTGCTCAATATACTCAATATGTCCTTAACTTTATGTTCTCTCCAACCATTTTAATAATAGATATTCTGTTATGAATGGGAAAGTTTTCCCATGTTTCATGGCTATAATAACTAGATATCGGACGAATTCGGGAAAACAGGGGAACGTCGGTTGCAGGCGTCTGAGACGTACCACGGTGTGATCGTAAAACAAACAAACAAACAAACAAACGAACAAAATCGCTAGCAAAACGAAACTATCTTGGCTTGGCGTGGTCTACTTCGTCTTCTCTCGGTTCGTTCTACCCGTGAGCTTGGAAACCTGGGTCGAATTCATGTAGTTGAGGCTATTAGTGGAGTACTTGTGGTAAACATTTTGAAACATCAAATATCCTCTTTTAGACTATTAATTTTCAAATAGTCCTAAAATAACATTTCCGCAGGAAAAAAAATTGGAAAGCTAATGAAATAAGAAAGTTAAACCCCTAAAGTGACTTTGGAAGGTTTCTAAGTTGTTTTTCAAGAGAGGTCTGCAGATAAGCCTCGATTTCACGTGCTCGACCCAGTTTTCCTGTTTTGCATCCTAAGCATTGGTTATTGTTGTGAACTCCACCTTGTCGCTCCTTCTAACGGGAGTCAAAGTAAACTGCATTATATTTTTTGTCCTGGACGATAATCTTTTTTCATATTTGACGCAATGAGAACGATTGGATTAAAAAAGATATCCCTCGTGCCCATTCATAATTTTAAGTGTTTATTGGCTCAGTGAAGAGTATGAGTCATAAGATTTTGAGTGGAATGGTAGTCGCTGATTACCGCTGAATGAGTCTCTTCACACGACATGTACTTGGAATAGCACTCTGTAAATAAAATGAGAGACTTGAGTTAAAAACATATCGTGTACTGTCAGATACTATCTTCTTTCTTAGTCTTTGTTAACAGTTTTTCTGTTTAGACGCGTTTTTGTGGCTGCTGTCTCTTTTTTAATAGGAAGCGAAGCCGCCATGAAACGGGCACGAGTGAGTGAGAGGGTGACGGTCAGTAACAATATAATTCCGATTTTGATTTAATTTCGACCTGATGTTTCTCAGTGCTTCTGTTGTTGTCGTATTTTTTTTCGGGGGGGAGGGGGTGCGGGAGTATCCCATTAGTTCGATACTCGATACACATTTGAGTTCTCTCCTTTCAAGATACCTGAAGTTTAACAGGGTGGGAATAATAGAATGGTGGAATGGAAGAATGGCGGAATATCCTAAAACGAGGAATGCCTTGTGTGAAACAAGGGTCTCACAAAAATGGAATCGCAAAGAAATTGTAAAAATAAAAGAAGTGTTGTTTAACGATCATTAGAGGATAGAGGAACCCTAAGGCTTTTAAACTAGCCCCTATAAATTATTATCACCATTACTATTTTTATCATCATTATTATTATTATTAATATGATTAACTGTAACCATATGATTACTGTTTGAATTTTAATTATTCACTATACGCTTCAATCGTCTTTCTCCTGTGAAAGAGACTACGCATAAATATGTAGGATGCTGCAGGTCTTCTGTTTAGTATGAAAACAACGCTACCTTCTTTTTTCTAGAAAATTCTATAGTATGCATGTCAGCATGACTGAAGATTTCAAGGAGCTTCTATTCACAATAACAATTATTCCTAACAATCACTAACGTCTGATTTTAAGAATTTGGACATTAGAGTGCGATTTTTGATTTTGGACACTTTAGGCCGATTTTGATTTTAGACAATAATGTTCGATATGTTATTTTGAACATTAGAATATGATTTTAAGATTTTTGACACTTGTGTCCGATTCTTGATTTTAGATTTTAGACGCTTATTGCCGATTTAGGATTTTGGACACTAATGGCCGACTCTACAGAATTTGGTTGTTCCCTCTATTTATTTTCATGATTTTCGCTCGGAAAAAACAACATTGTGCAATGTTTTGAAAAACCAATGGCGTCGATTACTTTTAGAGTATGACAGATTCATGGGCAAAGTTTGAAATAAATACTGTTCTCTAAGCATTTTTTAAGGTACTGTTCGCAAGAAGTCTTATGATAAATTACTAGTCACATGAACCTATTACGTATCTATTTTTCTATATTTAACCGAGCCTTGTCCAGCGGTTTGTCGAAACTCAGTATGCGTTGTGGCGTAACGTAAACAAGCGCTCCACGTTGGTAGTTGGGGATCGCGAAAGCGGAAAATGGTTCCGGGTTGAATATCTCTTTGTTTTATTTGCCGTAATTGGTTTCTTTTTGAACGATAAGGCACTTATGAGTTTTGATGAGGAGGTTTCGAGCAGCGAGCTGTCTGAACTAGTGCATTATTTTTCAAAATATCCTTACAGAGCGCGGGATGCCAACTCGAAGGTGATAATTTCCAAACACTTTTATGAGAATTCAGGATTAAATATCGTTACAAACTTGTATCCTCAAGTAGATTTTATCTATGATTTATCACGACTACGAAGACTATTACTCAGTCATTTTTTTTTTCGTTTTTATTTTATCAGATAGAGGGCATCCAGAAGAAATGCTTACAGCTCTTTTCTAAAGATTACAAATTTACGGTTAGTCAATTGAATTCGTCATTCGTCAATTAGTTTCGAGAAATCGCATGGGTTTTTGTTTCCTGTGCGTAACTAGGGTGATGTTCACCAAAGTTTCATGTGTTTGCATATTGCTAAAACGTGTTTGTTTTTTTTTTTTCATTTAGACAATCACCAACAGCAATGGAGACTTGTGCAACCATTACCCGCTCAAACTGGTTATTTTAGAGTCAAAGCTTCATTGTGGAGAGTCAGACAAGAACGAAAGGTAACTCTCTATCTGTACTTGAGGAAATCTGATATTTGTTATATTGTTATATAGTTAAATTACTAGGTTGCTCAGTAAATTTTGTGTCCACTGACTTCACCGTCGTCCTTAAAATTTTAAACCTTTGGAGAAATTTCCTTCCGAGCTCGAGTGTCAAAGGGAAATATCGGGTAAGACTTCCGCACAGCCTCATGGTAAAAAAAAAGCTGTGGTCCCCAAGGCAATCTATTGTTTTTTTACCATTGTTTTTTTTTGGTATGCATGATGAAGTATGAGGCTAATAATGGAAATCTCATCAAAAATTTAAATATATTGCCCCATCAATTTAGTGTCAGTTACTGTCCAGTGATTGGTGTGATTATTATTAAGCAAATAGCTATTTGTAACCACAATAAATGTTGTAATTTTTTTTGTAACACTCAGTGACTCATTTAGAAATATTAGAGATAGGAAACCTGTTTTGGGCATTTTTTCGTGTGACAACACAGCAACTGACATGTCAAAGCACATTTCCAGTTTTAAGACAAAAATTGGATTGTATTTGTTAAGAATGCCACTCATAGGTCACCTCAGTAATGCTCAGACAGTTTTAATTTTACATGATCTTTACTTGCTGGATTCATTTTGAATTTAACTAGTATGTTTTGAATATATCCCACAAAATTTTTAAGTTGACCCTTTAACTCTCAGAAGTGATCAACATGAAACTTCTCCCTATAATATCCTTACATTATCCAGCAAACAGGTAATGAGAATATTGAAACTTATCAGGTAGAAGTTGTTATCTTGATCTTTCACCAAATTCTCATTACTAATTTACAAGGATATGTGTAACAGCTAGAGGAGAGAATATATAATCAGATCTTGGGAGTTAAAGGGTTAACTTTGTCAGTAAGTAAGAGCATCCTACCAAGCAAAACTAAAATTAGAGACACACCCCTAATTTGGACTTGAAGTGAAGCATGTAAAAGGGAAAGTGTGCCTAAAAGCTTATTTAAAGGAAATTTATATTTTAAAAAGAAGTGGAATTTAGCATAATTTCAAACTGGATTCATAATTAATGTGATAACCTTTTGATAAATGGAGGTGGTAATTTAATATAATCAAATTAATGTTAAGACAAGAGAAGATTTAGTATGGTTGGGACAAATGGTTTTGGTTTGCGATTATTTTTCACTCCTCAGTCAAAAAGCAAATGATGCAAGGGAACTTCGAGATCTGTTTGTGAAGGCTAGATTTGCCAGATGTAGATCAAGATTTGTTGTTCCAGTTATTCTCTTTGAGGGAAAGGTAAAGTTTGTCAAACAAAACAAATCTTTTGAACAGTTTTCCTAATTATGAATGGTTATCATGGCAAATGAGAATTTCCTTTCTTCATGAGTGTTTTAGTTTTAGTTTTGTCATTTTTCTTAGGGATCAGATTTCCTTGTTATAAACAATAATCTTATTTTATAACAGACAAGACCTTTTATTTGTCCTAGAGAAGTTAAATCTGATTCAGAAACTAGAACTCTATTCTGTAACTTATTAAAAATACATGCATAATGAACAAACAAGAATCAGAGAGATAGACTTCCAACGAAGGCTTGTCTGAAAAAGTTTGATTATTAATTCTTGCAAAGTGAAACTAAAGGTTTTTTAATTTTGCTTTCTAGAATATTTGCAGATCAGCTACATTATCAGGAGGACCTGAAATTTATGGTCGATCTGGATATGATTTCCTTTTTGCTGGTAAGAATGTATTCGGAAATAAATATTGTGACTGAAGACGTTGTAGTATCTTTCCCATAAATGGAACTCTAACATGTAGAGATCTCTGATTTTTTGGGATGAAATCAAGAATGTTTCTATTTTTCTGACTTGTCTTGGATTTCTGAGATTATCAGCAATCATTCATGAGATATAATGGAAACTTCAATTTTCACTGACATGGACATCAGTGATAAGGTTAGGTTGATAACAGTTCTCTAATTGCTAAGCTCCAATACCAATATTATGGTAAAAAGTGACATGTGAAAGAATCTGAGACAGTCATCTTGTGTATTGAAAAATCTAGGATGGTTAGGAAGCAATGAAACTGCTGAAAGGCCCCTTATGAGTTGTGTTCTCATTTATTCATAAATGGTATATAAAATAATTGTAGAGAAAGATGTTTTCCATCTTGTCACAAGCATGGGATGAAGAAAAAATTCCTCACGAGGAACTCCTAAAAAATTCCCCATGAATAACTTCATAACAATTCCCCATCAGGAACTCCTTTAAAATTCTCCGTGAAGAACTTCTTGTGGGGACTCAGAATTTTTTCTTTCCCTCATGCTCGTGACAAGATGAAGAACATCTTTCTCTCTTTCCCTACTGAGCTTAGACCTTACTATCTTTTTTATTCTAAATAATTGTAGGTGGTGAAAGTATCCCTGATAATCCACTAGAAGAAGTTAATGGAGTGAATGGAACAGGGTCTCTTTATTCAAGGTGAATAATATTGATATTTTTTAAATATTGATATTTATTAAGGATTATATTAATTAAAGGCAAGGCATTTCTTTTCTGCCTTTCTTTAAATCTGTTTATGTAACTGAATGATGCTGTGGACACTGC